CCGCTCTTGTCAGGAGAGTGGGGCCTGGCAATCGGTTTCGAGTCATCCGGCAAAAGGTGGAGAAAAAGGGCAAGAAGGGCTGCAATGTCTTGTTTTGGATTAGTTCTGATGAATCAGCTTTCCTTCCTCCAAAGGCGAGCCGATCACTGCACCCAGAGGGCAAGAGCAGTCCAGGTTTGGAGGGTCTCTCTTTCCGAATATGCACCTCTCGTCTCCAACCCAACCAGGCATGCCAGGAACCGACCGTCTCCTGCAATGGAAGTTGCAACTGCCAACCACGACCATCCCAACACGTCTCAATCACGGCCAACTATTATTCATATGCTTTGGTTTCAATCATCGTCCACTTGTTTTCTCGTCTTCAGATCTTAATTACCAGACATCTACTATCCAAAAGCTTCCAGTCCAGTCTTTTCACCGGGTTTTCCACCACGGACTTCCCGCCAGTCTTCCGCCAGTCTTCCGCTAGCCTCCCGCCAGTCAAATAAGCATATCTGAACCATTATTCATCTCCATCTCGCATCTGGCCCGCACCTTTTGCGACAAAGGATCGAGGACCCTCCCCTACTCCGTACTACATGCAGGTATTCGTACGGATATCCCGCCCACCCACTGTCTTACAGCCTGGCAGGGACTCCATTACTCCATGTGCCAAATTATCTGCGCTCCCATTGTGGATTCTTACTGACCCCTTACATAATCCTTTCCAGTCGATTAGTCTTGCCCTCCGATCGCAACGACCAAAGCTGAAGTTTTGGGCACCGCAGCTCGAATCTTGGAGACAAGAAACAAAGTCGTCAATTCAATGTGGACCGGGCCCCGCGGCCTCCCCCCCTGGTCCCAGCATTCCACCGCCGCCTTCGTCCGCCGCAACGGAGGTCTTCTTGGACGTTGAATCAGCTCCGGGTCTCCATCAACGTTGACGCTGACCATTGACGAGATTTCAATCTTACGGCCCTGTTTACTCCTCCGGCCTGTTGCCTCCTACGGGCCTCCTACGGACTTCTCCCACTCGTTTTATCCTCCTCCGACTGATCAAGAAATCGGTGCAACCCTGGACAATTCCGCTTCGCCAAGCCCGTCCTCACAATGAGTCACTTGCAGACTCCAGTTCATGACAACTGCAATCGAAAAGCAAAAAAGTCGAGGGCCCCAGGGACACACTAATGATAGGTCGGACGTTTTCTACCACAGGCCATTGAGGCGCGAGCAACAATTGTTGCGAGTAATTCAAGCCCAGCAAGTCACTGTTCCACGACAAATGCACCCTCGCGGCTCACCCTGTCGGAGACTTACCTTTGCTAAATTAGTGTCTCGCCGCCACGCCTCTTCCGCGCGCCCTCCCGCCGCAAGTCACACACATGGTGGACGTCCCCGTCCTACCTGACGGTGGCACGGTGCAGCTGCCGCTCGAGTCTCGGCGGCAATCGGCCGAAGACTCGGCGAAGGTACTCGATGTGTCATGTGTCTCTATACCATAATCTCTTGGTATCCTCTTTCGCACTGCCAGAAGAGACTCAAAAGAGAGACACAGGAGGCGATACCGCATTATCACTATCGCTACCCTGGCGACCAGGCACCTGGCCCCCGACTTTTCAAGGCTGATGAGAAATGCACAACTCAACCCCAGACACCTCACGTCGTGAAGACGAGCCAAGACTCGCTAATTACACATTGATAAAAAGTCCGTCCGTCTTCTGTCAGCTAGAGCCCGGCCGAAGACCTTCGCGTGATGCACCACGCATATCGCACGCAAGCACATGGCCTACCTCGCCTTTAAGCAACGCCCACATCAGCCTGATCGGCTCGGCCTCAAGTGCCGCGACACGAAACATGAACGCGAAAGCCAACTCAACCACCCAACACTCGGTCCAGCGTGCAGCACCCACGCCTGGCTCGGAGCTTATGCGGCGGCGGCGCTGCTTCGTCCTCACTTCTTCTTCGCTTTCTTCGTTCTTCTCCTGCCAGTCTTCTCCACACCCCCGAACGAACGACGTCAATTCGCTCGCCAGTGGCAGCATCCGAGCGACAGCGTGGCGTGTCTATCCGACTTCAGACTGGCTCCCCTGCGAGAGGAATGATCGTTCGAACTCGTCAGTCGTCACAGACCGCCTTATCCCCCGACGACTGACTGCACGCCGAAAGAGTAACCCAGAGAATTGGGCCGGATGCTGACAGCCAAGAACTCAGATAGAGTTTCCTCCAATGGGCCTCTATTCTCTTGTCCTTACTATGCAGTCTGCTCTCAAGGTAACCGACAACTGCATTATCCACACTACACTAGGTTTCCAGAAGCTTCACAGACAAGTTATCCCTGTCGTAGAGGCACAACTCAACTAGTGAGCTTGCGGCCGATTCTCGGATCTCGAAGGCTGAACGGGACGGATATCCGTACGGGAGTTTTTGCACACTGCTCGGTCGGAGCCGACTCGGTCAGCCGAAAGAGGCAACATGCGGGGGCGATCTACGTCGACGACCCCTCCACCCAAAACGTTGTCGTAAATCGGCCCAAAAAGTCTAATCTCGTGATCTGGAAGCGACCATTTCCGTCTCGTCCAAACACACGATGTGCAATGCCATGGTTTGCTCTCACGGGCATATCATCCCTTTGGCTCCCACATTGACCACACAGACTTTACAGTCTAAGCGTGGGTTGTTCGATCGTTGGACGAGGTGATCTTGTTGGTCCGATGTAGGTGAACGTCGATTGACTCTCAAGTGTAAGTTGGTCAGCCACACACACACTTATTTCCCCAAAAGTCGCAAGTGATTTGCTGAATCCGGTAATGGCTTCGCAGGGGGAACACCTGGGTGGTCGAAACATCCATAAGCCTATTTCTATTGCGACGAGCGCACTTTCGGGACGTTCAAGACACCGTTGGACCTCGGTGTTTTTGAGTGACAATGTGAACGTGGGCAAGCACGCAATGTATGGTGATGAGAAGATATGTGACTCCAAGCAGCATATGCTGTATCTGGTTTGGCTGCACTTCAGTAGTTGCCGCCTGGCTCAATCGCTCTAGTGAGCGACCAGACTACTTGCTTGCCTGTCTGTCTGTCACAGGTACTCATTTCCTACATGCTCTTCTCGGCGTGACTACACAATTCACCCCGAGCACGTCCAAGTGTGCCGTTATAGATGTGTAGAAGTGCTTGGCTCGTCAATAGTCATCGCCGTGATATTGAACACGATAAAATAATTGATAAGGGGCCCTGACCGCGACTTGCAGACTGTTCTTGTCTTTTGGGTAAAGTGAGGTACTCCTGGATGTGGCCTTTTGATCAATGCATCCAGTTTCAAGCATAAAGGCCTTTAGAGCAACCCAGCCGAAGACGTACCCCGAGCAGAGTGCGCACTCTGTATGACTGGCTAGAATGTCCCTCCATCTCTCCTAGCGGTGTCACTATCATGCTCGCAGGTCTTATTCTTGGTTGAGATACCTCTCGTTCCCTTTCAGGGAAGCGTGTACTTTTTTGACTCTCATGGCTCTTGTTCCTCAGTCGCAGTGTTGTTCCCATATCTGGTGTGTGCCTTGATGATAACATGCTGGGTTTAGGATGATTGAGCAAGTACGGGCTGCATTCCCTGTGGTGGACATGTACTTCCCGGCGCTCCCCCCTCTGTAAGATGCATCTCCTTGATCCTCAGCACAGGTCATTGGAGTTGATATTCTCTCGACCCTTCGTCCGTGGAGGTATAAGTAGCATCTATCTACCAGCAGGAAGGCTACAGTTATCTTTTCGAGCACATCAATTTGCTGGCTCTATCCTTGTAGCCAGCTTTGGCGAATGGAATTTCTTGCGGAAGTCCACCTTCCGCAGAGAGGACTCAGAGTTGACGTTTTTTCTAGATATCTAGTTAGCATCAAGCCCCCCTAAAAGCTTCCGCCGTCTCTCGTCCCAAAAGCTTTTCTTGAGAGTATTCGGACGAGAATACTCGAGAGAAGATTCGTGGCTTAGACGGCAGTTCGTTTGTTGCTGGTGTGTAGGTCCATGGACATGAAGTTTCTTTTCATCATGGCTCATGGTGATAATTATACCCACCAAGAAACGGAAACGGCACACGGGTCCTTGACCGTCTGTGCTGGGAGAACCTCTTCAAGAGAGGCGCATTTCCGCTATGCCCCGCTATGCGGAATGTGTAATGTCCTCCTGAAGGCACTTTATAAAGGCCTCCGGGAGGCGGTTGCGGGATGGGCTTAACGGGGGCGCCATGAGGCAGGCAGTCAACGGTATTTGTCGAGGGCGCATGGCTACATGGAAATATCCCAAATCGGACGTTTCCCCCCTACTTTGCATCTTACCTCTCTCTACCATGGGGTTTCGCAAATCTCACCGCGACTCCATGAAGTGCTCTGCCCCCTGGGGCCTCTTCAGGGGATGAAGACATGTTTCGTGTTTAAGGAGTGCAAGATACCTGGTGTATTGAGTCACGTAGAGGAGCGTAGTTTCAGGCTGTGACAACTTGACACGAGGCGTTCGATGTCGTTACCTCAGGCGGTGTTTCTTGATGCCGTCTACACGACGGTAGTTGAGAGACTGAAGGCAACTGACGAAGCTCTTTGGTAACAATCTGTGTTGAGGATTCAATTCATAGAATAGTGACTCCCTATCAACTAAATAAAACATCAGATCGTTCTTTGGGGTCTTCTTGGCACTGGGCGTCTAGAGACAGGGCAAGTTCATTAATACATCTCGAGAGCCCGTTCTCGCCAACATCACCCGACGGATATATGGAGTCAGACAACGCATGGCAAGGCGTTCCCCAAGCCCTCTGACTGTGGATCCAATCATTGTGACTGCCACTAGATCCAAGTCCATATACAGGGGTCAAGTAGGTCGAAATGTCAGTCTAGCTTGTTGGTTATTGCGTGGATGGATCTTTTTTCCTAGACAATGCAATAATCGGTTCCAAAAGACAAAGGAAAATGTAAAGGGACAATGCTCGAGTGCTCAAAGAACTACAGTCTTCACCAACCAAATCAGCCGACATGTAACACTCAAGAATCCAAGTCCCCAAACCCAAGATCATTAATATCAAACTCCTCCACCCTCCTCTTGACCATAACCACAGCCTTCGGGTTAACATTCATAGACGCACCCACAATAACAGGATCCGAAGGCGACCCCGGCGCCAGCTTCCAATCATACTTCAACAGCAAATGGCACAGCACGACCTTCACCTCGTTCGAAGCGAAGAACCGGCCGGGGCACGCGTGCTGTCCGTGGCCGAAACCCAGGTGCTCGGGGCTCGTCGTCACGAGCTGCGCTTTGTTGGCGCCGCCGGGCTGCTCGCGCATGCGGCGGAAGCGGTGGATGTCGTAGGTCTCGGGGTGTTGGTAGACGTTTGGGTCGATGGAGCTGTAGCTGTCGACGGAGACGGTTTGGCCGCGGCGGATGGCGATGTTGTGGTCTGGGAGGGTGACGTCTTTGGTGGCGAGGCGGCGCATGAGGACTATTTGGTGGAGAGGGGTTTTGTTAGATTGAAGCTTTGGGTTGTTTTGTGGTTAAGTGGGAGGGGCGGCTGGACTTACGCATGGAGACGGGCTTCATTCTTTGCGTCTCCTTGATGGCGCTGTCTAGGAGCTTCATGTTGTACAGCACGCTCTTTTTCCATCCCTCTGCCTTCAGGACCTCCACAATCTCAGCTCTCAGGGGTCCGATGAGCTCCGGCTCCTTGTCCAAGTAGATGAGCGTCTGCGCGAGAAGATCCGTCGTAGTATGAATAGCCACAAACGAAAGCGTAAGCTGGAAAATAGCAGCATCATACGCCCCTCCCTGCGCCTCATCCTCCGCCCACTCAATAGCATCATTCGACACCGGCGCCACGGAGTCTTGATTTCTAGCAGCAGCAGCGGCGGTGGCGGCCCGTTTCTCCGCGCGCCGCTTCTCGATGACGGGTGCGATGAGCTTCTGGGCCTCGGCGAGGGACTCGCGCGCGCGTCTGCAGTCTGCGGAGAACCAGTGGAGTAAAGGGCGTAGGCGGAGGGGCACGGCGCGGAGTTTGAAGGCTGCGGTGAAGGAGAGGACGGTGTATTCCTTTGTGATGCGGAGCCAGTCTTCGTTGCGGCAGAGATCTGGGCCGAGGAAGACGCGGGAGGAGAGGCGGGCTACGAGGTCGAGGATTGTGTCTTTTAGGGGGAGTTGGTGCCATTCTGTTGGGTTGGTGGTGCTGTTAGTCTGACAGCAGGGAGACACGGCGAGGAGATGGTGGAAGATGGCGAGGGTGTTTACCTTGAGATTCGCCGAAGATGAGGTTTGCTGCGAATGCGGTTTCGAGAGAGAGTGGTTCGGTGATGGTGTCTGAAAGGGGGAAATTCGAAGATAGCCGCTGAGGTGTACTTCCAACCCGAAATAGTCTCAGGCTCACTGAGTGACTTTGTCAATTGCTTGCGAGCAACTACTTGGATAATCTTCTTGTCGTCATCCACAAAGCCAAAAGGCTGGAAGCCTAGGATCTTGCCATGGAGGTCCTAAAAGTTGCCCAAGGAGATCAGTACACGAAGAGGCCTCCAAGTTGAAGTGCGATGGGACCACACTACGTAGTCCCCACGACCTTATCAACTCACCCGCCTAATCACAGCCCCAAAGTCCAATCCCTCCTCGTTGCGAATGACGTTGGCGAAACGAGGGGGCAGAACAAGAATTTCTCCACTTTCTGAGAGGACCTTGTAGGGTTTGTCGGGCAAGGTGGCTCTGCCTTTCGCAATGAGATCCTTTCCGGTTTTGAAGAAGTCCATCTGAGCTAGGAACGTTGGGCGGAACCATTTGGGTGTTGGTTGGAAGAGGGGGAGGTCATCGTGCTTGGAGACTTTGAGTAAGAGAGAGAAGATGATGACCAAGACGGCCGTGGCGATGTAGCCGTACGGCTGGATGGTCGAGTTTGGATTGTTCTCTTTACCCGGCCAGGAGAAGGCGGATGCTATTGGTGAGGATGAAGCCATCGCGACCGGGTTTGGAAGTGAGTTTGTTGTTGTGACAGTCGATAGGGCGAAGTCTGATGTAGATAAAGCTGTTTCGTCAAGAATCTTCCGTTTAAACTCCCAAGGAATCGCCTCCTTATGTAAAGAACACCCGATTGCTCAAAATGCCTCTTCAAGAACGTCGTCATGGAATCCGTCAAAGATCAACTGAGGTTCACGGATATTATCTCGACTCTGAATTCCATACCAAGTCGTGGGATGGGTCTCATCGGATAGCTCCTCGTGAGATCTTTAACCCTATCCAAGGCTATTCCTATCTCACGTTATGCGAAATACTACAAATCACGTCCTTCTCATTCGCTACAGCGTGATTTGCAACTCGGGCGCCGTTTACAAAGCCGAAAGGTGAAAAGGCGCATCCGCACCATGGCCTGTCGTCTGTCTGACTGTCATGACATCGGGACGGAATTCAGACGAATTGATATCAACCGATCCGATGAACACACGGACAATCGCCTCTGACAAGTGCGCCTTGCGCAGCCTTTTTCTTTCTTTCTTGACGCTTTCCCACCATAGTAAGCGGCTCGCCTAAAAAACGGAGCAAATGAATTCATAGTCCGCAAATGCAGCCAATGTTTCACTACTTTGTTACGCGGTGGGAGCCGAAAGTCTTGACCAGTCAGCATCGAGGCTCACGATAGTCAGGCATTCTAACTTGCTTGGGCCACAGTGACAAAAGCTCCGTACGGCTTCGGAGTATATAAAGTCTCTCAACCCCATCTTGACTTTGTTTTAGACTACAGACTATATCCACGACGGAAACTTATGGGGCTGTGTAATGATCGTGGGGTAGGATGGACATAGAGAAGTAGAGATCAGCCACTGCAAGCGCAGGCGAGGTTGGGCAGATCCAATGATAATTTGCACTCTATGCGGATACCTGCAACGTAAACGTTATTTAGGACATCATCTTTAGAGACCGAATTCCGTGTCTCAGCTACGGGTATGGTAACTACCGTCACATCGTGTAAGGTTGAAGCAAGTGCCTATCCAGGGGAAGCCGGCAGTCGACCGCGCCAAGGCCCAACAAGACAGATCTGCCAACCCCCAAACTCTGAAGTGCGCCAGCCTGTAACTAACGAACTGTAGCTCGTACCTCGTGTTCGTAACTCGGGTTCCGTTGCGTTTCCTACGTACGGGGCAAAAGCGAACGAATCAGATACTCTATAATCGTGGGCAAGGGGACATTGGCCAAACGGGTTACTACACAACGAGACTGGGTTATGCCGTTAGATTTACGAACGGCTCTTCCCGAATCGCCCGTTGACGTGTAAAGTGTGGCTATGACGGCTCAGCCTAGTGGGGCGTTGACCCTTGTCAGCGCGTTGAACGTTCGCGCCTGAACTTTGTAACGAAACCTTATTTCAAGCCAGCGTCGGCTGTAAAGTTGCAATTGCACGAGTAAGTCGTAGGATAGTACGGCTGGGCAAAGGCTGCAAAACGGGGGAAGGGGCTATTCAATCTACTCCAGTCAGACATTCGAAAAAGTCTATTGGTCACTATGATCTGAGATCCGCAGATCCGTCAGGTTTTGTCTCGTTAGGATAGATAAGGCAATAATTGGCTATAGTACTAAGAGGAGGCAGAAAGCTTGGGCGGATTTCCTGCTCTCGAGTAGTCAACCAAGTTCCTATCCCGTTGATAAGAAAGCCGAGATTCCAGAGCTGTGATACACTCGGTGTCATTCTGTGTTGCCTCACATCATCGTTGTCTTTGAGTATCTGTTCTGAATATCTCTCGAGTCTCTTGCTTTTTCCAGTCTGGTTATATCTTCAACAATCTTTCTTACCGTACCCTTTCATTGACAGCCATCCCAAAGAGGAAACAGCCAAGAACGAGAAGAAAACTGCTTGAAAAGGGGAACTAGGAGTGTAGAGAGCACAGAAATCTACGGAGCCGAGGGTCTAGTCCTATTGTGATCTAACCGAAGCCACGAGCCGGGATCGCGGACGCGTTCCAATCGAGACTAGCCCTCTACGTCTTCACCTGGCCTGGAAATGCGATGGCGAAATGAAAAGAGCACCCTTTGGATGTTCCAAGTATGCTCTCAAACACTATCTCGCCTAGAAAGAGCCCGTCTAACAAGTCGATCTTCCAGTCGTTGAACAGAAACTCGCTGGCGGCATCCGAGTCCACGGCCTCTTAATATCTCTATCAGCAGGAGCAACGATAGTCGCTTGCTGTGCCACGGCGTATCTCATTTTTAGACATGCAAGCAATTACACGAAACCCAAAGAACAGAAACAGTGAGTTTCCACATAGACCTTTCTTTGACCACTTTTCCATCATGTAGCGTTCGTGGATTCTGACGAGAAGGCATTGCTGTGCAGAATCATCCGAATCTTGTTAATGGTCCCCGTCTACTCCATCGCCTGCACCCTGAGCATCATCTTCTACAAGAAACAGGTCTACATCGGAAGCGTCTACGAGTTCTACGAGTCCCTAGTCATTGCGTCATTCTTTCTCTTGCTTTGCCAGCTGCTGCACCCCGATTTGAATACGCTACGCCGGGTCTTCAACTTGGTGGAACCAAAGAAGTGGCTCAATCCAACGCGATTTTTTGTCAAACACGTGGGAAGAAACAAAAAGGGACAGACCGAGGATGGGCTTAAATGGTTCAACGTGAGTGACTGCATCTTACAGAAAGGGATATTCGTTGCAGAGCCTGGATCTGACCAATTTTCTTTTTTAGATCATTTGGTTCGACGTCTTCCAGTTCTGCACCGTCAAGTTCTTTGGCGCTCTCACAAAATGCATCACGGAAGCGGCGGACGTGTATTGCAAGGAATCAAAGGATCCCAGTCATGCCAGAATTTGGGTAGGTGATGACCGCAATACCACGATATGCTTGAGTGCTGGAGAGACTGGAGACACTGATAAATAATCAGGTCATGGTAATTGAGATTCTTTCCCTCGTCACGGCGATGATGTGCCTCTTGCAATTCTACCACCAAACCTCAAAGGAGATGTCCCAGCATCAACCTTTGCTCAAGTTTCTCGCCATCAAGCTGGTGGTGTTTCTGTTCTACCTTCAGACAGTAAGTGCAGATATTGCCCTTATATCCGGGGTTGAAGGCGACTGACTGGCTTGGGCCTGAAGAAAATATCGACATATGCTAACACAAGAGCGACAGGGCGTTTTCGAGTTCCTCACAGGCGACGGCGGCCCATTGAAACCAACAGCATACATCTCCCACCCATCATGGGCAGTCGGTATCCCCAACACGCTCCTCTGCTTCGAGATGGCAGCCGTCGCAATCTTACACCTCTGGGCCTACCCCTACGCCATCTACAAACACCCGGCGGCACCGACAAAGACTGGCTACAACGCCAGCGACGAAGAAGGGCATGGAACCGACCAAAGCTCCACCTCGCGCATCATCCCGGTACGAAGTTGGGAAATCTGGCCTCAGCAGCCGGAAGCGACGTACGCGGGGCAAGACACGTGCGGCGTCTGGGACGCTGCAGATGGTTCTTCTCAGTCTGTGAGCCAGGCGAGCGGCGTTTCTGCGCGGGGATTCCAGTGGAGAGCTCTCAAGGATGCGCTCAACTTCGTGGATATCTTCCGGGCTGTTGTGGGAGCGTCGCGGTGGCTGGTCGTTGAACGGCGAAAGGCTGCTCGCGCTCGCGGCGCTGGGGCCGGAGGTGTTCAGATACAGAATGAGAATGGGATAGAGTACATGGAGAGGACTAGGACGGACGATCTGTCCGAGGCACTGAACATGGTTAACAGTCAGACGCCTCGCAGGTGAACGAGCAGGCGAGAGTTGGAGATTGCACGGAAACTAGCGGATCGGATGAGAAAACGATTTCGTCCATTGCATGTACTTCGCATTCTAACTTTGTATCTAGAGTTGTCATCTCTCTCTACCTTTAGGTCCGCTCAAGCGCAGACATGTCATCATAGGAGTCTTCCAAGTTTCATCACAAACAAATGACATTCAGCAAAACAATGAAAATTTCAAGAACAAGTCATTGACGAACACCTGCTGACACCCATCTCTCAGGTCTTACACGAGTCCTTCATGCAGCCCCAATGACACCCACTTACTCCACCGCGCGTAAGCCCTCACGCATCTCGTCTCCCACCTCAAACTGAGTCCATAGACCCGTTTCCGAGCGGATCTGTCAACCAAGCTTCCTCCCCCACCAAGGAGATATTCGCAAGCTTCGATTCGCCCAGATCGTCTAGTTGGTTAGGATGATACGTTGTGGTTCTTCTATACAGCGATCCGTGTTGACGGCGGTTCGAATCCGCCTCTGGGCAATTATCGAGGACTGATCATCACGATCGGTTCAACTTTTGTTGATGGTCAGATTTTTTTGAGGGTTGAAGTTGGCGGGTGAGGCGGAGGAAAAGGTAGGCCGGTTATCGGAGGAGTGAGGTGGCCGGTCGATTGCTGCTTGAAATGATTGTGCCAGACATAGAGCACTGATTACAAGTTGACAGAGGGAGACCGGAATGATTGTGATATCCATGATGAACACTGTGTTGCGGTAGCATGTAACTCCCCAAGTTGCGAATGTATGTGCGTGAGTAGCAACACGGCGTTTGCATTCTCTAAGGACCTCTTGTCATCGGCCCAAATTCGCCAGTCTCTCCTTCTTCTTCTCTTTCCCTCATCTCTTATAGTACAGTAGTATTAACACATTTTCTTCGCGCAAAGCTCCCCTTTTTATCGTCTAACCATGCCAATGCTGGCGGTGCCGTGAGCGCGCGCGCCAAAAAATAAACAAAAAAAAAGAGATTCCACCTCCTGAAAACGCCATGCCATGCGGAGTCGAGTGAAGTTTGTTCCAATACAGTGTGTTGACACTCGAGTAGCTCTCGGCAGAGCACTCTCAGTGGTCATACCCCCTCCCATCCCTCCGTCGGGTCCATTCGTACACAGTCGATTCGGTCTGGCCCGGCCCCAAGATCGCTCGTCGCAGAAAAAGCTTTTTCGTCGTCCGTAGTCGCCTCAGCGTCCTCCTTCTAACGGTGTTTCTGCTGCCGCCGCTGCTCCCGCGGTCGCAGTTCACCGGTCCTTGTAAATCTTGGGCTTAAACCCCTCCTTCACCTCCGCCTCAATCTCCTCCTTCTCCACCAGCGGCCCAATCTCCTTCTCCAACCTCTCCCTCGCCCGAAGCACTTTGCTCTGCAGGTAGAAGCTGCCGCCCTTTTTGGGATCGTTGACGTCAAACAGCTTCTTGAAGCGCTCCATGGCCTCTCCTACGTTGGCGTCCGCGCCGTTTTTGCCGGGTGCCTCGACGTTGAGAATCTTGCACGCCTCGTCGAGGGTCATGCCCGAGCCGCCGGAGCCGGCGCCGCCCTTCGTGCCGGCGGGTGCGTTGCCGTTCTTGGCTTGCGCGCGGGCGTACTCGGAGGAGGCCTGCGCTTGCTTGTAGGCTGCGGCGAAGGAGCGGCCGACGATGCGGGTGCCGACGAAGACGACTTGGGTGATGAGGCGGTAGGCCTATGGGTTACGGGGGTTAGTCGAGTCGAATCGAGGGTCGCGGGACGGTAGGAGGTTCATGAGCTCCGGCGGCGCATTCGGGTTGGAAGGGGGGCGCGCGGAGGGGAGGAGGCGAAAGCTCGAGGCAGACTCACCATGTTTGCTGTATTAGTAGCCTCTGGGCGAAGGGCGGTAGAGAGGTTGTTGTTGATACAGACAAATAGATGCTTATTGACTGATCGCACGGTATAGAGGGACCCGAGATGCGATGTCGCGCGGTGTTCAGTACAGCTTGGCTGGTACGGGGGGGCGCTGGGCGTAAGGATGGCTCGCAACCTATCCAGAAAAATCCATCGACGACATGGAAATTGCCGACGAGAAATTCCGAGCTTCCTGCGCTTCGGAGGTGCGGGTTTGGCCGGGCGCCGACAACTTTTTTCTCGGGCCTTCCGTGCATGCTGCGCCACATTTCTGCTGTCTAGCCACACGGCTGGTGTGGCTTGTCATCCACCCTCAGAGGAAATGAGCAATGGATTCCCCTTGTCAACAAAGCGCGGGTCTTGATTTTGAGTTTGAGTCCATCTTCGAAATGTTCCGCTGCGCTTGTGCTTTTTTCAATCAACGTCTCGACGGCACCACAAAAGCCTGGAACCTTATTTTCACCTCGAGTTTCCTATGCCTGTCGACTGTGTGACTGGATATGCAGCACGATAGAGGATCGTGGTGGGCGCATACATAGACAGCAAGACTCCGACGTGTCCCAGAACGTCCACGATCGTCACGTTGCCGTTGCTAGCGCAGAGGGCACAGTGCCGAACCGGCTGCCCAGGATCATGCTGCATTGTCTTCGTCTCTATGACTAAACAGCAACAAGTCCAAAGCTTCCAAAAGGCAGAGTGGACAAGCAGGCAAAGGCATTCACGGAATAAGCAAGAGTGTCTCATAGGCAATATAGTATGTACTAGTTGGTTTATGTACTCCGCTCTATGGCAGTCTAAATATGTACAGATGAATTATTTACGGCGTCAAATGGTATGTCCCAAAAAGTGAACCCGAAATCTAGGACCAGGTGGTGGTGGCACCAATAGCCTCACCAGAGGTAGGGATCAAAAAGTTGCTAGCCACAATCTTGCCGTTGGCCTGGCGCGCGCCCTTGACCAAGCTGACATCGACGCTCTTGAAGCTCGAGGCAGACCAGGTGGCGCTGCCGTCCCACGAGTTGCCGCTGCTCGTGGTGCCGCTGACGAGCGACGTCTGCCCAGACTTGGCCGTGGTCGCAGAGTTGAGCGCGGCGACGTTGCTCTTGAGCGTCGACTTGGTCGTGATGGTCTGGAAGCCGACGGCGCCGTTGTTGTAGGCCGTGTTGCGGGTGAACTGGAAGTTACCGGGCTGCTTGTTATCGGTGAAGCCCTTGGCCGCGTTGTTGAAGGCGATGCTGTTGGAGATGACGTGGTTGGCCGAGCCGACGTCGGCGGCATCGCCACCGCCTAGCTTGAAGCCATTGCCGTCGCCCTGGAAGTCGGTGAAGCCCCAGCGGTTCACGCCGTTGCCCCACGAGAGGGTGTCCATGATGGTGACGGGGGACTTGAACTCCCTGTTTCGTGTTTGTTAGTGGTGTTTAGGTGAGTTTGGGGTTGTGGAGAGGTCAGAACTCACCAAAGGTCCAGGCCGTCGTCGACGTTCTCCCAAAGACGGGCGCCCTTCAGGATGTTTCCCGTACCGGAGCCCTCCTTGCATGCGAAGCCGTCAGCGCTCTCGCCGTTCTTGCGGGGGTCGCGGTTGCGGTATGAGTCAAGGTAGATGACCTGGTTGTTGCTCAGGGTGCCTTGCATCTGGAATCCCGTCTCGTAGTTGTCGTGGGTGACGATGCGCTCAAAGTAGTTGTTGGATCCGTCACGGAGGTAGACACCGTAGGGACCGTTGATAATGGTCAACTTGTAAAACTTCCAGTAGTTGGCTCCCTCGATGTGAAGAACACCGCGGTCGGCGTTGGCGAGGGAAGAGTCGAGAGCGCCAGGGGTACCGGGCAAGGCCTCTCCGTCGATGGTGACGGCCTCATCGTTGTAAGCCGTCAGGGTGTAGGGCTTGGCGGAGGTACCGCTCTTGGTGATCTTGATGTTAGTCGTGGGCGAGTACGTGCCGGCACGGAGGTAGATGGTGTCGCCAGCAACGGCCTTGTCGACGGCGACCTGGATGGACTTGAGAGGAGCCGCCAGAGTGCCGGCAGCGGTGTCTGAGCCGGCGGGCGCGACGTAAAGGTCGGCGGCCAGGACGACCGGGAGGATGGCGAGGAGGAACTTGTAGAGACCCATGTTTGCTGTTAAAAGACCAATGGCAAGGTAAGGAATGAGTGACTGCAGCAGCGAAGGCTGATGGAGAGAGATCAACTCTTGCCGATTAGCCGGCTGCCATCAAGCTTAAATACAAACTTCGCATCGTCAACAGGGAGCCCTGGTCTTTGAGAGCTGTCAGTCTAGGTCCTGATGAGTGTAACGCTGTACGGTCGTAGTAAACAGCTACCATCCAGGCCGTCGCAGTCTATTCGCAACCACCAGTGACCCCCTTGTTAAATTGGGCTAGAAGGCAGACCGTCCTCCCGTTCGTGGAAAACAAACTCCACCACCGTAGGGCCGCCTCATTGATGGAGACTTGGCCTCGAGGTAGGATCCATCGACATCTCCGTGGGATAGAAATCCCGGCAATCGAGAGATTCCCAGGACCGCGTGAACGAGGGGTTCCCTGGGTTTACTAGGGATGCGGTCGAGGTTGTTGAAGAACGTAATACGCGGTTATGAGCCACGATGGGGACGGCAACACCAGCGACCCAACGGAAAAGCAGCTCGCGCCCTCCCTCGGGCTCCGGAGAGCCTCGACCGGAAGATCTAAGTCCACCATCTCGGAGAGCAGCCGTACACGGACTCGATGGAACGTTGACTAGGGCTTTACATCGTATTGAGCAGGCACACGACTCAGTTGAGCAATGGGACGACATGAAGTGGTCGGTTCTTCGAACAAAACGTGCCCGAGGACCAGACGGCTATTCATTTATATCATGAGTAAGTTGAAATGAGATGAAGGCAATGAGAAACTTGTCCATGTTGGGGAGCGCACACTCTGACCTCGCGATGTTGTTCAAATTCTGCGTGGGCTGAGTGGAGATGACAGTCCACTGCCGTGATGCTTGGCGGAGTCACCTCGTGGCCAGTTACCGATGCCATGGGTTGATAGTGGCTCCAGTGAAGAGAGTCAGCAGCAGCAGAAAACTGCCGCAGTCTGCCCACATGCGTATTGTTTGGTCGGAGATGGGGTTTGCGTGGGTTGGCAGAAGAAGCGTCCATCCCCGGACGAACATCCCTGGAACAATTGCTTGCCCAATCTGGCGGGCAGAAATTTGCGCTTTGTTTGACGCTAGATGGAAGAGGAATTCGCTGCCGTTATTCGCTTTCTGGAAGTAAACAATTGCTGGAGTTGGTGCTTGCAGAAGAAAAGGGAGAATTGCGTTACGCTTGCAATCTCAGCGTGATGATGACATGATCTGGCTACTTGTGCATTTTTGCATGGCTCTTGCTGTCGTTCATCTCATGTTGCTGGTGCATAATGTGTTCGTGGAATAATAGAGCCGAAGACCTGGGGAACTGGGAATGCCGGTCCGGGGTCATCAAGAAAGGTCCGAAGGAAACAGTCTGAGGTGATGATCATACCTATGTTATCGATAAGCCACAGAGCTATCTTATCTTATCGAGTCGGACTATCGATAACAATCTATGCCTGACTAGCTCAGCATTTCTGCCTCGACCATCAGGCACAAAGCATTCTTCATGGCCCCACTCTACAGCTCCAGCGTCCAGCCCTGACTGACGTGGTGAACCTCGAAAGAAGCTACGTCTCCAATATCGCCAGCTCCAGGTACCACCTGTCCACTCACGCAACCAAACGCGCCTCGCAACCCCGGCGCAAAACGGCTCTCGAGCCCACGACCGACGACGAGCTCCTACCTACAAACTGTCAAAATCAGATTCGCATCAATCCCTACCACGAATCGACGACGAAACGAACCGAATCGAGGCGCCTACTCCAGACAAGGGGGTTAAACCAACCTACACCAACCTACCTTGAATACTCACAAACAACAATGTCAAACTACTACCAACCCCAACAATCCTACGGCCCCGGCCCAGGCGCAGGAGGAGGCGCCGGCGCCGGCGGCGGAGGAGGCGCCCAAAACCTCCAGTTCTACCCCTCCTCCTACTCCCCAGCCGGCGCCGTCTCGGGCCACGCGACTCCACAACAGGCCTCGTACGGCTACGGAGCGCCCCAACCCGCCGCGGCAGGCGGCTTCGGCGGCGCAGCGGCCTTTGGAGCACCTCCCGGCGGCGGTGTCGGTGTGTCGGGTCGCATGGGCGAGCAGGGCGGCCTGCGCACGGGTTGGCTGGCGGCCTTTTCGACCGAGGGGTACGATGGCGAGCCGCCGTTGCTCGAGGAGCTAGGGGTCAACTTTAGACATATTCAGGCAAAGGTATGTGTTATTGTGGTGTGAGGCGCGAGCGGGCGTGTGAAAAGCATAGGAGACTTTTTGTTTTCAGCCCTTTCAGAATGGACGCGGACATGGAGAGACGTTGTGGCTGACTTGCGGTGACTTACAGACTTTGGCCGTACTCAACCCCTTCCGCCGGATCGACCAACACCTGATGGACGACGCAGACCTTTTCGGTCCCTTACTCTTCGTCCTCTCCGTACGTTTGAATTCAACCTCACCTTCTCCCCCCCCTCCAAACAGAAAGCTAACGTTCCCCCTTCCCAGTACGGAACCTTCCTCCTCCTCTCAGGCAAAATCCACTTCGGCTACATCTACGGCCTCGCCCTCCTAGGAAGCACCTCCCTCCACATAATCCTCTCCCTAATGACCCCCACCGACGCCCACCCCCCAACAGCCCCCTCAGCACCCCAATACGGCGGCCCCGTCTCCTCCGTCGGCGGAGGCTACCCCGGCGCCCCGGACACCCACGACCACCCATCCCGCAACGCCGCAGGCCACTTCTCCTCGACCCTAACCTTCACCCGCTCCTCCTCCGTGCTGGGCTACTGCCTCCTGCCCCTAGTCGCCACCAGCGTCTTCGGCATCTTCATGCCCATGGACACGCCCCTCGGTATCGTATTCACCACCATGGCGATCCTGTGGTGCACGTACTCCGCCTCGGGCATGTTTTGCGCCGTTGGACGGATGAGGGGCATGCGCGGGCTCGTGGCGTACCCGCTGGCGCTGTTTTACGTCGGGTTCGGTATCATGGGCATCTTTAGCTCTAGGGGCAGCGGCGGGTCTCTGGCCAAGGCGGCGGCTGGGTTGAAGGGTTGAAGGCGCAGACACGGGGGAGACATGGAAGATAACGTACACTAAAGACAGGGGATAACGTAGTTTATACGAGAGGACTCGACAAGGACAACGGAGACTGCAGAAGCGTGCTGTACAGCTACTTATCCTTGGGGCACGGCGCAATGCGCGTGGCACTACAGCGTGGGAGTCTAGAGGAGGCGCAGAAACCGATGGGAGTCCAAAAGCCACGATAGACGATGGAGGCAACAACGAGACAGAAAGCATGCATGCCCACGGCTACTTAGGGGCGAGGCGGAAGCCAAGGGGCCGAGGAATGCATCACGTCACTGTACAATACTATAATCATGTTCAGACGAAGCCAGAAATAAATTTTTTGATAGTCCAATGCCTTCCTATCCCTCCCGTTTCCATGCTGCTAAAAGATAAAAATGCATAATGCTGGGCCCAGAGATCCTCTCGTAATATACACATCAAGTGTAGAAAAAAGGGGGAGGATCAGACGTTTGAAAACTTCTCGAGACCAAGCGTAGTATTACAGGAGACTACCACAAGTCTCCATAGCCAAACAGCCTCCGCGGCGATGATGATCCTCCGCCAGGCACACAATAGGAGGGGGCCTTGTCGAGCAGAAAAATCCTCATTGGTATCATAAGTTTGACTCCCCTTCGAGGCCGTTTCTATACCTGCCCATCCGTCCATGCCAAGTCGGAGCTCACTGCCGCTCTTGTTGGGAATGAAAAGTCTATTAGTCCGCTCATGGGGACAATTGAGAAAAAACCGGAAACTCGTCAATTTCAGATTGTCGCACGAATGTATCGTACCGCGAGTGAAATTGGCTCATGCTGTGAATGAACCGAGGAAAAAAAAAGTATCGCAACTGGAACTGGTACGCCGACTCGGCTCACGTGTCAAGTCCACACTTCTTTTCTGGTGCTTGCGGCGCTGCTCATTCATCATTCCGTGTTCTTATAAAAGCCAGTCGTATCCGCTTGCTGTCATTTGGAACTCGCCGCCGAGCTGTCGCGGTACAAGTCTTTGCCAAGGGACTTAGAAGACAGGTCTGAAGCCACCAGTAGCCGGTTGAGGGGCAAAGCCGTTGACCTTGGGGACGTCGGCAACACCACCCAAGATGGAGAACTGGCCACCGGCACCAGCGAAGACGAGCTTCTTGCCGCGGACAGCAGTGTTGTCAATGGTGGTCGGGGTCTCGATATCCTCAGTCGTGCCCTGACCGGTCTGGTAGTTGGCAGAGAAGCCCCATGAGTGAGCCTCGCCCTTGCCGTCAATGGCGAAGTTGTTGTCAACACCAGCGGCAACATATACACACTTGGCAATATCTGGAAACAGATGTTAGCTACATTCAGCAACAAGCAGACAAGATGAACTTACCCTCAACAGCAGTAGGCTTGGAGAGAATGCGGGGGTTGTTGCTCTCATCCTTAATGACGCTTTCCGCATCAAGCTCCTCGACGGGAATACCAACCTGGTGGCCATCCAGACGTCCCCAGGTCAAGAGCTTGCCGTCCTCAGTGCAAGCAAGAGAGTGGTGCTCTCCACCGGCAATCTGCTTGATCTTGTAGTTCTTGAGAGACTCAACAATGGTAGGACGCAGAACAACCGCGTCATCCTCGCCAGCACCCATCTCAATGCCAGTCTCAGCAAAGTTGTTGAGACCCCAAGCCCAGACGGCACCGTCCTTGCCGAGGGCAAAGCTGTGGTAGGATCCGCAAGCGATGCGGTCGACCTTGTTCTTGGGAAGACCCATGCTCTGGGGAATAAGGGAGGAAAGCTTGTTGCGCTCGATGATACGGCGTCCGAGCTGGTTCTGCTGGCCGCAGCCCCAAGCGACAACGACGCCCTTGTCGTCGAGAGCCAGAATGTGGTTGGAACCGGCAGCGAGGGCCGTGATGTTCTTCAATGTGGGGAGGTAGGCGGGAGTCTTTTGGATTTGAATCTTGTCGGTGAACCCGAGGATACCATCGCTCGACTGAAGAAAGTTAGCTATCTATCACCTCATGTTCATGCTGCTGCCAAATGACTTACTCTGAATGTACCCCATCCGTAAACTCTGCCGTCCTCTGTCAGGGCAAAGGTGGCGCTGTCACTAGCGACGACCTGAGTGAACTTGGCATCGGGAGCAAATTGCGCCGCGTCAAGGGCGGTGGGTGTGCTCTCGTGAGGGTTGATACCGGAGTCATCCTCGTCATCTTCCTCCTCTTCGGCATCAGCGTCACGGAGACCTCCATCCCAGTTGGTGTCGCGTCCGAGAGCGCCCTGGTCGTTGACACCCCATGTGAGGATCTTGTTGTCCTTGGTCAGGGAAGCGACGTGCATGCCACCGCAGGCGATCTGGACAACACCGACGTCCTTGGCATCGAGCTTAGGGTTCAATCTCGGGCGCTTGACGTCGACAATCTTCTTGCCGTCAAGCTTCTTGCTGCCGAGACCGAGCTCGCCAGAAGATCCCTCGCCGAAGACATATACATCGAGGATTTGGGTCGGTGCTGTGTTGATCTTCTTGCCAATCTTGTGGGGGTGGGCCGGGGGAGGCTTGGGGGCAGCGACGGCGGCCTTCTTGGTGGGCTTCGCAGGCTTCACTGCAGCGGGCTCTTCATCCGCAGACTCTGTGGCCTTGGCCGATTCTGTGGCCTGGCTGTCGACCTCGGCCTTGTCGGTCTTTGACTTCTTGGCCTTGGGCTTCTCGTCCTCCGTCTCCTCTTCGCTCGACTTGCGCTTCTTGCTATCGGCGACGGGCTTGGCGTCAGCCTTCTTCGCGGCAGCAGTCTTCTTGGGCTCGGCCTTCTTCGCAGCGGCAGTCTTCTTGGGCTCGGCCTTCTTCGCAGCGGCCTTCTTGACGGGCTTTGCGGCCTTGGACTCATCCTCGGTCTCCTCGGCGGCAGCGGCCTTCTTCTTGGGGGCGGCGGCAGTAGTGGTCTTGGTCTTCTTCACAGCAGGCTCTGCGGCCTTCTTGGTGTTCTTCTTGGGGGCAGGCTTCTCAACCTTCGCGGGCTCTTCGGCCTCGGACTCGTCGACTTCTGATTCCTCCTCGGCGAGCTTGCGCTTCTTGGAGGCGGCAGTCGCGCCATTGGTGGTAGCTTCCTTCTTCGCAGCGGGCTTCGCGGCAGGCTTCTTGGTGGTCTCAGCATCCTTCTTGGTAGCATTGGCAGCCTTCTTCGGTGCGGCAGCCTTGGGCGCAGCGGCCTTCTTGTTGGCGGCCTTGGGAGGCATGATCGTCAGGTGATGATATGATGTGGTGTGATGTTATGGGTAGGAGCGTGCTTGGCGATAAAACGCGTGTAATGGGGGATGGGTTTTGGTTAGATGAAAGATTTCGCAGAGAACAATTGAAGAATCGATTCTTTGCAATGCGAATTGATGTAATCGAGATGATGACTTTGAAAAGAGAAGAGTCAAAAGAGGAGGATTGTTCTGGACTTGGGGGGGGAGAAAGAAATTGTTTCGAGGGTAGGGCGGAAGTGACGCGACCGGAAGGTGCAGCTTTATTTTCTTGGGCTCTGGAATTCTGACCAAGCAGGGGTGGCGCTTTGTGGCTCTCCAGCGCGGGCTTACCGTAGCTGCGCTGCGCTGCTGGCGGCCCCAAGGCCCAGTTCGTTCTTGCGCAGCTGCCTTTTAGTGCGATCCGGGTGGATACCTCCATGGGTACCTGACCTTCTGGCCGTTTTTTGCGCAGCCGTGGCCCGAGCTCCCGGGGTCGGGTCCAATTGCGTTCCAATGGGGAGCTGCGTTCAAACATAGAGCTCCTGACCGCCCGGTCGCACCTGCTCTTTTTTCTTCCAAGTTCACGGCAGAAAAAGGCAAGAGCAACAATAAAAAATCATTCGAAAAATCCAGGGTGGGTCCTTCCCTTCCGGTGAGTCGGGGAAACCTCGCGTCGTCTGCCGATGCCCCCAGAATCCCCACGCCACGACGACTAGGCTTTCATTTCTCTTCAATTTGGCGCGAAATTGTGCCCGGTTGGTCAAAAGAATCGGCCTCCTGTGTTTTGTTTCCGAGGCCCATGTTCTCTTTTTACTGCGTCTTGACTCGTAAACACTGCGCTGTTGATCCTGTCTGCCAGCCTGTTATTTGGGGCCGCTTTGACAGAGCCGCGTCTTTATGGTCAGTGTGTAAGTCGATGAAGCGCACCAAAATTGTCTCAGACCAAACAGACTTCGTGACATATTTTCATCATACGAGGCAACACCGTCCTTCACAATGTCCTCCAGATTTGAGTTGATGTTCATCTTCGTCATCACAAACGTTTTACCAAGCATGCCATACTTAAATAGTATGGAGCGAACGAAATCCAGTCATCTCCAACTCGAGGGACGCGTTATCAATGAATGCCATGTTGATCCTCGTCGCTGGCTACTGAGCATACTGAGTAGAAAACTTGTTCTCGCTGGTGTTGTGTCTGCAAACCACTGTTGCATGGATATTACTCTGGACTCCAGGCCATGTCGCCACGGCCAATCCTTGATCTGGTCGAGGTGACTCTCTCATCATTTTCCCTTTTTCTTATTCTTCTTGTTCTTCGCTTTGTTCTTCCTGTTCCCGCCGCCGCCATTCTGAGGTTGGTTTGGAGCCCGCACAGGAGACTCCTCTACCTCTTCAGGCTCCTCTACCTTTTCAGGCTCCTCGACCTCTTCAGGCTTCTCTACCTTCTCAGACTCTTCGACCTTTTCGGGCTCTTCGGGCTTGAGTTCTCCAGACTTAACAGTCGAGACTGGCTCCAGAACCTTGGGCTCGCTCACGAACGAGTCCAACACCTTGTAGAAGCCCTTGCCGAAGTAATTCGCACTATAGAACGCCGCGAAGATGACGGGAATCTTCTAGATGCGAATCGGGTTCGCCCAATACATCCAAAACTTCAGTCGCCATGTCCAGAGCTCCTGTTTCGCTGTCTGCCAACGTCGAAATCGGCTCCTAACGTCTCCAAGACAACATCGAAACCGGCCCCAAATGTCTTCAAGCCAACCTTGAATACGGCCCCAAACGTCTCCAAGCCATAGTCGAAAGCGGCTCCAAACGTCTCTAAACCATCTCCCGATGCGTCGTGGCGAGAAGTCGTATTCAGAAAAGAATTGCCAATAGAAGCGCCATAGCGAGACGCAGAGCAACACGATCAAGACTGCGCGAAAGATGATGTAGAACAGCAAGACGAAGAGGTCGATGAGCTCCTCGCGTACAACAGGGTCCGGAATCCAGTAGGAAATGTCGAAAATTTGTGTGGTATTGATGTTGACTGTTGGCCAGTCCTATCGGCCAGATCCCACCGTCCGCTCCAAAGCAACCGTGCCATCATAAACCATTAACGCCTTGTCCTCCACCGTCGGACCCGTCGCCGTCGTGCCGTACAACCAATCCCGGAGACCCTCGAACGCCGATCCCAATGCTACGCGTAGTTTTGCAGGGTGAAGATAACTACTGGCGGGTAGTGAAATCGATCTCATGCTCTGACCGGTCATACGCGGTAGAGGCTGCCTTATCACATGTGCAGGCATCTAAGAGAATGTTAGCCATCATGCGAACATGTGGAGAGAGAGGGGAATGATGCCACATACCTGCGGGACGAGATCCGCAGGAGCAGGTCTCGCCGGATGGCTTAGTGTTTTCTGTGGAGGCACGATCGCAAGTGCATTCGCCAACGGGACGGGCTCTGCACGAGCAGCGGGGTCCGGCGACAACATTCTCGGAGGCGGCCTTGCTGCAGGTGCATTGGAGGGCAGACTGCTTGCCGCAGGAGCAGGTCGCTTGCTGGGCTGGGGAAAAAGAAGGGTCAGCTTGCGAAGTTTTGGGAGTGACATTATCGGTTTGTGGATTCTCTGGAGATGATATTGTGGAAGAGACGGAGGTATGAAAAAGATGTCGAGATGATGTTGAAGTTGGGGGATCCAGGGGATGAGAAGAACATACCACAGACGCACTCAGCGCTCTTGCCGCAGCAGGTGGAAGCCTTGGTGACAGTCATTGTGATTGTTGGGTGGGAAGGTGAGGTTGGTAGAGAGAAGTAAGGAGTTGGTTGTAAGTGATGAAAAGTCCAAGAGCGATATAAGAGTTGAATTGGAGTGAATTGGTCTGAATTGATCTGTATCGAAGGGAACAACATCCAAAAAGGCAGTCGCAGAGGGGTCCTTTTAAGCATCTGCGATGCAGGGACGGAGGGGCCGAGTCCCAACGTCACGGTTCCTGCCCGTCATGGTGGGTGATCCCTGCTCTAGGTCATCAGCTAAATTCCCATTGGCTAGAGATCTTTCCAACCAATAAGAGTAGCTTCATTTCCAACAATGCGCCGAGTTTCCATCGGGCCATTCCCATGGCCAGATCTTGCTGTGTCAGCCCATGTTGTGAACGGTGCGATTGCATGACAGCGGGACGGGTAACTGTCAATTGCGCCCACATCTTTTTGGTCAGCATTTGACGACGGTGGCACGGTTGGCTCGCGTGGCATCCTGCGTCGACACCTTGTGTACGATTTGCTTTCACCCCGTCGTGGACATGGATCTCTCCACCACTACCTACCTTACCTCATTCGGCAACGTACTCTGTACATTGCTTTTGCACCCATTGATTGCTATTCCAGGATGCTTTACGCCCGTATCTTACTTTGGCATTCTTCCATGCCAGTATTTGATGCGCCATTCTCTTTTTAAATGACTGTGTGGATGCAAACGCAGCAACTCCCCAACATGAATAAACTCAAAGTCCCAACGGCACCAATTCGCGTGCGCCTGCCCGTGTGCGAAGCCAGTCTCTCCAGTCATGTCATTAAACGCTGCCTTGGCTCCTCATCGACGGCAAACGGCACCGCGCAAGAGCAAAATACATTGACCTCGACCGTTTCCGCAACGTCTTCCGATCCCGTCCTATTGGCGTAGCCTTCGCTGATGTTGGAGCAACCCATGCGGTGGTCCTCTGAACTCACTGCCGCTTGCACGTATAGGGTACTCATCAGAGTGACTACCCGCCTTACTTCTATGAGAAGACAACTGGGGTATTTGGCCAAGGTAGTCATGCCAAATCCACGATGCCATACGGTTACTCAGAGGAGCCTATCCGCAGCGGATGAATTTCCAAAGTGAGGCTAGAATAGTGGTTTCGTCATCACGGACAACATCATCTGGTACGATAGCCAGGTTTCAATGAGAGCAATTCTCACATGGAAACGGTTTATCTACCAAAAGTAGATGGCCTGGCGTGAGACTTAGTCGAATTCTCCAAGAAGATGCATCAGACCGTTGCCCGGGTTCCTGCATACACGTTGACTTGCTTCACGTATAGATCGTTGACCTTTGCTCCGTTTGCTCTTACTGGTGCCTGAGGTAGCCCTCGACGAATACTCCTGATGCCTGCTTCACTCTGGGACACGGATAGGCTCCTATCCTGTCTTTCTTGCGCCCGTTTACTGTCATCTTCTTCTACTTGCCCACTTCACGGCTGTCCCAAACTTTCTTCGCCTCTTCCAAGATATGTAGGCGGATCACAATTTTCTTTCTCGGGCTGATTCCTGATTTCTCACGCTCATCAGTCATAAGGTATACTTACACCACCCTGCCCTGAGGTGCCTTCCCACTGCAGCGCGTCTGAGATCTTCAACCGTGAACACCTCACATTCACCTACAAGCTCATCAAACGCTCACCTTCCCATCCCCAAACCACAGACACAACGAGAAAGGGCCATCCATCTCACTATCAGCTCCCACTATCTCTCGTCACTAAAGCTTCAAGATGGTCGTCCCGACTGACCCCAAGCTGCGCTCCACGCTCGCCAACATAGCAGGCGTAAACATCAACCAGCGCGAAGTCGAGTACCGCAAGGCCCTCGACGACATGATCCCCGGCATCTTCTGGGGCGCCAAGCCCTCCAACATTGAAGCCATCCGCTTTCCCGACCCTATGGTTCCCCGCCGTTCCTACAAGCTCACCTTTGATGAGCCTCCCAAGCCCGGCGTGCCCAAGCAGCTCTTCATCGATGTCAAGTTCGGCCCTAGCCCCTTGGACGCCGGTGTCTTCGTCAACGCGACCAACCCCATCGGCAACGTTTCCACCTTCGACACAGGCGGCCGTTGCCAGGAGATTGCTCGCACTTGGCTTCCAGATCTGGTCCCTCGCGTCATTCGCGTTGGCATTATGGGGACGGATGACGGTGACATTGATTACATCGTCACGGAGCACATCCCCAACACTGTCACCCTCGACAAGGTCTGGGCCTCCCTCACCCCCAAGACGAAGGGCCACATCATGGATCAGCTCGTCACCGCACTGGAAACCATCCAGAAGGAACACGGATTCTCCGAGGACGACATCGAACAAGCGCTCAAGGCCGTCGACCTGTCCGGCAACATCGACTACACCGCCACCACTACCCTCAACGGCCCCAAGACTCCCGCACCGATCCCCTTGGACCAACGCCCGGCCTGGCCTCCGCAGTCGACGAAGCTGAAGCGCGTCCGCCTCCTTCTCCAGCGCTACGCCAACGAGTACCGCCCCGCCCGTCACCACTGTTCCGCCACCAGCTTTGAGGAGCAAGAAGACGGCAGCGTCTACGTCAAGTTCCCCGGTGCAGATACCCCGATGAGCCCCATGATCCTCACGTGCAAACTCATCCACGAACTCAGCAAGGTCATCGTCCTCTGCCACATGGACCTCGAGTCCCGCAACATCCTCGTCAAGCTCGTCGAGCAGCCCGCCGGTCCCAACGGCAAGTCCAAGAAGGAACTCCAGCTCGCTGGCATCGTCTCCTGGCACAAGGCCACTTTTGCCCCCTTCTCCATGGAGCGAGGCCTCAAAGACGCGCTGCTCGGCTGCCAGTTCAACTACGACTTCTCGTGGTACAGGCTCTTTGTTGATCGCACCAAGCACCTGATGCCCGATCGATTCTTCGCCGCTCACGAGTTTGTGGTAAAGGCTATGGTGAAAATGCGGCTTGCTGCCCGGGCGATGGACTGTAGCCACTCGACGACGGTCCACCAGCAGCACTTCTATGCCATGGAGAAGATTGGCTCGGACCCAGACTACATGGACGGATGGGGCAGACTGCCTTACGCCAAGGACCACGAGTCGCCTTCAGAGTCGGAGTACCGGGAGATGGGCAACGGCGTTATTCGCCACTCCCTCTTTAAGCGCTTCCAGGAGATTCCGAGACACAGCTGGCCTACTGACCTCGAGTTCCTCTTTGACCATTAGAGTGCTTGAGCTGTCGGTCCTCGGACCGTCATTGATGGGCCGTGACTGACAAAAGCTACATGTCTCTGATGTCGATTTGAGCTGGGAAGGATAGTACTTCATTCTTGGCTTGGGCGGATGTTGACAAGAGAAAACGACATGTGTTCTTGGCCATCACCTACCTAGCATCCTGGGAGGAACGTCGATCTTTGCGCTGAAAGTGCGTGGGGCACGGAACAGGTATGAGGGTATCGGCATAGGTTCAGACAGAGAGGAAAGTGCCTGGCAGAATAGCAAGCAAATAGGTCTAAAAGTCACTCATTCAACTGATTGTTTTGAATGTGTTGTGCCTTGTTCAGTGCCGTTCGTTCCATCCATGATTGATTAAGATGTCGTTGTCTTTGACATGACGGGGCATGGAGCTGAACGTGGCACCCAATTCTTGGGTGCTTACTAAGCCGAATACTTGCTTGCTGGGCAATGATCAAAGCGCTGTCGACATTCTGAATCTTTTTGTTTCACCAATTGAACCGCTTTCTTCTTGCCATGTCTCTTTTCTGAAGCTGCTGTGACCAACCTATTGCCGCAGAGCCAGACATGGCTGGCCATGCCACGTTCTAAAGCTTACCAGACTCTTCCTCAGAGTGCCTACATGCCAGGGTAAGCATCGTCTCCCGGGGATGTTGACTCTCGGATGTTGAAGACATTGGATCCCGAGTTCGCCTCCATCCCGATCTCTGGCCTTGTTATGGATACCTACACCAACCATCACATACTTTCTTTATTCTTCAGGATGAGCAGGCGAAATGCATCAAGACTGTTACACCTAACAGACCCTGATCCAGGGTGAATGCCTTACTGTCCATTGCTCTGCTTGGAGTCAAGCCTGCCTTCGGACCTGAAGTCAGGCTATGAAATAGCAACGACTGTTCTCATCCTCGAGACTCTTGCCTAGCGGCGATGGGGATACGTTGCTTTGAAAGCCAACACGAATTTCCCTAGCATCATGTCAAGCCCGAATTCAAAAAAACTCTCAGCCGTCGGAACCTACTGTCGGATATAGAAGGCCCGAGTCCATGGTCCCCCGTGTCGTTTACTGTCTCACTACATCACCAAGTACTGCAGTCGAGGCCAGTTGAGTTGTTTCCGTAATGCATATAGTTGCACCAAAGCCCCGGCCCCGGATTGGCTTCTTCCTCATGTGACTGCTTCTCTTTCTTCTCTTCCAAAGGAGCGTGGCAACTAGAATGGAAGGAAGGCCAGTTGGACATCTTGCCACATTCGTTCATTTTCAGTTGAGCTTCACTCCTTCCCTCCCACTTTCACTCCTGCCTTGGACATTTCTCTGATATATCCAAGACTTCTCACTCTCCACCCTTTCCTTCACCTTTTGTCTTTCTACATCACCCACTCTTTCTCTCTTTTTCTTTCTTTCCCTGCTTCCCTCGACCGTCTTTCCTTGATTCAGCTTCTCGAGTTTACCCGAGGATATGCGATCCATCTAGCAGCCATGGCGAAGCTTCGCTTCATGCACCTTCTTTTGGTATCGGCCGTCGTCAACGCAAACCTCGCCTCGCTATGCCGCTCTGCTGTTGCGCCGTCGCTTTCTTCATTCTCGGATGAAGAGTGTTTGCAGACTCTGGCAGCGACCCCAGCGTCCCAGGAGCCTCAGAGCGCTTCGGTCGGAGAAGTCGTGTTGGAAGAGCAGCCGCAGGATGATATAGCTCTCCACCAGATGTGGGCGAGGCAGAACCTGACGTAGGCACGAAATTCCTGCGCCTAGACTGAAGCTGATCAAGAAGTATAGGCCGCCCGCCGAAGCATCGCTTCAAGTCACCACCGTCACTATCGTTCGGACGGTTACCGTCGAGCTTGCTAGCCGAACTGAGGTGATCTGGGCGCCTCTTCAGCAGACCTTGACTTTTATCAATCCCACCCTGGTCTTTGAGACGAGCGTCGTCACCGCGTCCCAGCCTCGAGATATTGCAGCGAGAGACGCGGCAAATGCAATCGCATCGGATCAAGCGGCGATTCCCGAAGTATCCTCAGCCGACTTGTACTACCACGAAGGCGCTCAGCTCTCACCGCACCCAGCTCCTGTTCGACGGCAGACCCTGGCTTCAGTCAACAGGGTTTCGACAGTCACCGTCGAGATCACGACCACAATAGTAGCGAGCGGGACCATAGTCCGTACTGTCACCATCTTCAATCCTGTGTTCGTCTCGGTCACTCAGACACCTACTCTTACGACGACAATCTTCACAACCACGACCCTTCCTCTCGAGAATACGGCCTCCAGCGTACCTGCCGGTGTACCATCTCCACCGGCTAGCCAGAAGGCCATCTCCAGTGACGACGCTCAGCAGACTGCATCGTCCATATCCCCCGACCCTCCTTCTTTCACGGAAACGACGCTGGCAGCCTCCGAACCCCAACAGCCTTCAGTTGCCTCCAGCACCTTGGGCGCACCTGAAAGCACTCGCGTCCGCTCATTATCTGATACGTCTCGCAGTATCTCTACATCATCCTTGGTACTTCCAAGCTCGTCTACACCTGCGACCAATGAAGGGACCTCGGCAAGAGCTGGGCCTGTAACGAGCAGCGGCCCACCATTGAGATCAACATCGGCGACGGCTGCTCCACCATTGACCGAAACTCTCCTGCCTTCGACAGAGCGCATCTCCAGACCATCTCTAGGTCCTGAGGCAATCGCAGGCATTACTGTAGGCGCAACGCTTGCTCTCACAGCTCTGATCTTTCTATTCCTCTGCATACGTCGACAGAGATCCAAACGCAGGCGACATCTTCAGCTGAGCGAAGACGATCGCCAGATGACTACCGCTACAGTTGGTAACGCCATCATGTACCGAGCGACTTCTCACCCTCTAACATACGATGGACCTTGTCAAACGCCGCAAACTGGAGGATGCAGCAGTAAGAGCTCCGAAGAAGAGCAGGTGCGAATTGTCATAAAGCCCATCACCAAGAACAGAAGCATGAGCAGTGTGCTCTCGGCACTGCCCAAGGTCTGGCCTCGGCCACCGGGGTACACGGGCAAGGCATACAGTTTTTCTGCAGGCGGGAGCGGCGAAACAACTCCCAGAGAGCCTACAGGATGGAGCGTTGAGAGCGAGTATGGAAGCTCGGGGAATCAGGATGCCTCGCGAAGCGGAGGACCTTGGGAAGCCGCCGCTTGGAAAGGGCCGGCAGCAGCCCACCCCATAGCAGATGGTAGATGTGAGACAGGCAGGATCAGATGAACCAATACAGTACGATTGATCAGTCACTTCAGCACTGATGATCAGGATGCCTTCGGCACGAGGAAGCCGACGAGGAACTTGCCCTAACCGTGGCAGATGGCTCATGCTTTTGCAGTATCTTCCATTGGTCTTCAGAAGTGTCGCCGTTGCTTGCCGACGCTTCTCTCCTTCTCCTTCAACCCAATTTCTTTGTTAGCCCAATTTCGGTCGAATACCACGACTCCATAGTCTGGCCTGTACCTAGATGGACTGCATCTTATGCAGTCGATTTCTGATATAGGGAAATGTCTGAAAGTTCCACCGGGCCGATTCAGGTGAGATGAAGCTCCCTTGCTCACCGATGCAAATCATTCCTACAACGCAGAGTGATATCATATCACAATCGGTGCGACCTCCGCCGACGTATCACTGCTCCGTTGTGACAATGCTCAGCACACTGCATCAAGTAGCCTAATCCAAGGCTTAGCCCACCGAAATATGCGTTACACTGCAGAATGCGGTTGGGATGTTGCCTTGGCGCATCACCGGTGCGGGGTTCTTTGAGAGTCAAGGTAAGCATAAGTTCATTTTGGATTTTGGTTGCGCCTTGGAGATTGGTATCGACTTTCTTAAATCGAGCTCTTCCCTTTCTTCGTGGCATGTTGTCATGGTGCCTTCGTTTCTCCGTGGACGAAGTTCGCCTCTGTCAACCTCCTCCCCTTTGGATAGACCATGGCATCTCAGTTGGTGATAGGACTCCTGTTTGTGACGACTTTGGTGCTGGGACAACATACTGAGCAAGTCAAGAGAAGTTTCGACACAATTTGTGAGCAGTATGACTACGTCGTGGTCGGGGGTGGAACGAGCGGTCTCGTCGTCGCCAACAGACTCAGTGAAGACCCAGAAAGTGAGTCTCAAAGCCGCCAATGACCGCTATTGCAACATAGACTTGACTAACCATATTTTGTATCTTCCCAGAAACGGTCCTAGTAGTCGAATACGGAGACTTTGCCAACACAATTAACGTCACGGTGCCCTACTTTGCCACATACGACCAGTCGGCGCGCCTCTACAACGTGACGTCCGTTCCTCAAGCGCAACTCGGCAACCGTACGTCCCGTCTTCGTATCGGTGCCGTGGTTGGCGGAAGCTCTGCTGTCAATGGCATGGCCTGGGACCGCGGCTCCGAGGCCGACTACGACGCGTGGGAAGCGTTCGGGAACCCTGGATGGGGCTGGGCGACTCTTTCCAAGTACTTCCAAAAGTCGTCTACGTTCGCGCCGCCACCGGATGAGTATATTGAGGAGTACGGGTATGAGTGGAGTGAGAATGCGTATGGTGATGGACCCATCCAGGTTGGGTTTCCTTCGTGGCAGTGGCCGGAGTCTGGTGAGTTGCTTTGACGGAATCACACGTCCGCTGATCGGTAGGCTAATGCCAATCCCCAGCTCTAATGGCTCGGGCATGGGCTCAAGATATCAAAGTGCCCACGTTGAAAGACGGCGCGGACGGCGACAACGTCGGCATTGCGTGGCTCCCGCAGAACTCTGGCGGCCCGAACGCGACTCGATCAACTGCTGAGACGGCATACTTCAATCCTGTCAGCGCCCGTGAGAATTTGCATTTGCTGGTACATCACTACGGCGCAGCTATCAAGTTTGAGGGAAACACCACGACTGGCGTGGTAATTGGTAGCCGTGATGGATCCGACACCAAGTTCGTGGGGTCTCGGAATGTGGTGCTCGCCGCAGGGGCAGTTCACACCCCTCAACTATTGCAGCTGAGCGGTATTGGCCCAGAGAAGCTCCTGAAGTCTCTTGATATCGACGTGGTGGTTGACTTACCGGGTGTTGGTGCGAACTTCCAGGACCACCCAGCCATTTTCATGGTCTATGACTGTAAGTTGGACATCTACCTCATAATTGCTGTCAGAAGGTTGGTCAGTCTAACATGCCTTCACTAAGTTGCCAACGACACTACCATCAACCCGACGCTCATGACCAACGAATCCTTCTACAACGAATCGTGCGCAGAGTACCAAGCCAACAGAACGGGCCCACACACACACGCCTGGGGAAACCGAGTCGTCTTCACATCCCTCCAGGACCTCGATCCAGATAACTACGAAGCCATCGCCGACGCCGTCACAGCCCAAGACCCCCTCGAGAACCTCCCGGAAGTCTACGCAGAGAACCCAGCCCTGGTCCAGGGCTTCACCCGCCAGCGCGATATCTTGAGTAAAGAATTCCGCAACCCCAAAGCAGGCGTCATGGAATTTACCTTTGGCGGCGCAGATTCCGTCCCCGTAGCCCTCCAAAAGCCTCTCTCCCGCGGCACCATCACAATCAACAGCACGAACCCGGACCCCGAATCCTCTGTCACAGGTGCCGGCGGTGCGCTCGTCGACTTCAACACGCTCTCCAACCCAATCGACACGCTCCTCCTCCTCCGCGCCGTCGCTAAAGCCCGCGCCTTCATGGCGAGTCCCAGCGTTGAGATGCTCGCCGCGGTAGAGATCCTCCCGGGCCCGGGCGTTGAGAGTGATGCTGAGATCGAGGCCGTCATGCGGGAATCGTGGCTGTCTTCGAGCTTCGATCACCCTGTCGGCACGGCGGCGATGATGCCGCGGGACCTGGGTGGTGTTGTGGATAGTGGGCTGAGGGTGTATGGTGTTGAGGGGCTGTGGGTTGTGGATGCGAGTGTTATGCCGTTGTTACCTGCGGCGCATACGCAGGCTACTGTGTATGCTGTTGCGGAGTATGCTGCTGATCTCATCAAGGGGGTTGAGAAGTCATTTGGCGAGGTTTGAGAAGACGATACTAGCAACATAAGTCCCATCTTGTTTGCTGTCCACTAGCATTTACGTGGTAAATAAGCTTATTTCAACTCCAAGTGCTCCCGCTCTGAATCACCGAGACCATACGTAGTACAAGCTGTGTTCACTTCCAATGTAATATTCAGAATCGCCCAGTCACCAAATGACAACAGCCTCTAGATGCATGCTTAAATCATCGTCAAACGACATTCCCAAAGCCTCAAGCTGGGTCATCAACCACCTAGCCCACGTCATTCCCCTTCAAGTCAGAGGAGCTCACAGTCAGTCATCTATCGGCGAACGACTTTTCAGCTATGAGCCTCTTTCTCAAACTTGCGTTTGTCTTCTTCCTGGCCCTGGGGCTTCGTCCTCTCGAAGTACTGCCCAATCTCAAGCCCCAGGCAGACCAGCTCTACCAGCGTCTTTGGTGCGGGCTGGATACCAACCTCCCGGACCATACTACTTGAGCACAACCAAGTTACAAGTCGATGAATCGTAGTTCCGAACTCTTAATGAACAGGACTGGGTACTAGGTGACAGTCTCTCTGACGGGTCTGCTGGTTGCCACCTTTGCCTTCTTCACTGGGTAAACCTGTGACAGTTTCGGCCAAGAGCTCTAATGATTCCTATTCTTGCGTCTGGAGAGTCTGAGAGGGAATAAAGTAGTGCAATAGAGATTGCTTTATCACAGATGCTGATAACAATGCCGAGATCACCTTGACCATGGCGGATCCCATTGACTTCAACTGTCGTGGCTAATAGTGTATCCACCAATAACCGTCGAACACAAGCCGAGCAATTGTTCATATCACGATGTGACCTCACCTCCATGCACAACTTGCATTGGGCTTTTTCTTCTTTCCCACAAGATTCGCCCGAAAGATGCTGCAGATTCAAAAGAAACCCCACCACAGCTCATAATCGTGGCGAAAAAAAAACCGTTCTCCTTCCTTGCTAGCGTTGATCGGATTCCACTGCGAGGCCGGGGGGGGGGAACCACGGGAATCGGGAGCTTCTTCAGAAAGCCAGTGAAACCATACAAGCACACCAATGAGATCGCGGTGATATCTTTGATACCCTGGGACAAATGGCGTCAGGGTCGCATCGCACCACGTACCGAGCAGCTCGAGTCGGACTGGTGCCAGTGATGCGAGAGGGGACTGCATGTCTAGTCTGCCGGTCCAGATCGCCTAGTTGTCTTGGCATTATCCTACCTGCATGATGGTATTTACACAGATCGCGCGCCCATCTTTTTTCCCTTTTTCTTGGGGGTTCAAAAAGATTCTTGCGTTGCTGTTCTCCTCTCTGCTGCTTGATACTTGAGTTGCCGACGGCCTCTTTACCTGAGGGTTTCCTGACTTTGGTACTTGTAGCATTGAAGGGGGGACTCCGTCTAGAAAAGAGACAGCAAACATGGCAAAAGCGGACCGCATCGAGATGCAGCAGCCAAAAGGCGGCTACGACGCCGTCAACACAAGCTCCTCCGGCAACACGGACGACGGCACCAAGAACAACCACCACGAGAACGGCTACCCGTACTCAATGGCTGATGGCGGCACCGGTGACTCGACGCTCAGGGTACGTGTATCTATCTTGGTCCTCCATCGTAAACCTTGGATATGACGACTAACACGAGCAAATGTTGTTGTTGTTGTTGTCAGCGCCTCTTCTCCTTCTGGCAGCTCTTGGCCTTTGCCTTGATCTTCATGTCCTCGTGGGAAGTCATGGCGATGGACATGGGAGCCACCTTTTATAACGGCGGGCCGCAGACGCTCGCCTGGGGCATCGTCCTCGTCGTCGTCGGCGCCATGGCCCAGGCGCTCTCCATGGCTGAGCTCGCGACCATCCAGCCCATCGCGGGCGCGCAGTACCACTGGACGCATTTCCTCGCGCCAGAGAAGCACCGGCGGTTCATCACGGTAAGTTCCCCCTCTAGTCCCCCAATCTGAGAATCTTTTTCCATGATCACGGTAGAGACTGACGACGGTACCCCTCACAGTGGATGCAGGGCTGGGTAACCTGGTTCGCCTGGGTTTCCGCCCTCGCCGGTTCCGCCGCCTCAGAAGCAAACATCATGATCGGCCTCGTCAGCACAAACTACCCCTCGTACACGTTCCAGCCCTGGCACATCACAATGGTCATCATCGCCCAGCTTGTCGCCTGCGCCCTCATCAACATGTACGCCTTCCGCACCATCCCCTGGATGGAGCTCCTAGCCGGCGTCCTCCACGTCGTCCTCTGGCTCATCTTCGTCGTCGTCCTCTTGACGCTTGCGCCCCGCGCCTCAGCCGACTTTGTGTTTTTCGAGCGCACCGTGAGCTCCGGGTGGACAAACGACTTTGTGAGCTGGAATATCGGCATGCTTGTGCCCGCGTGGGGGTTCATTGGATTTGATGGCGTCGTGCACATGGCGGAGGAGACGCGCAAGGCGAAGCAAGCTGTTCCGCGCGCGATGCTGTGGACGATTATCCTCAACGGCGTGTTGTCGTATGGTATTATTCTCGCCATCCTCTTTGGTATGGGCGGCGACCCGGCTACGACGGAGGCGATCCTGAGCTCGGATTACCCCATCATCCCTCTTCTCTTCAACGCCGCGGGTCCCGCTGCCGGCACAGCCATGGTCGTCGGTCTCTTGGTTATCACATTCTGCGTCGTCGCCGCCTCGCTGGCTTCCGTGTCACGCATCACATGGGCCTGGGCCCGCGACGGCGGCCTACCGCGGTACTTTGCCAAGATCCACCCGACGCACCGTGTACCGATCCGCTCCGTCTGGCTACCGTGCGTCATCGTCACCTGTCTCTCCCTCTTCACCGTCGGCAACAACGCCACGGCGACGGTGTTCTCGGCCTTTACGGCGCTCTCGTCGCTGGGGCTGTACGGCTCGTACATTATCGCCATATCCTGCATGCTCCATGCGCGTCTGACGGGGCGGATCGGACACGGGCCGGAGTATCAGGTGCAGTATGGCGGGTGGTCGCTGCCGAGGGGGTGGGGCACGCCGATTAATGTGTATGCGCTGCTGTGGTCGATTTACTTGAGCATCTGGCTGCCGTTCCCGCAGACGATTCCGGTTACGGGGACGGAGATGAATTATGCTGGGCCGATTTATGTTGTTGTTGTGGTTGGTGCTGCGACTTTGTGGTTTACGTGGGGGAAGAAGCATTGGCCTGGACTGAATAAGAGTGCCATTGATAATGTGGTGGCGTATAATTGAGGGCGAGGCGATGAGGTTTGGTTGCAGCTTGGAGTTTGGAGTGGCCTAGACTTTTATGCTGTTGATTAAGAGTTATTAGACTACATAGAATATCATCAGTGTTTGCGCAGACTGCGACTTTTGAGCCTCTACTCATATGCTGGGTTGCATACTTTGGCTCGAGTCCTTGAAGGCGTCCCCTTAGCATGAAGAGGAGAAGTGGGAGTGACGGGACATTCGAGTTGGTACGACTCAGCGTGGAGAGGCCGGGAATATTCAGAACCAGTGCTTCATCTGGCTGACGCTGTCCTCAATAGACATGGCCAACCTGTTCTCATCTCATTAAGTCGGTGCCTAGGGATTACACGCGACCTTGATGACTGGCAGCCTGGAAGCATTGCGTACGTGGAGCACGAATACTATGCGGGCACAAAGTGCGGCATCTCTATTGACAACGTGTTCGCACCATACACCAAGACCTGGGTGTTTAGCCTTTGATCTCGAGATGCTGATCCAAGAGGCAAGTCTCGGTGAAGATGAAGCATCCATGAACGGGTGTCCAAAAGCGGCAAGATGCGGAGAGGAGCGGCAAAGGTGGAACGTTCCAGCCCCCCGATCATCGGGCAGGACCGAAGGGCGCTAGGAGACGTCACATGGCGCTCAGATACGGGGGATGCCTGGATGCAAAACACGGTGCCTGTATCAGTAGGCCGAGATGTGGTTACCTGCGGCCCGTCGTGGACGTCGTGGACGTCTTGTTAGGTGAAGTCAGGGTGTCTGGGCACGTTAAACGGGAGTGATGGAGGGAATATGTTTGCTCAGTGAGTCAGGCCAGGAACCAAACCTTGTTGAGAATGAACATATCTCCATTTATGCCAAACAGGGGCAATGGAAACACGGTGACCACAGGGTCTCGTGAGTATTTAGAGCGCCGCCTTTAACCTCGGTGAGCCTTGTAGAAGACCAAGAAAGACGAGCAAAAGATGAGATGAGAGCGGTGTCACGAATCAGCAGGTTTCCCTGTCTTGTCCGGTTTCAGCTCCCCTCCTAAGCTTACCTCATCCGTCACCCGTTGGACGTTATCGGCGTTATCGCCCACCCGAGCTGACACCAACAACACCTTATCAACACCTTATCCGACCCCTCGATGACGTCCACCCAGCCAACCTTAGCACGTCTAGGTACCTAATCGCATCGCATCTCGCTGAAAGCACCAAAGCCAAGATCTCACCGGCCGCCCCCCCCCCCCCCCCCCCGCCTTGCCTTAGTCAACCGATGCAAGGTACCTTGCCTATCCAATACCGCGTAAAAGGTACATTACCGTGTGGCCCTCCGATCCAACGACAAGTGCCCGTGATGCCCGCTGCACCCGCCTGCTTTGTCCTCGTGCTCAGGGACCCCACCTTGCCCACCTCCCCTCGTCCCCCCCCAGCGAGCACCGAGCGCCGGTTGCTGCTTCCGCGTGCTGTCTGCTGTGTAAGCTGCCGTGTACCTTACCTTACACACCCGGCACCGAGGTGCTGCTCTCTACCTCACCTTACCTTACTGCACCCGCATTCCTGCATCTTCCATCTGCTCCTCCAGCTTTGGTTGAACCCTTTTTCTTTCTTTCAGTCTGTCACTCCGTGCCTCGTCCACGGCTGACACTCACAGCCAAAGTCCTACGGATACTCACACGTTCCTATCAACCTAGACATTGCGCCCTCAAACGCTGCCCCTCGACGCTCATCCCATCCGTCAGCCCCCCCCCCCCGCCTGACGTCGGCTGTGCTCCCTGCGACAGCTGCGCGCGCTGACCGAGCCGTGCAAAGCTACCTGGCCGACAACGCTCTTCCATCTCTTCTCTAGTTCCGAACAAACCTTCTTCTTCCCTCTTACACCTCTACCTCCTCTCCACCTACACGACCTTATCGAGACCTCACATCGCAACCATGTTTGACATATTCGCCCACCTCTTATCGTGAGTTTCTCTCTCCTCCAAATACGCGCAATGGGTGCTATCGTCACTCCGTGACCTCCATGATACCCTCGGCGTGGTTTGGGTTCCTTAGGCTATGGCCCTGCTTGGACTTCGAACCATTCGACTGACACGGTATTCCACCTCACAGCTCCATCGCCTCCTTCCTCTTCCCCCTCTTCGCCTCTTACAAGGCCCTCAAGACCTCCGACCCTGCCCAACTGACACCATGGCTCATGTACTGGGTCGTTCTCGCCTGCGCACTCCTCGTCGAGTCCTGGACTGAATGGATTCTCGTCTGGTACGTCCTGATTCGCAGACTGCAACCAACCTCGAGTCTCCCCTCTCCCCACCAACCACTAACACCAACCGTAGGATCCCATTCTACGCCTACATCCGCCTCTTGTTCCTCCTCTACCTCGTCCTCCCCCAGACTCAAGGCGCTCGCATCATCTACCAAACCCATGTCCACCCCTTCCTCCAAGACAACGAGGCCCAAATCGAAGAGTTCATCTCCGAGGCCCACGACCGCCTGAAAGCCGCCGGCATCGCCTACCTCAAACGCGCAATCGAACTCATCAAGACAAACGTCCTCGGCCTGCCCCCAGGCGACCCCGAACCTGCGTCTCAGCCGTCTGCCGTATCCGCTCCTGCCGGCCACCCGCCGCAGTCCTACACCCAGTCCCTCCTCGCCCGGTTTAGCGTCCCCGCCGCGCGCTGGGCTCCCGCTGCCGCCGCAGGCCACACCGGCGCCGACTTTTACAACCTCCTCGCGGGCGCTTACTCCGCCGCAACCGGTGGGGGACAACACCAGGACCTCTCCAAGTCCGGCTCTATCATCCCGCCGAACCTCCAGGGCGGCGAGAGGACGAGTTTCATCGCCGCACAGCGTGAGCGTCTCGCCTTCCTCCTCAAAGCCCTCGAACGCGAGGAGGCGGCGACGTCATCCTCGGCGCATCCCGAAACGTTTAGCCGCTCCTTGGGGAGCATGCAGCTCGACGGCAACGAGGAGGAGGAAGCGACGCAGAGACCGCCGAGCGCGCACAGCGGGCTGAGCAAGTCGCGGAGCGAGACTGATTTCGAAAAGATTGACGCCGAGAGCGGGGCCGAGGACGCCGGTGGTGACGACGAGGACGGATCCGTTAGGCGGAGGCAGACGAGCGGGGGATCATGGATGCCGTGGGGATGGGGTGCCACGCCGACGGCTGAGAATCCCGAGGGTGGATCCAGCTCGGGTGTGCACAAGTGATGCCGCCCTACAGACATGACAACGGCGTTTGTCTGCGGGAATGGAGTTTTTGCGCGGTGACTTTTGGTACCTTGACATGATTTAGATGTTCGGCCTCGGGCAAGGGATGGAGTCATGGTCGATTGATGATCCACCCGAGAGTGGATGTCATCCCGGGACCAGCGACGTCTGCGCTCCCGGTCGATTCACACAACTAAACGGGGGGCTGAATAGACCTGGGAGTCGCTTTCAACAGCCGACCAATGTTCCTTCGAGACTGGCCCTTTTCGTGTCTGTACTAATCTTTGATTGACCGCTATGCAAAGGTCTATGCATCTACGACCCTTCCCCCTATCCCGAGGAGGGCCATGATATACGTCTAATATTACAGTTGAGATTCCCAAGCTCTTGCCACCCATCTTACACATATTCCATCCATCGATTTTTATTTATACAATTCTTTCATTGACAAGAGTGCGCGAGCTTGGAAGACTAAGCCATGCCTCCTACCGCCGCAGGAACGACCTTCCAGATTTCTAATCTCTCGGTCCCTGACAATTAGTTCGTCTTCTTGTAAGGATACGCCAACGGCACGTCCTTGCGTGTCCAGACGAGCTTCTTGCGCTTCGTCGTGACGTGCTCGGCCCAGATCTCGTCGGCGTACTCCTTGCGGAACTGGCGGATGAAGACGGGGTCCCAGAGGTCGGAGGCGACGCCGAGGTCCTTGCAGCAGCGCATCAGGGCGTTTGATTTGCAGCCTTCGACGGCTGAGGGGAGGGTTTCGACGGAGAAGTAACCGTTTTCGCCTTGGGCTTGGGAGATGAAGCTGTTTGTGGGTCATGTTAGCTCTCTGTTTTTCTCACAAAGCGTCTCTAGAATGGTTTGCATGGGGGTAGGGGTAGAGAGGACCAAGATCCAGAGAACAACGTACCGTCCTTCCGCGATGAGAGCATACTCCCTCGTCACGACCTTCTCACCCACCACGACATCGCCCTTTGGCACGAGACCCCATCCGCCCGGACCGAAGGCCTGGTTGAGGATGCGGCGGTACTTGATCTCGGGGAGGTAGACTATGCCGTCGGGTTTGACTTCCACGTCGGCGGGGTTCACGGGTTGGAGGAGGATGTCGACGACTTCCTTGGGAAAGCGGGCTGTGCCGAGGCCGTGGTAGGATGTTGACCAGTCTATCGGCTGCTGTTGTTGCGCCTGGTCTGCGGCCTGGTTTTGCGGCGGAGGGACGTATGGTGGTGCGGTTGGGAATGATGTTGTTGTTGGTGCTGCTGACGTGGGTTTAGGTGTTGCTGCTGCTGAGGGTTTCGTGGATTTCGGGGGAGAGGCGGGTGTTGTTGCCTTTTTGGCGTAGGTTGAGGTTGATGCTGGCGCGGCCTTTGCGGGGGATGAGGCGGGTGCGGTGGCGGAGGCTGCTTTGTAGCGGGATGTTGTGGCTATTCTTGCGATTGGGGTGAGGGTTGCTGTCGCTTTTCGCGATGCGCGGAGGAGGGGGCGCATGGTGAAGGAGGCCATTGTGGTTCGTCTTGCATGAACGATGCGACTTTTCGGTTGAGTGAGTGGCGTGGGGGCGATTAAGGTGCGTGTCTGGGTATATGTTGTAGAATAAATAGACACGCGCGCGCAAGAGAAGAGAAGCCGGGTCGGAGGAGAAGAAGAGAGAGTATGGTTGTGGTTTGCGCGGTGTTGATGATGCTCATAGACCCGGGGGCGGCGTGTAGGACGGGGGAGGATTGAGAATGAAATTTGGTCGGCGCGGGTGAATGCGGCGCCCGGGAGGCGGGAGCTTGGGCCACTTCTTTGGAGCTAGAACACTGTGCGAGCGATTTTTTTTTTCTTCCTTTTTTCCTTCTGTTCGTCTCGTCGGAGATGGCGTCAGTCCACTTTGGGGGTTGGTGAGTGAGTGAGTGAGTGAGATCACCAAGGGGAATTAGATGAGTTGCGATTGTTTTTGTGATGATTTATTTACAGTTGTTGATACAAGTGGTGTACAAGCTTCAGCTCTTGGTAGAGAAGAGGATTTCTTCTTGTCTTTGCATTATGCATCCTTTGCGTCCGTCCGGCGATCGTTGCCCTGCTGCTTCCAACAGCTCTTGAAATGTTCCATCTGGTATCTTCAGGTCAGCTCATCTTCTACATCATTGCTGCGAGAGAAGGAGATCTCATTCGAATGAGAGAATAATATACCTCGGCCGTACACTGCCGCCAGTCCTTCTTCTCGAAATAGCAATCTGTCAACTTTGCATTCTCGTCTACAGGGACGAACCAGGGGAGGTCAAAGTTAGCGCCGCTATCCAACTGTCTGTTCGCGATCTTTCCGCTGCGATCCGGAGAGGGAGAGGAGTCGATGCGTACCTGCGCAACCCGTGCTGAAGATGCGCTTGTCCCTGCATATTGGTGGTTAGCTTTATGGCTTTTGTTGACATTTCTTCCCGCTTGCTCTTCTCTCCAGGGGTTGACCTTTAACATCGCGAACGACAGACACTTGTCGTATGAGACAAGCAAGACATACCACTTGAGAAAAGCAGAAGAGAAGTTCGACATACCAGTCATCAGGCTCGTCATCCTCCGTCGACGACTTTTTCGCCGCGTCGCTTTCCTGCTTGGACATATTTCTTTTTCCGACTTCCTCTTCGGCAGTCAATTGTCGGTTGTCTAGCAGACGTCGTTGTCGTCCTGTGTCGGTGATTGAATCGTTTTGCAATGTGTGAGGTGAGTCTCATTCGAATTAGCACACCTGGAACTTTGTTGGGGGTCCAAAACAGTGCCAACCAAACCCTGAAGCTACGACACTCGCCGCCACGGAAACTCACTCATCGCTCAAGACTCATCTCATCCCTCATCGCGCTCTCTCACAGCCTCTCATCATGGCCTCACGTAAACTCAACGTGCTGGTCTACACCGGTATATTCCCCCCTTGAACCATCTTACTATGTGAATAATTTGACTCACAACTCAAACCCCCAGGCACCGGCACGACCGTCGAATCGGTCCGCCACTGCATCTACTCCCTCCGCCGCCTCCTCTCCCCAACCTACGCCGTCATCCCCGTCGCCGAGGCCAGCCTCCTAAAAGAACCCTGGCAACCCACCTGCGCCCTCCTCGTCATCCCGGGCGGCGGCGACCTAGGCTACTGCCGCGTCCTCAACGGCGCCGGAAACCGCCGCATCGCCGACTATGTCCGCCGCGGCGGCGCTTACCTCGGCTTCTGCGCCGGCGGGTACTACGGCAGCCGCCGGTGCGAGTTCGAGGTCGGAGACCGGACCCTCGAGGTCATTGGGGCCCGCGAGCTCGGGTTCTTCCCCGGAACGTGTAGGGGCGGGGCGCTGAAGGGGTTCGAGTATCATTCGGAGAGGGGGGCGCGGGTGGTGCGGTTGAGTGTGAAGGATGGGTTTGGGGAGGGTGAGGTGTTGAGTTACTATAACGGCGGAGGCGTCTTTGTCGATGCTGAAAAGTATGATAACGTGGAGGTTCTCGCGCAGTATGCCGATGAGATTGCGGTCGATGGGGGAGCGGGAAGAGCGGCCGTGATACACTGCAAAGTCGGCTCCGGTAACGTTGTCCTGACCGGTCCTCATCCAGAGTATGTTTGTCCAATATCCCTCGCTGCCCTTCCCCCCTAACTATGATTTCCAGATTCGCAGCAGCAAACCTCAACCCCCAACCCCAGATCCCCTCCTACGAAGCTCTCGTCTCCTCCCTCGCAGCAGCCGACGCAGCCCGCGTAACTTTCCTCCGCGCATGCCTCTCCCGCCTCGGCCTAGACCTCAGCGCCGACCCCTCCGCCCCGCCGTCCCTCTCGCGCATGCACCTGACCTCGGCGAACCACATCGAAGTCGGCGAGATGCTCGCGTCCTGGGAAGAGGCCATCACCCGCGAGGCCGGCCAGGGGCAGGATGCCGAAGACAAGGAGGAGTACATCCGCGGCGAGCACGACGTCTTCCGCATCGAGAAGCGGTCTTCGCGGTGGGATGTGGACGAGCTCAAGCAAGCTCTGCCGTCATCTGGTTCTGGGCAAGGAGGGGAGGGCCGGATGGTGGATTATGATGCTGTGGTCAAGGTGATTGTCCCGCATGAGGAGGCGTGGCCGGACGCCAAGGAGACGCCGAGCTTTAATCATCGGTTGTTCTATAACTCTCTCAATGAGTATCGCGCGATTGAGCCTGCGGCGGAGGAGTGGGGTGATACGCTCATGTATGGGGAGGTTGTCACCAGCACGAACACGCTCATGGATAAGTATGGTCCCCCTTTCCGCCTCTTCCCTTCACATTTGGAAACAAGAGCCATCCATGCTAACGATACTATCTTCTAGGAACCCCAAATTGCTCGCTAACCTTCCGACGGGCTTCACTCTCACTGCCACAACCCAAGTCGCCGGCCGCGGCCGCGGCACAAACGTCTGGGTCTCACCCGCGGGCTGCCTCATCTTCTCCACCGTCCTCAACCACCCTGCTCATCTAGCCGCCTCCCATCCAGTCGTCTTCATCCAATACATTGCCGCCATCGCCATCGTCGAGGCCGTCAAATCGTACAACACAGCCTGCGGCGACGTCCCCGTGAAGCTCAAGTGGCCCAACGACATTTGTAAGCCACTCTCCCTAAGCCATCAAAGCATCAGCAGCATAGACCCGTACACTAACAATGACAAAGACTGCCGCGACCCAGCCTCATCCCCCGAAGACCCCTCCTACGTCAAAATCGGCGGCATCCTCTCCAACTGCGCCTACTCCCAAGGCGCCTACCAAATCGTCCTCGGCATCGGCATCAACACCACAAACTCGCGCCCCACCACCTCCCTCAACGCCATCGCCCCCGGATCCCTGAAAGCGGCAGGCGGCTTCCACCTCGAGACGCTCTTGGCGCGGATCCTCACCCGCATTGAGGCGCTCTACGCGCAGTTCCGCCGCGAAGGCTTCTCGCGCGACCTCGAGGAGCGGTATTACAAGCACTGGCTTCACTCGGGCCAGAACGTCACGCTCGAGGCCGAGGCGGGGGCGAAAGCCAAGGTGGTGGGTATCACGCGGGACTGGGGCATGTTGAAGGCTGTCGAGGTGGATGGGATGGGGAGGGAGACGGGGCGGATGTGGGCTTTGCAGAGTGACGAGAATAGTTTTGATTTCTGGAAGGGGCTCGTGAAGAGGAAGTTGTAGGCTTGGCCCGCACAGCAGGCGCATAGTGATGCTTGAGACTATGGGGTTGTTGAAACCGGACTGGTTGCTTCGACTAGATCCAGGGTCTTTCCAATGGATGTGTGCGAATCGTATCTCGCTGAGTGAGACTGATGAACGCTTTGGGTTATTCGGAAGAATATCGCCTAGATGAAAGTCAACAGGGTGCTTTAAAGAGGCACAGTCGTCTCACGGGATCGTCTGCGGGCGTGCCCGGGTGCCGTTGTCAGCTTCATGCCGCATCTGGATAAAGTAGGTAGCTAGCTACACGGAATGCGTTCCGGCTTACACCTCTCCAACTTGACTCAAATCAAGATTCTCAAGCCCCTTGTCATCGTCTTCTACACGTTTTACCTAGTACAATGATCAATTGTCATTGAGACATCTGCCAGTTGTCGGCTTATACGGTTCTCAAACCCCCGTTCGCCAGTCTCACGATCGGCGTTCCGGAGCCCCGATCTCTCCGTCTTACACCCTCCACACGGAAACTGTGCCGCCCGCCCGTCACCTCGGAGACTAGGCGGCGGAAACAAAGTACGCGAGAAACCATAGCGAAACATGCCATTCTAGCAAAATCCTTCCCCATCGATCCACATAATGATGACAGGACGCATCGACGCCAAATATTTGACATGGAAATAGTATATGAAACTACCCAAGTTCCGTCATACAACCTGCTATCCGTCATGAACGCAATTGAGATCCTTGGTCGACACCGCTGCCGCTCACCGTTATATCAAGGAATCTCACCATCGAATCTCATCATCAGGCTCACCACTACTACTCACGCTCGCAACAGATTCGCTCACCCCACCGCTCTCACCCGCAAATTCGCGACCTCGCGACCCTTTGCAACATCAAAACAACCCTCCAAAATGGCAACAGAAGAACTACCACAAGTGAAGCTATACTGGTACCTACCCCTCCTCACCAAACACCTAAACCCTCAGAAAACTCATCAATACAAGGCTCAACGACTCCCGCTCCCAAAACACCCTCTGGCTCCTCGAAGAACTCAAGATTCCCTACACAGTCCAACTCTTCCGCCGCGCCCCCAACCGTCTCGCGCCCCCCGAGCTCGAAGCCGTCCACCCGCTAGGCAAAGCGCCCGTGCTAGAAATCACGCCCACCCCCAGCGATGAGGATCCTAGCCCCGCACCGATCCGGCTTGCCGAGAGCGGGTACATCACGCAGTACCTCGTCGAGCACTTTGGCCACCGCAAGCCCGGCCTCGTGCCGCCACGCTGGAAGCTTGGACGGGAGGGGAAAGTCGGGGGCGAGACGGAGGCGTATGCGCGGTTCTGGTATCTGTTGCACTATGTCGAGGGGAGCTTCTTCCCTGTGATTGTGCAGTTTATCCTCATCAATAGTAAGCCCGTCTCTCTCCTTTGTATTCGGCAATTATGAGATTCTGACCTGGACACCTGCAGTACTGAAATCATCCAACGTCCCCTTCCTGATCCGCCCCCTTACCTCCCTCGTCGCCTCTAAGATCTTTTCCCTTGTCATTTTCCCCAATGCGCAAAAGCACCTCGCCATGCTCGAGAACTTTCTCAAGACTGCGCCCGGGGTATCAGCCGACGGCGGCGGGTTTCTCTGCGGGCCAGAGCTCTCGGCCGCGGATATACTCATCAGTTTCGCGCTCATCACGGCAGACGCCGAGAATGCGTGGGACACGATGGGTAGCTGGCCCGGCGGGTCGGCGAGGGCGGCGCATCCTATTCTGTTTGAGTACGTTGAGCGGCTGAAGAGGGAGCCTGGGTATTTGAGGGTTGTGGAGAAGGTTCAGGAGGTTGAGGGGTGAAGAGGCGATGGGCAGGACACTGGCCTGATCTGGAGTCCTCTTGCGACGGAGGTACCCCGGTGTCGCGATGCTTGGAGTTAGTTACCAGGACGAAAGGAAAAATCCCATCTCCAACTAGCAGACAACTTCACATGAGTTTTCGCTTCTCACACTTTGAGGTCTGCCACTTCTTGACTAGATCGCTAAGAAGACATCGTGAACTAGAGTTATCGTCAAGATGCGCCGCCAAGATGAGGCTTACAAGGACACTGAACTTTGTGTTAATTCACTGATCATAGTGAGAGCGGGCCATAATCAGGAATTGAAGGTGCACCGAAGTCCGTGAGGCAGAGACATCAAGTAAAACATTCCGGGGAGAAATGATACGACAGAATAAAGGCCAAAGCCATGTTGCACCTCGAATCTCATCTCCGATTTGAGATATCATCTTCGATGCCAAGTAGAATGGACCATCACAGCTCTGAGGGAAACTTGTTGAAGGGCATCTTGCAACTCATCGCACCTGTCGCACAGACTCCCCGGCAAATGCGGTGACATTCGATCCTACCGATTCCCGCTCATCCTCGCAGAAGAAGAACTCAGCCAGAACACATCCAAAAGAAACCACCCGATACAGATCTTTCAACCTGCCAATCGCGAAGACAAGCTTCTAGATCGGCCCTTTCAGTTCTCCAAGAATATCCTGATATGGCCTCATTCATGGATCGGATTTCTAGACGCCGGGAAGCGCAGTCTCCGTCGTCAAGCTCCTAGCGCCCACGAACCTTTCGTGTGCTGTGGGTATCGCAGTGGGAGCAATCAACGCAGACGCACAACGAATCGCTATGGCGGGGTTGACGGGCCGGAAGTCTGGGTATCCTTTGTGCTCCCTCACCACCTCACCACCCCATCAGAAATCGCCATCCACTTCGGCTCACGAATATCTCTGCCCGATGAGATGTCGTTGGCCGAGTGGAATGAGAAGGTAACAAACGACACAAAGAAGAAGCTCCGAGAATGCAGAAAGTAGCCGTGTCGGGACTACCTAGAAAAGAGGGTGGATGGACGAGAGATGCATGACCTGACCTGACTGAGGTGGGCAGAAAATGCAAACGCCGTTGCCCGTCAACATCGCCATCGCCATCGCCAGTCGCCATCGCCAGTCGCCATCACCGTGGATCGTCTGGTCCGCGTTGGCCCACCGCGCAATTATCCGCTCATCCACACTCTACGATGAGAGACAGACAGCGTTCGATTGCGTCGTGAACTCTTACCGCAACGAACCTTGAGATGAAGCATGTCATCAGACCAGAACTTTGAGAAACGAACCGGTCCCACCAATCGGCGCGGCAATCAAGCCAGGTCCTTCCGGATCGGGAAAGTCCCGGACGGCACTCCGTGCTGCCATGCCACCATGCCTGCGGGGATGGGACATGTGGTCGCGGGATTTGCGGTGTGGAGGGATGAGGTGCATATTCAGATGCCTGCGGATAAGGAATGCAAAGTGTGTGTGTGTGGCATCTCTCACCCCGCATCGACGAATTCGATAGCGACTGGTGCGGGAGCTCACTCGAGTTGGAGAAGTCGACGCGGGGGTGGTGAGTTTGTTCCTCTTCTTTTCCCTCTCTGTTTCTGTTTCTGCCTCTCTTTCGAGGTTATCGTGAGATGACAGCCGGAATTGTTTCACTCTCAGCCATCGAAATGTCTACCCCGTTTCACCAAGATGAGATGACAGCTGAGGTGAAGCTGAAAAGGTGACAGGACACTTCACTCACGAACCGTTCAAGAAAGCTGAGTAGCTGGAACTTGGACAACCCTCTCTGCCCCTCCATCGGCCTCTCCCGCCGAGAACCCCAAAAGAAACAGATGTCCATCCAATCGCGATCCCACCCGTTTAGCCTGGGACTTGCATCTGGCACACTTGACACTCACTCACTCACTCACTCACTCACTCACTCACTCACTCACCTTCCCTTTTGCCTTTTCGGGCAGACATGGACAAGTTCACAAATCCACTCACACATACGCACACTCAAAGGTAGACAGATAGACACATCCACACAAACATCCACGCAGGCGCACATCAGGAGCCAATGCGCCCGCGCCGACGAATCGAAGTAGCTTCTTCTTCAACATGGAGCCCACCCGGTGGACAATGGGTGGGCCGGGACGCGGGAGATGCTTCTCCAGGGTCCTTTGCCGGGCTAGGATGTTCGCCGCGTGAATCCAAACCCGGGATGGCGGGGGTTTTGAACGTGGTCCCGCATGACGGGTTTGGAGCCTCCTAACCTAGTAGTTGAGGTCTCTCTCATGTCCTGCTATGAAAGACGGCAGGTCTGCTCTTGGGCTCTATGGATTTTGTATCCCGGTGTGGTCTCTTTCTTTTCTTGATGCTGTCGCTCTAGATCCAGAATTCCCTCCCATGTATTGGAGGCATGTAAGTCCTCGGTAACCGCCAGGCGTGGAAGATCGCAACAAGACCACCAGCATTCGACTCCTCGGCGACTCTCGCAGTCGTCCCGTTCACGATGTCAAACTCCAGCATCAACGCCAACCTCACCCACCCTCACACACCGTCGTCATCTCCAACGATATCACCCATAGTCCTGAAGGAAATTGTAGGTCCAGATCCTGTTGATCTCCGCAAAGAACCACAGTCTAACACTACATCGCAGCAAGATGCAAACGTCCCCCTCTTCATGACGGGCCTCCTCCTTCCCCACGCCCTCTGCACCATCTTCATCGCCTCCCGGATAGCCTCCCGTCTCTGGGTAACGCGGAAATGGTTCCTCGATGACACTCTCATCCTCATCGCATGGCTCTTCTCCACGGCCCTCTGCGTAGTCTACAGCATCACCGCCACCACGCCCTCCCTCCTCGGCGCCCCTTCACCATCCGCCTCAACCACCACCGACACCGACGCAAACCCCTACATCATGCGAACCTACCTAGGCCTAATCTACTACCAAATCACCCTCTGCCTCGCAAAGCTCTCCATCCTAGCCCTCTACCTCCGCGTCTTCGCGTCCTCCTCCCGGCCCCGCGAACGCCTCCTCGCTCGCGCAGCCGTCGTCTTCGTCCTCCTCTACACCCTCCCCTTACTCCTCATGTCCTTCCTCCAATGCAACCCCGTACAAGGCCAATTCTTCAGCCGCCCGACACCAGTATGCTTCCGCTTCCCAGACCTCCTCATCACCAGCGCAAGCCTCCACTCCGCAACAGACGCCTGGCTCGTCGCCATGGTCGTCCCCTCCGTCGCAAGGCTCGACCTCCCGCGCCGGCAAAAGATCGCTCTCGCAGTCGTCATGAGTCTCAGCGTTCTTGTGATAGTAGCCAGCATGGTTCGCCTGCAACTAAGCCTCCACCTGCACTACCGGCCCACCGACGACGCCGGCGTCCGCAACACCCTCGGCTTCTTCGTCATGACGGTGCTGGAATGCGACCTCGCACTCATTTGCGCCAGCGCGCCGACCCTCCGTCCTTTACTCGCTCGTCTCTTCCCCTCTATAATAATGAACAGCGCAAAGCGGCGCTCCCTTGAAGCCGGCGCTGAGACGCAGAGCTTCGACCTTACCAGCCTGACGTACCACGGCTACCCCTGGACAGAACCCAGCACGCCCGCCGGGCTAGCGGCGCGGAGTAGGAACGCTAGTATCGCGAGCCACTTGAATAAGCTGCGCATGCCCCCACCGCCGCTGCCAGCTCTCACTATGGCGCAGTTGGGTCCGGCGACGCTGAGTTTAGGGAGTCTATTGATTAGCGGGACGGCGCCGCGGAGACCGGGAAGGAGTTGGCATGTTGCGGAGGACGGGAAACCAATTTTGTTTGAGACGGCGGAGAGGAAAACGGGAGGGTATAAGACGCAGGCTTCGTCGATTTATTCGCAGGATATGACGTGTAGTGGGGATGAGTCGTGGCGTGAGGAAGAGTTTGAGAGGAAGGGCGGGGTGATACTTAAGACTATGAGGTTGAGTCTTCGGTCTGAGTACGTGACGCAGAATGAAGCAGACGCAGGAGACAAGGAGACTGCGGGAGGCATTGATGGCTCGAGCCCGGTCTCTGGGCTCAGCGGAGATACCTGGGCCGCGGACAGGAGCAGCTCAGGGACGACTTGGGGAGATGTGGTCGGGGGAAGAACACACGTGAGCAGATTTGTGGAAGAGATACCCAGGGAAGAAGCAGTTGAGACGCCAGAGGTTCCCAAGAGGAGCCCCTTGAGGGATAGTCGACGAAGATAATACCAGATACAGAATGACGACTTGATGAGCTTAACCAAGGCTCTCCTCCACGAACCTCTTCAGATCTTTCCCCTGCGTCTCAAACCTCTCTTGCAAAGTCTCCTTCAATAGTAACAGCGTCGTCGCCCCGGGAAGGTAATACGTCTCATACGACACCATCCTCACCGACCCATTCCCCAAGTCCGTCAGCAGATTCGGATGCTCCGCCGGCAAAAACGCGCCACCAAGTCCGTCGTCGTTTCCCCACGCACTGACGGCTCGTCTGGCATCGCCGTTGCAGCCGCGCACTTCCGGCGCAAGCAAGGCGATGACCTCGGTCGAGGAGGTATTGATACCAGGGATAATGCCGGCTGTGGTGAAGTTCATCGATAGCCCGGGGTATACGTCCTCCGGTCCCTGTACGTTGGATGGCAGGCCTACTTCGACGACGAAGGTGTTCCAGGTACTGTAGCGGCGGAAGTCGAGAAGCGTGTCGTAGATCTTGTCGAGGGGTGCGTCGATTACTTCTTCGGTGCACACTGTGAAGAGTGCGCCTTTGAGGTCGTACGAGGGCGTGGGGAGGATGTCGCTGTCACTGCAGCGTAGGGAGGCGATGTGGGATAGAGAAGCTGAGGCGGTGACGGCGTAGAGCCATATGCTTGAAGCGAGACGCATCATGACAACTTTTGGAAAGGGTCTCTCAAAAGGTCAGCCTCATCTACAAGAAAAGCGGTGATAGAAGTATGAGGGAGATTCTGGTAGTGGTCAAGGGCAAACGTCAATGATGTAGGCATCTGTCTAGGGTCTTTCAGCTTACATGCATGTCTCCGGGTCGAGCTGAAAATTCTGTGACGTGGTCATGTAGACTTCTGCACCCAATATGTGAGACCCAAGGCACATTTATGCATAATGGGTCTTTGGTTAGCAATTCTACGCAGCCGCCGTTCTACCGGATCAGCTGACAAGCCTAAGACAGGCTCTTAGATAGAAACCAGCGGGGACTGTAGCATGCGCATGTCGGCTAGAGCCAAACCATATAGAACAGGATCGAGTTAAACGATAGAGCAATTTGATTCCATGGGCCCAAATGCTGGAAACCCGAACAGTCAAGGCAAAGAATTCCGAGACAATACCGACTGAACGAAATTACAGAACTCCCAATAAATCTACACCCTGAATCATGCTAACAGAACTTCGTTTTCTCCCAATTGTAAATTCCAAAGACCTTGACCCAGCTAATGTTCATGCGAGAAACTGGAGCTAATAGCACAGGGTCTTCATCCTTGTCCGGCAGGTCCGTACACACGTATTGCTCCATCAATCTTGCCCTGAGATTTGATGTTTCCCATGTCAGTATAGCCTCGCACAAGCCGAAGCAAGACAAGAGCGGAACCCTCGAGCGTTTGAACTTTGATGGGGAGAATGCCGCAATTCAAAAAGGTTCTGAAATCAGTCATAACATCAATGGAGAAGCCACCGGGGACCAGCTCGCGCCCGAAAACTCCTTGAAAGGGGCCATTCGTGTCCATAGGCTTGGTACCATCTGATGAGAGTGAAATGGTAAGGACGTCTTGGGGGTCGAGTCCCGAAACAGTCGCGACCTCTTGGACAGTTCGACAGGTCACCTGCCGGAGCAAGACGTCTCTCCATGTCCACTCAGAAATCCATAGTGTCTTAGCCGCTGACAATACGAGGCCGGCAAGAAGCCACGAGAACATGGTGAAGTTAAATGGATCGACGCCAGGTACTTTCTCTCCGATAAGGAAAGCGCAGAGCAAGCCCCCAGTGACGAGGAGGACAGTGGACCCGAAGACTAGCCCGACATAAAGAGGTGCGTCAATGACGATCGAGTCCTTCTGGAATCTCCATTGTTTGGACACTGTCTCCAAGTGGTTTCGATCCTTGTTCGTTATGAGTACCCTCCGTGCCTGGTCCAGCGAATCGTCCAGAAGTGGGGACAGACGGTGTTGTGCCAGGCTACCCTCAGCGTCGACGACGGGAGTTAGAGCTAACAGCGAATGGGATAGAGAGCAAGCCGTGGAATCAGCATCATTAATCAACTTGGATCCATGCCTGAGCTTGAACACGCATGCGGTGTTTTCGGGAAGCTCGGCGATGTCAATTGCTTCAGTGAGAGCGCTGAAGGTTTTCAGGCTAGTCGAGAAGCCGGATCGGATCCAAGAGTTGGCGATGCCAATGACAGCGGCACTATCAGTGTGACGAGGGCACTGATAGTTTGAATCCCAAGATTGTGAATTTCACTCTCTGGGATATTACTGTTATCATCTTTGTGTGCGTCATCGCCAAACCTGGCTGTCAGCCATATCGTGTCGTTTGCCGAGACCGAGGCAATTTGGCGCCGAGACTGCAAGCACTTAGCCATCTCAAAAGCTAGCTTCAATGAAACCGTTGCCCAATGCATATGAAGCCGCTCAGGAGATCCACTTAAGCTCCCCCATCTTGGTACACCAGGGTGTGATCAGTCCTCGTGCCAGTCCTGTAGATCAGAGCACAGAGGTCAAGATGACCTATCGACTTGTGTACGGGCCGAGCTGAGGCGATGCTGCCCAGCACATGTTCCATACAATCGCACAACCATCGAGAGATCTCTGTGTATATTTTGCAGTACCGAGCTATATCAGAGCCTTATTTGTCGAGAGTTTCTCTCGCAGGGTCGAGATCGGACCACACATCATTGGACGAATTCTCTTCCAAGTTCTCTGTATCATGGTGGTCTTCTAGATAAAAGTCGAAGATCTCTGGCGGCCTCGAAATTAACGCAGATTGGGTTTCGTGCATCTTCTTTCATGCGGCCAAGCCCTTTGAGTGAAGCGTGACCAGGTATTTTAGTGCTTATCTGGCTTGACGGTGATTTGGTATAAATGCCTGCCATGTAGCCTATCTGTCCCAATGTCCAGGGCTTCCCGCATGCCCCCGAACCGCGGCTTTGTCAGTTACACACACCACTCAATCCTTTGAAACCGATTCCATCTTTGCTAAAGATATCAATAATGGCCTCGCCTGAGTTCATTCAGACTTTTCGGGAAACCATGGAACGGGACGCCATATTTCGTGCAGAGCCTCCACAAAACATGCCACGCCCTACCCTAGCGTTGCGAAGCCAGGATAGCCAGCATAGCCCAACTCGAGACTTGATTCGAGATGTTCGAGAAGAGACAGGTACCACACTATCTGGGGAGGGACCCGTATCTAGTGACAACGTCCCGGTTCAAGCTTCGAGAGACGCCATTGTGATTACGAATGAAGCGATGATGGCAGTCATTGATGATATGGGCGTCCGCGCAAATATGTACCCTCCCATACGGAAAGGACGTTCCATCACCATCGAATATCCTTACAAGCATCTGGTGCTCATCAGAGACCAGCTGCAATCGTACGCTCAGGACAAGAATTTGGAAAAAGGCCTTGCCCGCGCTGCCTCAGACATACTATCGACTGTCTTTGAGAGGGCCTCAGGAATTAGTCAAGTGGTCAGACGTCGTGGAATCACTAGGCAAGAAAGTGTCATGCAAGATGGAGAAGTTGCTTTCAACGAGATAGGTCATTTGTTCTTGCCCGGTAAGCTGGTTTCCAATCACCTTCCCACTGCTTTGGACGACATCACCCACATGAGATGCTTCAAAGTTGCTTCATGCAACATCTACTCTGACAGTGCTGAGTCTCGAGCTGCTGTCATTAAGGGCTTTCAGTGGAGATGGGCAAACTCAAGATTAGGTTTCTCTCTTGACTACTCTGTGATGTCTATCGATTACTTGAATGGAAAGAAATCTATCACGATAGATGATTTGGGGGTAGTACCTATGAGATCCTTGGCGATTTCCAAGAGACTGGAGGTGCGGAAGAAACTGATCGAGAGAGGCAAAAAGTACATTAAATTGTTCGATTCAGCTCCCAGCCTCTGTGACTATAGGGGGTCCTGCGAAATGGATGTCTATGGAAGGTTCCCTTTTTGACGATGTCGTTTACAAACCATGGAGATCGCCGGGGAGATCGAAGGGATGGTACATATGGAACGCCATAGTAAGATCTGATGAGTTGCTCGAAACTGCGGGCTTGAGCTGACAACTCCAAACCCCCGCAGCTCAACGGAAGGGTCATTGTAGACAACTTCACGGAACAAAGAGCAAAAGTCCCTCAGCCGGATGTAAGGCAAGAAATCTTGTACCGTATAGACGAGATGTCTGATGATACTTATCTCATATGCTCCGGGGGGGGGTGGTAGTCAAATGCCTGGTCGACCTTCGGGAAGTAACGGTAGCTGTCGATGAATTGCAGCCTGTTCGGTTCGCGAGCGTCCCTCTCGAAGGCCAAATATCTGTCTATTACGAAGTGGCAAGCCTCGTAAAGAGCTTTGTACCACTGACCTCGCTAAAAGGCTCGATTGCGAGACCACCCACAGGAATGCTATTTGTCGTGCGATGTGCGCCGCTAATAGACGTTCAATCTCTCGCAGGCAAGTATAAACTAGTCTAACACTGGGATTATGTCCACTAACTAACTGCCATGCAGAGACTACGGCCGAAAGCATGATGCGAGTGTGCTTACGAGTAGACCTCCTTGATTTCGGGAACATTGATGATGATTCCTCTGACGTCGTCTTGGATATAGTAGATGTTCTCAGACTCGCCATAAAGCTAAACGCGATCGTTTGTCTCCATAACTTCGCCCCCCTCGTTGCGAGACGATCACTTGGGAACATGAAATCACAAACTCGTCGCAGAATTCTAGGCAAGGATTTACAACAGTTCCTCTGAAACTCGGTGAACCAATACATTGGCGCTCGGAATTGGCTAACAAATACTGAGTTATGCAGACTTTATCAGGGCCATTGGAGCATTTCCTGGCACGGCGTTTCTCTGCTTGGGTGAGGCTGATGAGACCGATATAGAATTCGGCCGACTCAAACCTCATGAACTTAAGATTGAACTCAGGGAAACAGAAGGGGGAAGAAGATTCTACCAGTTCGTGGAAGCTGACGACCGTTCCGGTAGAGACGAAGCGTAACACATTAAGAGACAAAACACTTAGCGTATGTCTTACTGGTAGTTGACGTTTAGACTAGGTAGCCCAGTCTGTCTCTCGGAATTGCTAGTCAGTACAATTCGCCGGTGTACCAAATTGTCATGGCGATTGCCTTGAGACGACAGAAATTGTCTGTGGTTCAAAGTGAAGAGACACAATTCCGCATCTGTTGTTCTGGGTCTCTTCTTCGATCAATGAGTGCACATGCAAGCTTAGCTTATTAATGATAGTTCATATCCGCGGCCTAGAGGTAGATTATGACTATCAAAGACGTGGTGTTGAGCTTATTATATTGTTGAAAAACTCATGCTATCTTGAACTTACGCTCCAGAAACGTCGAGGGGAAGTGAACTTGCTCCTATATGCTCAACAGATACCACACATAACTTGTCTGTCGTAATACACAAAAAGGGGAGCGCTGCAGTATTTCCAAAAACTTCCGAAACCGAGAATCGAACTCGGGGCTATGCCTAACCTCCCACGGAGATGAGAGGGCATCATGTTGGCCACTACACCATATCGGATGTGGATACTCTTCTGGCCCTCTAGACTAGCTAGGTAGAGAAAGACAAGACAGCCCATGCAAGCTGACTGCGAAACGTGAAGGTAATACCCATACGTTAGTCAAATGATGTCTGAATTGGAGAAGTCCACCCTGACTTTCTCAGCTTGCAGAGATTGTGTAGCGGCAAGTCCTGCTCAACGTGAACTAATCTGGAGCGACACCAACTCGATGAACAGGAAATGCCGCCAGCACCATGCCTTATTGATATTATGACAAGTCACTAGCAACTCTACTTGCAGAGGTAGGGAGTTCTGTTCCCGAATGCATGGCTCCATTAGTCCACGCGGAAGTTAGGATTAATGTGGTGGCTGGATCTCTCGTTTTGGATGGCTGCGAGCAACAATGGTAGACGATAGAATCGGAGTTCTTTTACCCCCGTGGATGACTTGTTAATAGAGGCGGAGCTCAGGTGGCTATTTTATCTCGGCGAAAGTATCATCCCGGCTGATCATATTGAAATGGTGCTCGTTGCTGGTTGAAAACAAGCTACGACCAAGCCTCGTCAGTACCTCGTTCTCCGAACATTGAACGGATACGTAAGGTACGTACAATAGAGCCGTCGAATCATAGCACCCGGCGTGAAGCAATGTTCGAAGTTGTGTAGACTTCCAAATGGACAATAGTTGCCTCCCAATCTAACCGGTTTGTTATGTCAGTAACTTGATTAAAGAAGATGTTGCTGCGTGAGCGGAGTTGAGCCGGAACTATCTCGTTGAAGCATGCCGTTGCGCAACTCCACCCATGGATCTGAGAGCAGACATTCCATAGCCCATTGAAAGCCAAGCCAGGTCGTTATTTAAATCACGTAAACAAGAATCCTAAGAAATTAATGAAGCGGTCTTCAGCCGTTGATGGAACGAGCAAGCCCGCGAATATATTGCGGTGGTCACCGTCGGTTTTGTGTCGTACTCACGCCGAGACTGCTCTCTGTTCTTAACGCTTGTACTTGACGCAGCCTCTCAGCGTTTACAGTACCTGTTCTCAGCAGGACCCACAGTAAGAGCTGTCTCGGTCCAAGTTGACTAAACAGAAATCCGGTGTGGAAACTCGACGCCATTACCCTTCAGCGCGGCGCAAAGAGATTGAAAACGTATGCAATGTTCAGATGACATACTCCGTATGCATTATCTCAGTCAAATATGGCAATGTTGAAAAGAAGCGGCTAAGCCGCCACTCGGGTGACCAAAAAATAAAAAAAATAAAAATTGGCCGATGTTGCCCGCATCTGCCACCAAAATCCATGCCATTTATTCTGTCACCCGAGTGGCCGCTACACCGAAGGTCTGTCGGAAGTTGAACCCCAATTTTGTCCCATGCAGAATCCTCACAAGTCCATGTCGTCAATCATTGTCGTGCTAATGGCAGCAATCGCATGACGATTAAATTCGAAAGCCGAAACAAAAAGAATGGGAAAACGAAATTTTCTTCTCCCTGTCGAGCAGTTGCATCTGCCCGGTCTAATCAAACTCGGTGGATTGACCACGCGGCAATCGCCCCCGGGCGAACGACTTTAGTTCCGGGCAGAAATCATGTCGAGCGTTGCGGGCAGAGAAGCGCACGAACCACTGAACTATGCTGCTCGCGCACAGCGGGTAGGAACTGTGAGAGTTTTGGCTAGGGAGTGTTTATTTTCACATGGGAAACGAAAAATAGCCTTGACTCGTGAGTTAGCCAAGCATGGTACACATTAAGAGTCAGGTTGGTTCAACCACGGCACATCACAGAGAACAAGACAAGATATTTTTCCAAGAAAGGCTGTCATTTATACAGGCTGTAAAGAAGATAAGGTATCTACAGAATAGAAAGCTGCCGCTAATCCCATCACCACTAAGGGTAACCTTGACCCGGGGCGAATGGTTTTGTTTTAGAAGAGCGTAACAAAGTCAAATCTCAAAAACGGATACGACTTAGATCTTGCCGTAGCCAGCGCTGCTGCTGGAGACGGAAGAGGCGGCGACGGCATCGGGGATATCGGCGCTGCCAAACTTGTTGAGGACGCTGGTGTCGGCGCCGGTGAAGGTGCCGGAGCTGGAGAAGCTGTTGGCCTGGCAAGAGCGGCCCATCTTGGATGAGCAGTCCGCAGCGTTGGAGGAGGTGATGGCGAGGGTGGCACCGCCGCCGCCGGCCTCAATGACGGTCTCGACGTTGCTGAAGACGTTGCCCTCAGCGAGGACATAGCCGCCGGAGGTGACCTCGAAGCCGTGGCCGGTGGACTCGGACCAGTAGTTGTTCAGGGCGTGGACGAAAGAGTTTCCGTTGACCTTGGGGGCACGGCCTAGAATTGTGAGTTAGTCTTCTTATCCTTTTTGCTGATGCGATCTTGCTGTCTTGTTGGCTTACCAGAGAAGTGGTGGATGTAGTTGTTCATGTAGGTGATGGTGTCGCTGGAGCCGGCGAAGTAGTTGACCCAGTAGTGGTAGCCGTCGCAGGTGGCGGAGTAGTCGCTCTGGCCATCGAACTCGCAGTTGGAGACGGTCACCTTGCCGGAGGCAGCGGTGCCGAGAACGAGGTGCTGGCGGCCAATCTTGGAGGTCTGGAGTCGGGCCTTGTTAGTGATGTTCAACAAGAGAAGATCTCAGAGTAGTGAGCACTTACGGTGACGTGGTCGATCCAGACGTTGTCGGTGGTGTCGAGAGTGATGGCATCACCACCCCAGACGTACTTGGGGTTGATGTTCTCAATCTTGATGTTCTGGATGATGACGTTCTTGGCACCGGCGATTCTCAAACCCTTGCCGACAATGACACCCTTGGAGCCGGATCCGATGATGGACTTGTTGGAGGCGACCTTGATGGGGTTAAGACCGGCCTTGTTGTAGGTCACGGAGACGGAGGGGGCGTTGGACTGGTAGTTGTCGCACCACGAGTCCTTGTTGATGGCGACCTGGCAGGCGGAAGCGGTTCCCCAGGGAGCGCAGCCAGTCTCGGTGGCACTGCCATCCGCATCGGTGAAGTCGAAGGTCTTGGTCAGGACGATGACACGGGCGGACGAGTCGCCGAGGTACGAGACCAGCTCGTCGTTGGTGGTGGGGGTGACGGCAGTAGCAGAGCCTCCGCCAGTGACGCCAGAGGCGAAACCCTCGGGGGTACCGGTGACGGAGACGGCAGCAACCTGCTGAGCAAGGGCCGCAGCGGCCAAAAGGAAGGACTTGGCGAACATCTTGGAAAAAATGTGTAGAAAAGAGTTGAACGAATGAAAGAATGAGTGACTGTGGGGATAAAACAACAAGAGAGAACAGACCGACAGAGCAAGGCAACCTCGAGTTGATATACCATTGAAGGCTGAGATAGAAACTGGGTCTTTCGAGGAGCTCACCCGAGCCATTGGATCACCCTATTCCCATGAATCCATCAACTTGCCATCGACAACACGATGGATTAGGCCATGGCATGGATCGTTGGCCGCTGGCCGCGTAGTACGGGCCCCCTTGGTGATGCGGGCGCGTAAACAACCATGGAATTGAATATATGACGGGGGCTTCCCGCTCCACACACAAGTCCAATGGCAGAGCCAACGGTTACTGAAACAGGCAATGATGGCTGGTCATCCGAAGCGCCATCCCGGACGTCGAGGTCGTGGCCGGGGCGGTTCGTGGCACAGACCTAATCAATGCAAAGCTCCGATCGACGCAAGACGGAGTACGTCCTGTGTGACATTAATTCTGCCAGGTCCACCCCATCCTGCCACGCGGGTCCGTCCCGAAGGAAACGAGCCTCTCACAGGCTCCCAGAAACCATTTTGGACTTTGACAAACCACAAAAAATCCCATCAGCATCCAGGTTTGGGGTCCTTTGCGGCTCCGTAGCTCACTTCCCAAGTTCCCATATGTTGGAACCCATGTTGGGACTGGCAAAAATACCCCTGACCTCCCGCAGCGGAGACTACTCCCCCCACCACCCGAATCAGACATTCACAAAATCATTTCAGGGGTGGCTGTCAGACAGTCAGACAACGTACGAGTCCCAGTCCGCGAGGCTCTCGTATCCTCTATGTTTAGCCATGACAGCCTCCCGGGCAATAAAGCTACAACAAGATGGAGCTGCAGGAGAGACAGCATGGAACCCGCATGGCAGTTGCCATCACGCATTGTAATCGCCCCCTCCCCTCCTCACCACCAGACCCGGGACTAAGGATCGTGGGGGATTTATTTCGTCTGAAACTATGCTGTATTCGGAACTCACCGACACTGAACAGGGAACGACCAGGTGGAGAAATGCCAGCAAACATAACGTGACGTGACATTCCAGATAAATTTGAACCCGAGTACTCCGTAGGGACTGGACCATACGGATACATACGCAAACACACATACGGACGGGAACGGAAATTTTTTTGTGGTTCATTGATGACTTTTTGGCAGGCCCGACACAATGCAACCAGGAACCGCACTGTCTCTCCCCTGAGAAGTAGCAATAGGGGAGCCGAGGGCGGTGTAAGGTATTGATGGCAGCCAGACCCCGTTGGAGCGGGTTGTTGCATCATTTGACGTTAGGCGAGTCTTTCTCGGTTCATTGTGCTTGGTTTTTAATATCGAGTGTTTGAGAAGCCGCGACACAAATCAATATATTCAACTGGGGACGCGTAACATATCGGTGAGGTGCCAAGGCAAGATAATGAACTTTGGTCTCCAGTTGAGGTCTTGCTCAGCCGCGCCGATGGGAGACGAGCGATGAGGCGGATTGTTCCGGGGTCTCCCGGCCGAGAGCTTGTTGCCAGTTGGTCCACGTAATTCCCCTGTTCGTCCAGTTTCGCCTCCACCTTGGCGATGGTTCAAAGGCAACGATGCATGAGCTGTCGAGGAGACAAATTAGTTAATATGGAAAAGAAGTGAACGAGATTGAAATGCGTCAGTAGGTGCACGAGAACCGGAGTTTATCCTGATTACTATCGCCGTTCGGATGAGGAAGATTTTTTATAGTTGCATGGAATTCACAGAAAAGTCATGCACCCTGCCCGTTCTTCGCAAATGAGGCAGGAGTGCTCCGTAGATATTGTTTCATCAAAGCCTTTGAAGACGTTTGCCAAGAACGCCAAGAAGAATCCCAGGGAACGGCTGCAACCTCATAGTTGACAACATCAATGATCAGACTAAGCAGTGGAATGATTATACATGTATTCTCTATCCGTATAACTCGACTATACAGCAACTATATCCTGAGACCAATATCCCGATTCTCGAAAGCCGCGGTAATCTGCACGCGCTTGGATCGGGCGCTTCTGATTTTGTGTTTTAAGGTTCTCTTACAATGCTACGCCATCGCCAGGTGGCCCCTCTTCACTGAAGGCGATAACAGACAGTGCTATTACAAGATTAGCCGGGGGCCCGCGTTCCCACGTTCCGAAAGTTTCTGCTGATAACCCATCTCCACTCTCAAGAGCGCACGTCTGGGGGCAGTTGTCGAACTCTGTTGCGCACCAGCAACTCCAGAGTCAGTGGTATTTTTTGAGTTCAAAGACTCGCTGCACGCACAAAGTCAATTTGACTGCTGCCAAGACTTTATCGTAAGTTGGCCTATCCGTTCTGCTGGTGTACGATTTTAGGTGGGTGTGGTAATCGTGGGAGTAGTTCTGCACCAGGCTGGGTGGGGGAGGGCTCCAGCGCTCATCTGCGGGCTTTACGGGCAGAATTTCGACATTCGGCGGATCTGTGAGCAGAGCCCTAGACCGCTGATCATCATTCTCCGGTAGTGATTGACGGCAGATTTTGAGGGTTTGGTGGGCTGTGACGACAGAACCATGCGATTGTTGGAGGAACATTGATCTCCCCATATTGGTATGCAATATGGATGGGATAAAAGGACCTTCGACCCTTGAAGTTGACAACTAGACAATCAACTCAGCTGTGAATGAGGCCCACGAATTATCTCGATAGATGAATTACACTGATTGTCAACTCGTGTTGGGTTAACTTGAGTCATCACAAGTCTGAACACGAAATTTAGCAACTGACAGCGGACTTAAAAAATTGTCAAAATTGCGAGGTTAGTTTCAAGGGTCAATTTCCGACGGTCCGTCACTCTTGCTAGGGCGAAAGTACATGTCAGACTGATGGAAGGGGTGAGTCTTTGCGGCAGGGTAAGGCTTTCCAACACAAGTAAGTGTAGGAATCGAAACTTCGAAACTTCGGCATACGTAACTGCTAAGGAGGTTACCTAATTGATGCCAGAAGTTTCCAACTCTACGAAACCATATTCGCGATTCCTTTTGTTTGACTGAATCGTTCGGTCATAGGTGTAGAGTAAGATTGCAGTCAGTGGGGGAAGTGAGGCCTTGGCTAAGACACCGACTAGGGAAACTGCACGTGTTCACCATTTGTAGTGCTAATTGAGTCTATTACATTCTTTCACAGGTAGAACTATGAACTTCACCAGAAAATGATACAATACTCCTGCGTAGGCTTCGTTTCTTGAAGGCATGAGATAGTTACGGCCAAGATACACTGCTGCTCTCCAAGGACCGACCATCCAGAGAACGACCACGGCGTGAAGAAGAGACGAAAGAGAACTAACATCTCATTAAACGAAATTGGATTTTCTCCTTCAACTCAGCTGTAGAAAGGAGTTCCAACTTCTGAATAAACCACATCGCTTGCATGCGGAGGGGCCAAATTGCAGACTTGAATTCAGATCCAAAATGTACGAGTCGGCATTCCGGAGTTTAGGGTTTGCAGCAGCCCAGCTTAAGCAACAGTGCGTGCGTCACGGCCGCGCAATGTAGGTGTTGGTTCCACGGGGTCGTATACGACAAATAGTGGTAGCAATTATCACTCGTCTGTTGGTGATCCTATTGCTTGTTCTTCTTGTTGTTCTATCTTACATTGTAGGCAGGAGTCGGTCGAAGTAGGTAGTGACGGCCTGGGTGGTTGTCCCACCTTTATCCGGCCGTGATGACTAAGCCAGTTGTCCCACTTCGCCCAGGGCAGGTGCCAGCCAGCCCATGGTACCTGCCTATTACTCCTTATCAGCCTTTGCTGTTCCAACAACTTTAGTCTTTGAGATCAGCAAAGTTCAAGTCGAACGAACCTCTTGCATTCAATTCCAAAAACTGCACATGGTATACATTTTTCAAGAACGAAGTGTTGCATAGCTTTCTTGAACATGTTGCCAATTGGTGGAGGAATCAATCGTCTTTCACTCAGGTGGCTGGTGTAGAATGTTTCCTCGGATGAAATGCCGAAAGAGTGGGAATCGATGGTGCAAGATGTGCATCAATGGCGTTCATCACAACGGTTTTCATAAGCGCCACCAACCACCGATAGAGCTCAGATGGTGTCATTGGTTTAGACTGACATCTTGACATGGGCACCGCGGAGATTCGGCCTTGTTTCGACAACGTCAAGTTCCCCAAGGGCCTGAAAACACTGTGTTCATGCCATGTTCTGCTATGTGAGCCTACAGTGCCAGCGCCTTATCACGAATTGTCAGGTTTCGATGCGTCAATCGGCAATCCTCTCCACTGAGGACCCCCATTGACAATACAACTCCCGCATGACGCTGTCGGCTCCTGCCGAAGAGAGAAAGCTTCAATTGACTGTCTGATATCAGAATTTGACTTGCAGAGTATAAGATCCAAAGCCATGTAGTCGTTCGGAACCTCATACCGACGACCTTCAGCCAAGTCGCTCGTCCCATCTTGTCGCCAGCTCGAAGAACCTGCCCGAAGACAACTTCTGAGGCTTCGCCCATCGTCAAGACCATGCACTTCTCCCGACTCTCCGCGTTGGTTCTGGCCAGCAAATTGGTCAGTGCCGGGAAGGGTCCCTTTCTCGAGCAGATTAATGACTCGACCTGGGTCATTGGAAATGATCACTGGAACCTAACCCAGGGTTCGCTATACGCAACCAAGCTTTTCTGGGAGGGTGTTCCGGGCGCCAATCTTGTGGGTTCGGCGGCCGGCCACTACGTCGGCTACGGTAACACAACCATCTCATCGCAACTTTACTTGATGAAGCTGTGCTGACTGACATATCGCAAAAAGATGGAGAGAACAATCTCCAGTTCACAAACGCCACAATTGCATCCCGCGGTACGGACTACATCGATGTCAGCTTCTCCGCTGCTGCAGGCGACTTCCACTGGGTAATCTTTGACGACTTGACCGGCGCGTACCAGTACTTCGTCAACCGGGCCCTCCCCGACATCAGCATTCTCCGGACTCTGTGGAGGTTGGCCCCCGACGTCTTCCCCAACGGTCGCACCCACCTCAAGGACGAGCCCCTGCCCGACTTCTCGCTGTACGCCACCGCGACCAATGTCCAGGATGAGACCTGGCAACTGGCCGATGGATCCTTCATCACAAAGTACGACTGGTCCAACGCCGTCAGGGATCGTGATTTCTATGGCGTCTATGGTCCCAAGGCCGGGTCTTGGTACATCCATCCCACGACGGAGTATTACAACAGCGATCACCTTAGCCAGACTTTGACGGTGAGTATACAGGAGACTCCTGCAATCTCTTGTGCAAATTTCTGACCTGATGACAAGATCCACCGAGAGTCAAAGACTGGAGATGCCGTCCAGCTCAATGTCGTTCAGGACACTTCTCACTTCCGCGTTGGCAAGACGGTGCCTCAACCAGCCGGCAAGGTCTGGGGACCTTGGCTGTGGTACCTCGTAAGAAGACCTTAATCACACGAAAATCCATGTCTCAATATCACTGACATTTTCACGCAAAGAACAACGGAGACGTAGCGGATGCCGCGCAAAAGCACAAGGAAGAGGTCAAACACGTTCCTTACACTTGGTTCAAGGACACAGCCTACCACTCTCGCGGCGGAGTCCAGGGAACTCTGGTCCTCTCTGACGGCCGTCCCGCCTCAGGCGCCGCAGTCTTTCTCGGCGACACCGACACGACCATCCGCCCCTCGATTCAAGGCAAGAACTACTACTACACAACGTACACCAACGACAAGGGCCGCTTCTCCTTTGACAATGTTCGCACGGGCGGGTACGCCGTCTACGCCACCTCCAACGGCGGAAAGCTGGCCGACGTGTACACAAACTTCACTGCACCCCTGACGATCACCAAGGACAAGACGCTGAACCTCGGCGAGCTCTCGTGGACAATTCCGAAGAGCAAGCGTATCTTCCAGGTGGGCGAGTTCGATAAGAAGGCCAACGGATTCAAGAATGGCGGTGTGCCTTACCAGCACGGTGTGGCGGCGGAGAGCCCCGCGAACCTGACCTTCACCGCCGGCAAATCTCAGAACGAGGACTGGTACTTTGCGCAGTCCGCCATCGGAAAGTGGACGATCGAGTTCGATATTGCCTCGGTGGACCTCGCCGCCAACAAGACGGCGCTGCTGAGCGTGTCGCTGGCTGGGTACTCGCAGAGCGCGGCTTTAGATATTGACGTCAACGGGCAGGTTTACGGTTCTCTGAGCAAGGACACGTTGACGAGCGATCCTGCTCTGTACCGGTCCGGCAAGGTCAGCGGCGAGTGGCGGTTCTTCCAATACAAGATCGATACCGACGTCCTCAAGGCTGGGCAGAATACTGTTGGATTCACGGTTACTCTTTACACCCAGTGGCGAGGTTTCTTGTATGACAGCATCATCTTCGAATGGCTTTAGGTCAGCAAGTCGTCTGAATTCGATCATGCGTGGCCATGAGAGTTAAAGAAACTAATGACATAAGAGACTATGACTACTGGGAACGCTAATTTTCTACTACTACCGCTGCCGCTACTACTGTTGCTGTTGCTGCTGAAGCCGAAGTAGTTCCTGGAGCTGCTGCTGTTGATGTGCAGTCATTTGGCCTCCCAAGTTCTGGCCTGAAGTACCTGCATTGTTGGTATTGCTTTGCTGTGCACCCATGGCTGCATTTGAGCCGCTCATTCCAGAGCTTGCCATACCAATGTTGCCCAGACCAGCATTGCCGAGACCAGTGTTGCCTAGACTGGTGTTTCCGAGACTAGCGTTGCCCATGTTGTTGTTGCCCATCCCCATGTTCCCCATGCCTATGTTGTTCATGTTGCCAAACCCGGCCTGAGATGGCTGCGAGGCCATGAGACTGCCCTGATTTTGTAGGTTATTGAACCCGGACCCGGTCATTCCCATGTTTGGCATGCCCATTCCCATCATACCTAGCTGTTGCATATTCTGGAAGCCACCGGGCACCGCGAGGCCCTGCTGAAATCCACCCTGCTGAGGTATTCCAAGCCCTTGCCCACCGAAGCCGAATTGGTTGCGGTTGAAGTCGTCGTAGCGATGCTCCTTCTTGTGAGCAAGCTCATTTTCCAGGCGCTCGTGTCTCACCGAGTAGAGATACGCGTTGAACTCATGCGATACCTTTGCCACCTTCTCAAAGTGCTCGCCCTTGACGATGATGGGTCCTGGGATATGATTCTCCTGCTGATGGAATTCGGCTAGCGCCACGGCCGTTTGGAAGGCATTTCTGATCTGTCTTCCGTTCCAAACTGGCTTGTGGTCATCTCTCATGGTCTGTAATTTCCAGAGAGTGGTGGAAAGAGCTATGATTCTCATCGCGGTTGAATCTCACGTGCTGAGATGGGTCCCCTGGCGCAGCTGCGACTGAGAGTCCTTCCGTGCGATTCATTTGCACTTCCCAGATCTTCTTCGTTTGCTCATGGGTGAGGGGTGGATAGTACAAGGCCATGGACATGCGGGATTTGAAGGCCTCATCAAAGAAGCCTACTTTGTTAGTCGTGAGAAAGAGGATGCCTTCGTAGTATTCCATCACCCGAAGGAAAACTGCACTCAGAAGTCAGAAAAATTACCATACTTGATCCAACATGGAAACAAGTAGCCAACCGCAAATGTACCAGATACTAGTGCATTTCGCTCAATGTTGTCTTGGCTTCTTTCAGCCAGGAAGACGTCGGCTTCGTCTAGAAGCAAGACACACTCCCAGGCTTGTGCCATCTGGAAAGCGGCCTGAAGATTGGATTCTACTTCGGTTGGAGTCATCCCCAGGTCACCTGTTCTGCAAATCAGAGTCCCGTTCTGATTGATCCAAAGGTGTGGTACGCACCGCAAGTGATTGGCAATAATGGCTTATTGTAGTAGGCCGCAACGGTTTCTGCGATCAAAACTGTTAGTTTACGTTGCGATTGCCAGCATGAAATTGGAAAGGGATACTTACCAGCAGCTGAAGTTTTGCCTACTCCAGGAACCCCATGCAATAGCACGATAAGCCCCTTTCCTGTATTTTGTCAGCCTTCAAGATCTCTTAGACGAACGCCCATCAGTCCCATACCTTTGTCCTGGATGATATCGAATTGGCGCCGCTCAGACTTGTTCTTGCGAAAGTGAGTTGCCATCAGAGACTTGATGATGGTCCTGTGGCCGTCGTCTATTTGAAGATAGTCCCATGCCTCCTTATCTTCTCCCATTCTCGTGAGACTATGTCCTTGAGTTTCGAGTGAGCCAGACCCGAGGGGTGTACAAGCTGGATTTCAAGTGTTAGCAATTTCTATTGACTCCTCCCCGAAAGACTGATCATTGACTTACCCCACCGACGTGTACGCAAAACAAAAGCAAAAACCCTATCGGGAAGCAGGAGAGTCTCATTTCCTTCAGGAGGTTCTCGGCCGTATACCTCTCCAGGCTGAGATTGATCGGTATAGTTGAGAACGTCCTCGGCCATCCGAGTATCCCACATTCTGTCATCGTCTCTTCCTGGGGGCTCGGGTGGAGGAGGATTATCATCGAGCGATGTTTTCTGTCCTTCGTTATTTCCGGCCAAGCCCCAACTACCTCTGGACGATCTTCCGGGCTTCCAACTTGGAATTTCTTGTAGGCAACGATGGAAATCCACAACTACTGGGCTTTCAACGGCCTCCGAAATCATGACAGCGGAAGTGAGTGCTCCTGTCTCGGGACGGCGAAGAATAGTTCCCTCGGGTTCGTATATGAGACTTTGACCTCGGTAAATAACTGTAAGACCATTTTGTGTAGGATATGAAGTCCTGTCCTCTGGTCTTGCAGTCTGCCACATTAATGAAGCCATCTCGCTCTGCGACGTTCAGTGGAAGAATCGGGAGGGAACGAACGCTTGTCAGATCCCTGTATATCTCAAACTTGAAGTCTTTGAAGACACGAATGAACCGGGTGCCATCATAGTCCAGGTGATAGCATTCGATCACGAAAGGGAGAGGCTTCAAGTCGTTCAAAGCACCTCCTAGCTGGAGATGGGCTTGTTGAGACGAAGAGCGCCAATTTTCGGATCTCTGACCTCCTTTACCTTGGACTACACGCCAAAGCTTCTGGGGGACCGCCGGATCTTTGACGTAGACGATACTTCCCGGTTTGAAGACATGCCATAGCTCTTGGTAGTGAACCCGGACATCGCTTGCTCCCTCGATTGCTTTTCCTAGGGGAAGAATGTACTTGTCCATGAAAGACACGAGAGTGCCTAGGTCCTCAGATGCTTCTTGGAGTTCATCTCGGGTCAAAGAATTCCAGTCGTATGCAGGAGTGAATATGATGCCGTCTCTCGCCTCTCTTGTCATTGCCGGCTTTGCATCCTCCTTCGTTTCGTTTTCTTCGCTGGCGTCGGCTTCATTCGACGCTTTTGGAATCTCGATGTCTGTCAAGTCGGGGTGCTGACGCAGGGTGGAAGCTCTCAGAGGCCAACTGCAGTTAGGGGTAGAATGATGAATTACTGAAATCTGCTCCTCCCTCGACGTGTACTCCCTGCGCTGTATATATATCTGAGCTGCTCCTTTGTTGCTTGGACTCCTTGCTACCTCTAACTAGCCCCTATCCGGGAGGGCCCTGACAATGTCTTCGTCTCTGTCTTTGTAATTGAGACAGAGATTCTGAATCTCTGTCAATCGTTCGCGGATCTTAGGTTCGAGGCATTGGAGAACTTTGAAAGGGCGAGAAATTGTGATATTCTTCGCCGAAGCCAGGGCTCCATTCGTCAGTTTACTGATGATTCTTCTTACTGGCAAAGAACTGACTGTAATCATCGAAGGGATGACTTTGATGCCGTTGTCCCGGGCTTGTAGGATGAAGGATTTAGCATGTGTTCGTCCACTGAAGTCGCCTCGAAAGAATTCTTCTTTCAGGGGCGTTTCCTCTACCAAAATTTCAATCGCCCATTCTGGTAGAACTCCTGACCAATCCGTCCATTTGCACTCTTTCATTCCTGAAAGGTGCCTTCTTCTCTCTACATATACGGATTCCATCTCACTTGGAGGCGCCGAAGGCGGAGGAGGTCGATTGCTGTCCTTGATGACCTTGGAGATCCAGCTCATCATCTTTAGACGGTTGGCGAAGTACGTTGCCGCGTTGTTACTATCATATGCCCCAGACGTATCAAGATGGTTCAAAGACATGCTTTGAAGCTCTTGCGCAACTGTCTTCAATTTCCTTTGCCCTGAGCCCGAGAACACTTTGAAGTCTCGAGTTATACTGCTTCCATTCGAAGTCTCCCTGACATTGTCTGGGATATTGAGTATTGAAATATCCTCGGGAACAGCTTCAATTTCTTGCTCTGGCCCGGCCTGCACCTCCTCGGGGTCTTGTTGACTGGGAATTTCTTGTGAAATGTCATCTTGGCTTGACTTCTGTCAAATTTAGTGGTCAGTTAAGAAATTTGGCGTTATCAGTGCAATGACAGTGCTCACGGGTGGAGCAGAAGACATTTTATAGCTATTGGGAACTTGAAGGTATGTCTCATTTGACTGAAGTCTGAGATGTCGGATGTTGAAGAGTCATCAGCTCTAAAAGAAAGACCGACTCGGCCGGCTAATTACTGTTCAAGTACGCTCTGCATTAGCGATGATGTATCGCGCAGGCTGGGTCACAATGAGCAACTGATAAGTGCAAGCAAAGTACGAACAGATTCTGGGGACAAGCGGCAGTTTTCAAGGCATCTGGTCTACAGCGGGACGTATACCGAGAGCCAATCAGCAAGGCATGGAAGAGCTACCCTTCGCGGGGCCGATTTTTCTGCGAGAATAATGTATGATGCCAGCGCACATGCTCCCCTCCATCTCCGCAGCCTTGCCGCCAGGAGAGACGCTGGTCGGAGAAGTCATAGTAGGGGTTTGTCCTTAGCCCACTCCCGCAAACCTCCTTGGAAATTCAAATCTCGTCAGAATACGATCATGACCGACTACGTTGGCACCTTCATGAGAACGCATTCCAGTGAGCTGGATCCGAGCTGGCGAGTCTCAGCTAGGGGATAGTTCTCGGAAAAAAGGCGCCAGAAGCAGGCGTCTCTACGGTAAGCAATATTGTTGTCTCAGGCTCCCATGAACGAGGTCGAAGCTTTCAAGTTTCGGAGGGAATACTGGCACTGACGCAAAAACACTCCTAGAGTCCACGAACGTACGAAGTCATTCAAGACTTTGATAAGTACCTTCGCTCAGAAGACTAACCGCAAAGATCTCGCAAGATTCGACGTGGAGAAGGAGTTTCAGTGGGAAGATGTGAGGGTCATGGCGTCTGAGGCAATCGAGCAAGACAATGCCAAAACGAAAATGAGACATAACCCTTTTCGCGCGGCCGGGCGATCCTTCCAGCGAAATGCATCGAACTTGGAAATGCTTGTAGCCTTTCTGCCGAACGGCGACTTTACTGGCATTCTTTGTGGGGCACTGACATTTGTTTTCTGTGTAAGATAAAGGCTTTCTACGCTGTTGTGCTTGTGACTGATAGCGCACTTTCCGATGATAGGCTGCCAAGCGCCTAGACGAAGTTCGAAACAAGATTATCAACTGTTTGGACAGTCTGCCAGATATCGTGGAAGAGACGGGAGAGTATGTGGAAATCTACGACGATGATCCCAGAGTCTGGAGAGCAGCTGAGGACCTGTATCTGGGAATTCTCGACGGTGTAGAGAGTATGCTACAATGGATTGATAAATCTGCCCTAGGTAAGAACCACTCACAAAGTTCCGTTCCATCTGTCAAACATCCCCCTTCTTCGTGGTCTGACTTTCAAAGAGAGGGCTTTCAAAGTACTTACGAGACCTACAACTTTTGGAAAGAATATGGAAGAAGACACTATCAAACAAAACATCGAAGGCAATGTGGCCAAGTTCCGGAATGTTGTCTTGATGAGCCAACACAAACACATCAACAAATTCCTCAAGGCCCTTAAAGAGCAACTGAACAGCCAATTGAAACAAGCCGACTGGGCTCGAGGTCAGTTCATTCCTTCGCAATACCAAAGTACAGGCCTTGGACTATGAGAATTGAAATTTGACGTTCTCGTAACAAGACAATCCAAAAGCTGAGAAGCTTTTGACGAAAGCGTTTATAACTCTCGATGAGCTCCGTGCTAGCATTGGATTCGATCCAAGAATCAACCAGAGAGACATGGTTACGTCAATGATAGATGCACAGAAGGTCTGCCCGCCAGACATGATAAACCATGCCATGCTGGCGCTTCGCGATAAGAAGTTTACCTCTTGGCTTCAGTCCAACGACTCCCGGATACTATTCATCGAAGGAAGAATGAAGTTAAGCTCTGAACAGGAGGCAGCGTCTCCACTAACAATGCTATCATGTGCTCTCGCACAGTTGGCGGCGAGACAATCCGAGCGCAGTCTTCCGCTAGTTTATCTCTGCGGCCAGCACAATGGCCCAAACGACCCTTTCTCGGGCACCAGCGGCGTCCTAAGGTGCTGGAGTTCTCTCATCACCGAGTCTCTTACACCGTGGGATGTCGATCTCTCAGCCATCAACTTGAGCTTCATAGACGGCGTCAGAGCTCAGCAACTTGGCGTGCTCTGCATGCTTTTCCGTCACCTGGTCTTGGCTGCCACGGATAAGATTGTCTTTATCATCTTGGACGGCGTCTCATGGCTTGAAGTGAGCCGCCACGCCCAGGGGTTGGCGGATGTTGTGTTGTTCTTGGGCAATTTTGTCAATTACGAACCCGTCGACCAGCAATCATGCTAGAAAGTGGCTTCCGAAAGATTGTATACTGGAGATGGATGATGTTAGATGATCGCCTAGATGTCACGAAACCTGGTACGGACGAGGTGTATAAGACGCGCTTCCCATTTGACCAGAACATGAGCAGGCCTGTCATTGCATCTCATTTGCACTGAGCCATGACGTGGACTTATAGCGGAGTGAAGTAAAAGATGTGACAATTAGTAATTGCACTTGGTAGCAAAAGTCAATAGTGCCCGCCCTTAAAAGGGTGTTTGAGCAACCCTGTATTCTTCGGAACCCTGATGAAGTACCCCTTTCTGACTGTCCACAGCAGTAACCTAGAAACTGTAATCTAGCTTTTCGTCGACCTTGGTAGACTGACGATGGTTTCTAACTATCTGGTCTGGCACCGTCAAGGTTGAAGAAGATGGGAGTATTATGCACTTGGTAGATCACTTCGTTCTCGCTGTTATTTGGGAAATTTTATACCAGGTCGGTTGATACTAATCTACTTAGACACCTCGTTCTAGGCGTTCCATATGATAAATTGACCACAAACTTTAGAAAACCTCGGTAACATCCTCTACAGGTGATACTTAAAATCCAACTCCCAATCACCAGTCTTGACCTTTCTCTTATCCTCCATCTCCCCGCTCTCAATCTTCCTCTTCATCTCATTGCAGTGACGGATGTAGAACCACTTTCCGACAACCAAAAGCTGCGAAACACCCAACGCACCCACAGAGAACGCATTACCAAGCAGATACGGCGCCTTGCGATAAATCTGGCCCGCCACAATACCAGCACAGTTACCAATAGCCTGCTGCATACCAATCGCCGTAGCGCGGCGGTACTGCGGCGCGACATTGACGTTGAGCCACGTCAGGTTCAACCCGGGACCGTTGTAGACGGCAATAGCGCAGAGGAAGGTACCAAAGAACTTTACGCCGCTGCTCGTCGGGCAGATGATGAGAATGTAGCCGATGATGCCCGGGATGTTGGCCAGGAAGATGAGCGGGCCGCGGACGAGGATGCAGTCCGAGAAATAGGCTGTTGTCAAGAAGGCGATGGCGCCGAAGAGGAAGACGGGGATGCTGAGGTATTGGGCTTCGATATTCGTGCGGCCCATGGAGACGATGATGGAGGGGAGGAAGGTACTGAAGCCGTAGAGGAGGATGTCTTGGCAGAATTGGATGGCACCGCTGTTGGCTGATGTTAGCATTGATTGGGAACCAGAGTTGATGGTGTCTTTGAACGTACCTGAGGTAGAGCTTGGGGTCGCGGAGCTCAATCTTAATCTCCTCCCAGCTGAGCTCATCGCTTCCCATGTACTGCGCACGCTGCGCAGCCCGAACCTTCATCATGCGCTTCTCCTCGTCGTTGAGGAAGTAGGCATCCGAAGGATCATTGGGCAGACCGAACCACAGAATCGGGGCAATCAGGATGCTCACAACACCTTCGATGATGAAGACCCAGCGCCAGCCAGCATACCCAGCCACCCCATCCATCTTCAACAGCGCATACGCCAACAACCCACCAAACGCGCCCGCAATAGCAGAGCACACAAACAGATACGAAACCCGCTTCGCCTGCTCGTCGCGCTTATACACCATGGTGAGATACAGATTTAGCGTGGGGAACAAGCCGGCCTCGCACATGCCGAGGACGAGGCGGACGGCGTAGAGCCCGCCGATGCTGTGGATGAAGCCCGAGAAGACGGTGGAGAGGGACCAGATGATGCACAGACCCGTGAGGAGGACGCGCGGGGTGATGCGCTTCATCATGATTGTCCACGGGGGCTCGAAGACGACGTAGGTTGCGTAAAAGATGGAGATTGCGGTTGAGAATTCTTGGGTTGTGGCGCCGATGTCCTCGGGCATGCCGGCGACGCGGACGTTGCCGATGTTTGTGCGGTCGAGGAAGCAGGTTAGGTAGACGACCATGATGATAGGGACGAAGTAGGCGTCGAGCTGGGTTGGAGCATCATTGTGTTAGCTTGCTGTGATGGAACCTATGCAATGGAGTTCGAGACAAAGTAAGTTGCTAACCTTCAAGAGAAGCTTCTTCTCTGCTGCGGGATCAAGGGACTCGATTGCCATTGTGCCATTGTTGGATTCTGATCGATCAATGTCGCTGCCGAGTCCCTTTTCTGCGCCGGCGCCGGAGACGTCGTCGGGGGTGGAGATGGTCGCCATGACTGGATGGAATTCGTTGTGAACTTGTGGCCTCGATGAAATCCCCAGCAGACTAGTAGTTTGTATTCTGCAACAGTCGGGGTTCAATGGCGATGGAGATTCGCTACCAGAGTCTCGGGATTGACAAAGGTGGTAAGGAGTTGATCTCTTCAATCTAGAAGAAGTCGATGGGGCAGACCGCCTTTATCATTGTGCCCAACCTATGCGTGATGTGACCATTGACGATATGGACAGGCGGAAACCAACACCAAAGTAATGGAAAGCGACAATTACTCGGGCGCGCTATCTCTTGCCGAGACATCCATTTGCAGGCACGGGCATATGGGTTCACGCGGTATCAAGGGTAGCATCGCGGGGGGGCTAGAGAGAGAGAGACACACACGCGCGGAGAACGACTCCTGCGAGAGCTTGGCTAGCTACCCTGACTACGGATAACCTAACGCATGCCTAAACACCAGCGAACTTGTCCACGGCCAACCACGAAGATCGGAGGTCCTCGCCGACCCCTGATACTTGCGGGGGAATTTGGGAAGCGTTCTCCCACATCTTTCCCCACCGACAATGTTGATAGCGCTGATAGCTGCTCGTATCCACCCGGCCCACCGGCGTCGGAGTGGCGCCCCTATCGAATTAGTCTCCAGGATGATTCAAATAGGGAACCTTGGAATGGGACACATGGACAGAGTTTGGGATTTGGGGAACGGTTCGGTAACGCTTGTCGATAAAGCTTCGAGTGTCATTGTCAATTGATAGGTTTCCTGACTCTAACCAGGCCATTGGCGTCGAGTCTGAACTTGCTTGGGTTAGCTCGCCCAGCCACCGAGCGTGATGTCAGGATGATGCCTCCGGGCTCGTTGCCCGAATCTTTCGGGATTTAACCCATTTGAGTTTGATCCCTACATATCAGCCCCCCCGCCCCCCCCTGGCAGCCCTGCAGATCCCCTTTAGAAAAGCCGCCAAATGGGCAGATTCCGTGGCTAAAGCAAGATAAGCCAGTATCCACAAACAAGGACTCGGGACAATGGCAGATTATCATAGATTCATAGCTAAGGTGAAAGAAAGCCTTCGCGGCATTATCATCAAATCATAATAGTTAGATATACACGTAGATGCCATGTTTTCTTCACACATCCATCCTATCATCAGCCTGAGTCATGCCAGCCGCATGAGTCCATTGCGAGAAGTCAAAGCTCGCGTCCATCGCCGGGTCGGCAAAGCCTTCTTCCCAGAGACCAAAGTCCATTACCGTGCTCACGCTCTCGTCGAAAAATGGTTCACCTAAAGAGCTGTTGTCGACAACGGGGAACGTCACCCGCTGCTGACCCGTCAGGCCTTGCATCGCCATCAGGCCTCCTCCTTGAGCATCGCCCATAGCTATGGGCAGTGCACTACTGCTACTGGTCGGGTGCGCACTTGGAACGAGCCCTCCCCCTCCCGCCGGCACCAGCGATTCCGTCGGCGAGAAGCTTGTCGGGAACGGAGGCAGGGGCTCGGCGTAGGCATTCGTCCCGGACATGACGGCCGAGCGAAGGTTGGCGAGGAGCTCGTAGCGGGCGCCCATGTAGCTGTTGCCGCGCTCGCCCATGCCTCGGAGGAGATCGAGACCGGCGTTCATCGCCATGATGCTGGATGGATCTGACGGGAAGGCGACGCAGACCATGACGAGGACGATGGAAGCTGAGAAGACGTGTTCTCCGTCCATGTACCCGTACGTTGCTGTGTCGTTTACGGTCAGCCAATGAATGCAAGCTTGCATCGGGGGAAAGGTTGTGTAACCCTACTTACCAACCAGATCTCTCTGTGCTGCCACAGTCATGATATTGATGGTGTCCTGCGCCGCACCGATGCACATGTCAATCACCCTGACAGTCGTCTGCGAGAATCCCTCCCTCCAGCCTCGCTCTTTCTCTCCGGCATCGCTACTGGCGCGAATCTTTTGCAGTCGCTTCTGTACAACGTGGAAGAGTAAAGGCCGCGCGGTCATGTTGATGCACTGATAGTAATGTGCAAAAGTGCTAACGCTCTCGCGACTAATACTCAGCCGGGCAGGATCGAATCGGAGTTCATCCGGCAAGTTGCTGTTCCATTTGGACAGACTGAGAACGATGCCCTGGACTGACGCCATTAATCGTTTTCCAGATTTGGGCGCCGTCTTGCTGGTCTTGCGATAGATGGTGTCGTGGATTTCACCAAGGATCCGCGAGAGTTCGGTATAATGCCGAAGCACTACTGCCGGGCAATATTCTGCTTCTGTGAGGAGCCTCGAAGGTAGATCGACGCCGATATCCTCGTCTTGGATGGTGATGGGATTTCCCGATTTGACCGACAGGATACGGTCTAGGCTGTACACAGACCACCACACTCGGCGACGATGTTCGCGTGTTGCATTATCCAGGGCGGCCGGGTTGTTATCCTGGCCTTGCAATGCGCTTGGTGCTGGACTGAAACCGATCTCGTGATGTAGTCCCAGTGAGATGGCCATGCGGAGAGCCATGCCTGTGTACAGGAACGCAGCATCACGACGGTTCATGTTCTGCATGAAATAGCCGATGAGAGCCAATGTTTCCACGCACAATAACGAACCTTCTTCATGCGTATCGGGTAATAAATTCAGAGCATGGGTGAAGTAGTCAAACCCCGGCGGACCCCTGAAATCGACCCATTGGTTGACTGAGTACAGTTGACCGAATGCGAGTATGATAAGAACCTTTGCGTATGACAGACATGCTTCTCTATCGGAGGGATCAGGAGGGCCTCGGTACGCCTCGATGAGCAGTTGATCGAAGGTGGGCTTGGGATCTGTAAAGGCGAATATCGTCCCAATGTAGGTGTACTGTGCAGCGAATAGGCGTCGGGCAATGTCTATCGGCGGTAGGCGAACTTGCGTCCTCGCTTTCTCACGCCTGGAAGGTAGAGCACTGGGTTCGTAAAAGTTGGTGTTGGCGTCCAAGCTGCCGTCATCACCGTAGAATCCTGAGAGATTTCTCACACTTCGTAAGAAATTGTCCGAATTACCAGGGCCTTTGAAACTCGTCGAGGGCTTATGGACGCTCATCTGGTTGAACGGCTCAAGTAATGGGTGTTCGTCTTCGAACTCTTCCTCGTGATCCTCGGCTGAGATGCGGTGGGCAGGAGCTTTTCCGGGGATCGGAGCTGGCAGCTGAGACTGCCAAAGAAGCGATTCTGGGTATGATTAGCACACGACTGACATGGTTGTTGCTAGTCACTAACCATCATACGCTTTGGCTTTAGCTTCGAGTTCTCGTAGGTAGCTAAGCAAGATATTAGTTGCATAATTCATGAGTTGGAGGTCGGCCATTGGACTTACGCCTCTGTGACGGTGATCTTAATACTCGTCTCGTACGCACAGCTCAGGCCACTATCACGACAACGCGAACAGGTAGGCTTCTCTTTCGAGCAATACGATCGTCTTTGTCGGCAATTGGCACATCTATTTCAAATCTCAGCATCACTTTCAGAGAACATATAGGGTGAAGATTAAGAAAGCAATGCAACTTACGCCACAGGCCTTGAGTTTCCAACATCACATGGGGATGATGAGGGCCCCGCTTGAGACGGAGACGGCGAAATAGGAGCCATGTTCTGACATGTGTTTTGGTAATGCCGATATGACATATCTCTCACGGAATCCCTTGGAAGAGGTGGGGATGGTCAAGCCCCATGCCTATGGCACGCGAGATGCAATTATCCGTTGATATCGTCCACTTCCCCAAGTTCTCGAAATGGAGTTTGTGACAAATGGAAACTGTTCGGGCCGGGGTGTTTGTAAAGACTCAACGCGGGGAAGGCAAGCTGTTGAAGTTTCCTGGCCGTGCCACCCTGCTCACGTAGGGGAGTTGTCGGCGCAGAATCACCAAAGTCTGGAGGACCAACACACATCGTGGTCTTGGTATCGGGCTGGAGGATCGGTGTTTATGGAGAATTCCCCACAGCCGTGATTATTGCTGGAGGGGTGAGAAAGCCGTTGACAAGTTCGCATTACGAGTGATGACGGTCCTTTTGCCGATGATGGAGCCATTCCTCTTTCGGCACTCGGTACGTACTGTCTCAGAGATCGGATGACGTCGGCTTCTAGATAATCCGAGTGCTCCTCCTTCTAGCCAATCAGGTTGAGAAGATATGCTGTTATCGTCGGGGACCCACTCCTACGGCTACACGCGGGCGTCTGCCGGCTATGAGCTCCACAAATCCGTTTTCCCGCCTTCAACACCAACTTGTAATTTCACTCCGATTCTCATCATCATGCTTTATCAAGTATCGGGCAAAGACCGCACTTCGATTCGCTGATATCCTGATCGGGGACCCACTCCGGCTGCTTGACCAGTCAGATGTCTTCTTCCACTCTTCAGCGGTGGGAGACTGCGATGGCGGCGTCCGACCAAAGGCCGATGTGGCTGTAGCATCTGAGAAGTCAGCGATACGGCACGCCATCAGCCGCCGGCCAGTGAACCTTACTGTCTGAGTTTTGATCGAATGGCCTCATCGGAAAGCGTATTAGCAAGTGTGTGAGTTCCAGGTAAGCGGGCACCCGATTGCGGCCCTCTTCCGAATCCCATTTCCCGATCTGAGTAGCGGCAAATTATTACATGATCACGACAGAGGCAGGAAGAAGTTATTCTCAATATAAACATTTGCGCATACCTTCATCAAGTTCCCTTCAGCGACATATTGCCTTGCATTCAACATAACTTAGTGCTGCTTTGCTCCAACCCCTTCTATACCCCAGTCCAACTTCTTTTCACCGGGTTTGTCTTCTTGACGAGCCTTCTCACAAGTAGCGAGCACCACATTCACACATCATCATGACGGTCAAGTCACATCGCATCCGCATTTCCATTGACAGAGGTGGTACCTTCACCGATGTTCACGCCGCGATACCAGGCAGGGGAGACATCATCCTCAAGCTCCTCTCCGTCGACCCCGCCAACTACCAAGATGCCCCGACAGAAGGCATCCGCCGGATTCTGGAGATGGTGACTGGTGAGACATTACCTAGAGGACAACTGCTCGACCTCTTCCACGTTGAGTCCATTCGTATGGGCACGACGGTAGCCACAAATGCCCTCCTCGAGCGGAAAGGCGAGCGCGTGGCTCTTATCACTACCAAGGGCTTCCGCGACTTGTTGGCGATTGGAAACCAGTCACGGCCAAACATTTTCGACCTTTCAGTCGCACGCCCAGAAGTCCTCTTTGATGAGGTTGTCGAGGTGGATGAGCGTATCACCATGGAGGATTACACCGAGGATCCCGCCTCTGTCAAGACGAGCCCGACGGTCGATGACCCTGAGCTCGTTACGGCCATCACTGGCGAGACGATTCGCGTCCTCAAGAGGCCGGATCTGGAAGAAATCAAGACGCAGCTCGAAAAGGTCAGAGAACAGGGTTATCGATCCATCGCCGTTGTCTTTGTCCACTCTTACGCCTACCCGGACCACGAGCTCCTGGTTGGCAGAGTCGCCTCAGAGATGGGCTTCTCCGTCACCCTGTCTTCAGAAGTTCAACCCATGATCAACGTCGTGCCCCGCGGCATGTCTGCTGTGGCGGACGCTTACCTCACCCCCGTCATTCGTCAGTACATCGACTCCATCTCGGCCAACTTCAAGGGCGGATTCGGCGCGGCGGCGACTCGCATCGAGTTTATGCAGTCGGATGGTGGCCTTGTCGACTACCGCAAGTTCAGCGGTCTCAAGGCGATTCTTTCGGGCCCTGCCGGAGGTGTTGTTGGTTACGCCCAGACTTCGTGGGATGACGAGGAGCGCCAGCCTGTTATTGGCTTCGACATGGGCGGCACCTCGACAGACGTCTCCCGCTATGCCGGCGTCTACGACCACGTTTTCGAGACTACCACCGCCGGCATTGCCATCCAATCCCCGCAGCTCGACATTCACACCGTCGCTGCCGGAGGTGGCTCTATCCTGACATGGAAGAACGGTCTGTTCAACGTTGGACCCGAGTCCGCCTCGGCTCATCCCGGCCCGGCATGCTACCGCAAGGGCGGCCCGTTGACCGTGACGGACGCGAACTTGTTCCTGGGTAGGCTGTTGCCGGAGTACTTCCCCAAGGTCTTCGGCCCCAAAGAGAACGAGCCGTTGAACCGAGAAGTTACCGCCGCCAAGTTCCTCGAGCTGACGAGCGACATCAACAAGGATAGAGAGGCCTCGGGTCTGTCTCTGCTCTCCCCCGAGGAAGTCGCTCTCGGCTTCCTCAAGGTCGCCGACGAGGGCATGGCGAGCCCGATCCGCGCGTTGACGGAAGCTAGGGGTTACGAAGCTGGCGCTCATCACTTGGCCTGTTTCGGCGGTGCTGGCGGTCAACACGCGTGCTCCGTTGCCACCGTCCTGGGAATCTCCCGCGTCATCATCCACAAGTACTCCTCCATCCTCTCAGCATACGGAATGTCGCTCGCAGACGTTGTCCACGAGATCCAGAAGCCTTCCGCCATCACCTACTCGGACGAAACAAAGGGCAGCATTCAGGCGCAGCTCGAGGACTTGTCTTCCCAGGCCACTCTGGAGCTGATGAAACAGGGCTTCACCGAGGATCTCATCACCCATGACACTTACCTGAACATGAGATATGCTGGATCCAGCAGCTCGCTGATGATTCTGAAGGGTGCGGACTGGGACTTCAAGACGGAGTTTGAAGACGCTCATCGACGGGGCTTCGGCTTCCACTTCCCCGAGAAGTCCATCATTGTCGACGATATTCGTGTTCGTGCTACTGGTGCAGCTCGTGCCAAGGTTGAGAAGAGCCCGTTCGCCCAGATGAAGTCTGTCGAGTCGTCCACGGTTTCGACGCCTCAGCCCAGTGGCACCAACAGCGTCTATTTCGAGGGCCACGGCCACCTCGACACCGCGGTCTACCAGCTCCAGACGATCCCCGTCGGCGCCCGTATCTCCGGCCCGGCCTTGATCATTGACAACACCCAGACCATCCTCGTCACACCGTCCACCACGGCGACAGTCCTCGAGAGCTACGTCGTCATCGACCGCGCCCCAGTAGAGAAGGTCGTCAAGACGGGCGGCGAGCAGGAAGAGTTCAGTCCCGTCCAGCTTACCGTCTTCGGCCACCGCTTCATGTCCATCGCCGAGCAAATGGGCCGCACCCTGCAAAAGACGGCCGTCTCCACCAACATCAAGGAACGCCTCGACTTCTCCTGCGCCATCTTCAGCCCCGACGGTGGCCTCGTCGCAAACGCCCCCCACGTCCCCGTTCATCTCGGATCCATGCAATTTGCCGTTCGCTACCAGCACGAGCTGTGGGAAGGCAAGCTCAAGGACGGCGATGTCCTCGTCTCCAACCACCCTTCCTGTGGCGGCACCCATCTGCCCGATATCACCGTCATCACACCCGTATTCGATGGCCCGGAGCTGGCCTTCTATGTCGCCTCGCGAGGCCACCACGCTGATATTGGCGGTATCCTTCCCGGCTCCATGCCGCCGACCTCCTACGCACTCTGGCAAGAAGGCGCGGCCATCGCATCGACGAAGCTCGTTAGCGAAGGCCGCTTCAATGAATCCGAGGTCCGTCGCCTGCTCCTCGAGGAACCCGCGCAGTACGACGGCTGCTCCGGCACCCGCAGACTGCAGGACAACCTCTCCGATCTCAACGCGCAAATCGCCGCCAACGCAAAGGGCATCTCGCTCATCAAGGCACTCATCACCGAAAACGGCCTCGCCACGGTTCACCGGTACATGTACGCCATCCAGCACACGGCCGAACACGCCGTGCGAGAGCTGATGCAGTCCACCCTCGCCAAGTTCGGCTCCGAGCCCCTCGTCGCGGTGGACTACATGGACGACGGCACGCCCATCTGCCTCAAAATCACCATCTCGCCCGAAGACGGCTCCGCGACATTCGACTTCACCGGCACCGGCCCGCACGTCCTCGGCAACACCAACGCGCCCATCGCCATCACCCACTCAGCCATCATCTACTGCCTCCGCGGCCTCATCTCCTCCCAGATCCCCCTCAACCAAGGCTGCCTGGCCCCCATCGACATCGTCATCCCCAAGGACAGCATCCTCAACCCAGGCGCCGGCCTCGCCGTCGTCGGCGGCAACGTCCTCACATCCCAACGCATCACCGACGTGGTCCTCAAAGCCTTCCGCGCTTCCGCCGCCAGCCAAGGCTGCTGCAACAACCTCACCTTCGGCACGGGCGGCAAAGACCCCGTGACGGGCGAGCACAAGGACGGCTTCGGGTACTACGAGACCATTGCGGGCGGCGCCGGCGCGGGGCCGACGTGGGTTGGCCAGAGCGGCGTACACACGCACATGACCAACACGCGCATCACGGACCCCGAGGTCTTTGAGAAGCGGTACCCGTGTATCTTGCGGCGATTCCAGCTACGTAGCGGGTCGGGCGGAAAGGGCAAGAATAAGGGCGGCGACGGGACGATTCGGGAGATTGAGTTCCGGGTGCCGGTGCAGTGCTCTATTCTTAGTGAGCGCCGGAGCCGGCGACCGTATGGTATGGAGGGCGGTGGTGATGGCGAGGCGGGGTTGAATTTGGTTATTGTCAAGGATGATATGACTGGCAAGGATCGGACTGTTAATCTTGGTGCTAAAGCGACGACGAAGTTGAGGGCTGGTGAGACTGTTATTATCCAGTCGCCTGGTGGTGGTGCGTGGGGTGCTGTCGAGGCTTGATGGCAGCATGGGTAAAGGATTAATTGGGAATGCATGTTTTGGAGTTTGGAGGATTTGATTTTGTATCGCGCTGATTTGTAGACTAATTGATTCGTCATCACCAAATATTCAACGCAACTCAACTCGTGTGATTACACTTCAGTGTAGCCTTTTGGTGACAACGTGTCACTAACTCCTCTCCCCTTCGAGGCATCATGAATTGACATATTCAACTTACACTTCTCAATCCATTTCGTGTGGAAACTGACCGAGCCCTCCCAATACAGTCCGTCTTGCCGATGAACGTCCCCCTAGAGCTTTCGAGCTGCTGGACGAGAAGAGAACCTCAAGCCACGACAACAACTCTTGATCTCTCCCTCGCCCAGTCGAAGCCATTTCGCAGACAAATTTCCTTGGCAGCAGACCTTCTTCAATGCTCACAGAGCTCGTCACAATCTTCATCCTCTTCTAACTCTATCGTCGCGAAACGCTGCTAGTTTGTCTAGTCGCTTATAAGACCCGCGCCCACACCCCTACATCTCAGCCCTCTCGCCAACCCGATCAGTTCAAGGCGACTCCAGCGAGGTCCCCGCAGCACAAGCGAGACATCGTGAGATTTCAGTCTCCATCTGCCCTGGTGGTCTAGCGGTATGATTCTTCCTTAGGGTTGTTGACTCACTGAGCAATCAAGACACCATCTTGGAAGAGGCCCCAGGTTCGAATCCTGGCCAGGGCCCGTTTACCTTTTGGTGTTGTTGATCGAGTGGTGGTGACCTTTTTTTGACGTGCTTGGTGTTTTACTATGTATGTACCTAGAAATCCGCTGACCCGGGTAATTGCGGGTAGTTGGCCGGTTATGTCCTGCATGCACGTCTTTCTTTGTCTCTGCATGGGAAAGCTGCAGAGATTCCGTTGAACAATGTCTGCATGTGCTCTTGGCAAAGAACCGTACCCGCGACAAGCGAGAATGGCGATGGATGGGGGGGGCCTATTAATAAGACGGCATTTTCTGTGGAAAAGGACATCGGGGCGTCGGCCGGAAATACACCCCTGTCCATGCTCGCCCGGTCTCGGCCTCGAATGCGGGGGAATCGGGTCAAGATCCGGGGAGCGGATATCCGATAGGAACCCGTAGTTATCTGCCCATTTGGGGTCGAGTTCAACGGATACCGTCCCGATAAATAGTCCTGCTAGCCTCGGTCACGATACCCGGCGCGTTTGACGTTGTTGGAACATTAAAGCCTCGATACTGCAGCTCGTATCCTCAGCCTTCAAGGTATTTGTCTCACTCATATACCACTCTATTCAACTCACCAACTTTCATACTTATTGTTACTCTTCATCTCCTAGACCTCTGGCATTCTACAACAAAGACTGAAACAAAGCACCATCAAAATGTCTCCCAGCAAGGTTCCCCCGCAAGGCATCTGGGCCCCAGCCGTAACGCTCTTCAACCCAGAGACAGACGAGCTCGACCTCGAAGCCCAGGCAAAGTACTACTCCTACCTCTCCAAGACCGGCCTCGCAGGCCTCGTCATCCTCGGCACAAACGCCGAGCAGTTCCTCCTCACCCGCGAAGAGCGCAAGGCCCTCATCGCCACCGCCCGCAAGGCCACCGGCCCAGACTTCCCCATCATGGCCGGCTGCGGCATGCACTCCACAAAGCAGGTCCTCGAGCTCCTCGCCGACGCAAAAGAAGCCGGTGCCGACTCGGCCCTCGTCCTGCCCCCGGCCTATTTCGGAAAGCAAACCACCCCGCAGGTCATTGATCGCTTCTTCGACACCGTCGCGGAGAAGACGCCCCTCCCCATTGTGATTTACAACTTCCCCATCGTCTGCAACGGCATCGACCTCGACAGCGGCACCATCGCCAAGCTGGCCAAGAAGCACGACTCCATCGTCGGCGTCAAACTCACCTGCGGCGCCGTCGCCAAAATCGTCCGCCTCTCCGCCGAGCTGCCGGCCGAGAAATTCGCCACGTACGGAGGCCAATCCGATTTCCTCCTCGGCGGTCTCACCTCGGGCAGCGCGGGCTGCATCGCGGCCTTTGCCAACGTCTTCCCCCGCGTCACGGTGCAGATTTACAAGCTGCACAACGAGGGTAAGCTCCAGGAGGCCATCGCGCTGCATCAAAAGGCCGCCATCGCGGAGCAGGCGACCAAAGCGGGCATCGCGACGATCAAGTACGCCGCGTCCGTGTACACGGCGCCGCGGGCCGGGTTGAAGGGCCAGGAGAAGCTGTTTGCGCCGCGGAGCCCGTATGTTGAGGCTAGTGAGGACCAGAAGAAGACTGTGCACGCTTTGATGGATGAGTTGAACAAGCTTGAGGAGGAGCTTGCTGGTTCCAGCTGAGTGGGTTGTTCAAGTTTTAGTTGTTGGTTGTTGGTGAAATCTTGTTCCTGGTCGATTTACTCTCTGTAACACCCCCCAGTCGCCCCCACAGACTCATCTCCTCGACGAACGACGACGACGACGACGACGACAACAACGACAACATCGTGGTTATCTCGAGCCGAGTTGGGAAATAGACCGCATGTACAGGTGGCTTTAGCCAATCGGTCATTACGAAGATCCCTTTATTGGGACTCGTATCCCCTTCATCATGACGTCTTTCACCGAGTTGGTCGGGAAGGTGAACAACTTCGATGACCCGAGGCCTGCGTTGAATCAGAAGCCGGTGATGCTTGGCATCGTGATATCATTTCTGGTATGTCCCTCTTCCTTGGCACTGGGTACATGTACATGTACGTTGAGCTATCCAAGAGCATCATATTAACAATCGGTGTGCAGATACTAGCACTGCTATGTGCGGGCATGCGAATATGGACACGCATCTTCATTGTTCGGGCCGTAGGATTGGATGACTTCTTTCTGGTGCTGGTCATGATTTCAATCTCAGTTGGAAGCATTGGCACTTGCATCGGTATGTCAGAATGCGCTTACAACTACCCCGACATACTTGGTCCGTAGCAGATGCTGACAAGTGGAATAGCAATGGACTATGGGCTTGGGGATCATATATTATTGATAGAGTACTATAGATTCGTCAACTTCATGAAGGTAACTAGTATCCCCTTATCACGATACGGACTCTCACTTTTCAGTACGGAATTCTGACCAGGAGAAACTAGATCTTCTACATCTGCAACGGCACATTACCGATGTCAACATCCCTCATCAAGATCGCCATCCTGCTCCAGTATCTCCGGACGTTTGAGCGCGGATCAAAATCACGAATCTTTACCATTGTCATGATCTGCATCGTGGCAATGTGGGGAACCGCCTTCATCTTCCTCGCCTGGGTACCCTGCATCCCCGTCGCAGCCTACTGGGACTGGTCAATACCCTACCGCGGACGCTGGGGGTTCGGAACGCAGGTTGCGGAGGAGCTGCTCCGGACGTACGAGGCTCACGCCACGAGCAACATGATTCTCGACTTCATCATCTTTGCCATTCCTTTACCGCTGTACTTCAACACCGAGGCGAACAAGAGGTCTCGGAAGAGCGTTCTCGGCCTCTTTTTGCTGGGCAGTCTGTAAGTTCTTTTCTGAGTCGATTCCCATCGCGACTATCTCGCTTCTTACGTAGTTACTAACGGCATATCAAGTGTCCTGATGCTCGCCGCCTGGCGTCTCGTTGCCCTAGTCCGCTCCCGCGCCGGAACCTACCCAAACTTCGACCCAACCTGGGCCGCCCCAGGCCCCATGGCCCTCTCCATCCTCGAGATCGACATGGCCGCCATCTGCGCCTCCCTCCCCGTCTTCTGGCCCGTGCTGCAAAACAGCATGGGCATGATCTTCGTTACGCACGAGGTCAAAGTCACCACGGAAACGGTCGAGACGACGCGGAGCCGCGAAGACGACGAGTGCCTCGAGCCGGCCGACGGCGCAGGGAGCGGCTCCTTTTCTTTCGCGCAGCAGAGCCCCGGGTTGGACACAACGGAGCTGATTCGGCAGTGCCAGAAGCAGACGGACATTTTTGGGAGTTATTTGAAGGGCAAGACTACGACGGATGTGAATGCGGATCCGACGACGAAAATGGTGTGATGCACAGAGGTTGGGTGCCGCTGGTGGCTTGGTCGGTAACCTATGGTGCTTGTTTTAACGACAATATCCGGGAGTACTGATGATGGGAAATAGGTTCGTTTGGTCTATTCACTTTTTCCTTTTCTGTATTACTATAGATACCTCTTACCTTCACGTTATCCACGAGAACTCCAGGAAGAGAAGTAAATTTCAATCAATTTGTGGTGTCCCAATAAGACGTATTGACCTCAAAATCATGTGTTCGAGGTGTTTTCGATCCCAGATGTGGCTAACCTATCATATTTGATGTATTAATAACTTCAATCAAGATTTGTTAACTCGTGCACTATGATTGGAAAGGACCCAGTTGGCATGTGAAGACTTCCGAATTCGTATTTTGACCTAGGGAGTTGGCTTGCCGCCTCCATCTTACGTGGACGTGAGCCTCTCATCGCCGGATGTAGTAAGTCCTAACGACTGTCACGGAACTGATCGACTCCGTGACAATAAATGCGAGAGCAGATGAAAGGACATATCCGAGATCTGCTATTTAATTCCCGGAACACAGGCACGTAATGGGGCAAAGCTTCGAACTTTATTATCCGATTTGTCTCGGTTTCTATTCCCCTTACATTTTTATTCTCACACCACGTCTTAAAGTCTCCCACATATCTCCTTTCTCGCTATTGAACAATGATGTGGATCTACCGAAGATAATTGCAGGTTACTTCTCAGAAGCAGGTTTCTTAGATGACAAGTCCACACCAAAGATTGCCCCACCAAGCTGAACCCCGAACTTCTTGGGGCCAAAGTTAAACCTCGATACATCGATAGAAGAGCCCGCGGCAGCGGTGGCAGCATCATCCTGCCCATTGAGCACAACCTTGAGACCGCGCTGCTCAAAGAAGCCGCTGTTCCATCCCTCCACAATATCTGTCAGGCGCTTCTCCATGTACTCGTCTTCGTTTGCCAACTGCTTCTTGTCGTCGACACCAATGGTTGCATCGAGCGCTGCGGTGATGTTGGAAGCGAAGGCGGCCCAATCCTGGACTGAGATATCACGAGTCTGCCATTCTTCGGCCGGGTCTGGGAAAGGGAGGGAGAGGGATGTGGCGCCGGGCCCGACGACGATGTGGTGGGTTTGGATGGAGTCTGGGCGTGGGAAGGGCGGTTGGCGGGAAATGGACGAGACGGCGTCGTTGTAGGAGGGAGGAGGGATGTCAGAGCTCATGGTTCTCAAGCGGTATTTTCAGTGTCTGTTCGTATGATTGATTTAAGAAAGAAGAGTTATTCACGTGTAGTGAGGGGGTGTGTGTTAGCAGAAATATTTTGATATCTTATACAGACTCCTGAAGCTCGCGGGGTTCATGGCTTCTTAAGTCGAAAAGCCGAAAGTGGTCAAATTAGGCAATGTGACATCTCCGATGGCAAAGTAGAACAGTCTCTTCAAAACACCGTCAAACCAACGGGCGAGCGCCATTCAGAACTCAGCTCTACAAAAGGCGGCCTGCTGCGGCACAGCCCTACGCCCCTCCCATATTGGCTGGGATACATCAAACATCGGGATGGTCCGTACATGTACGGATAGAAATCATACCAATGCAGTAATGAAGGATCGAGTTCGCACCCCTATGCATGGGAAAATACGATACAAGTCTTCACAGATGAATCAGGCCATGCACTAACCCGGCAGAACGGAAGCGAGATTCTTGCTCATGTGGGCTGGACTCGTCCATTTGTACGGATGGGACGCCCGCGCCTTCTTCATCAAGACAGACTGTGCGACTCGGGCTTTAGAAGGTCGTATATACCACCAATCAGCTTGTTATTGTTGTTCGCAATGAAGCGGCGCAGACGGAAAGATAAGCAGGGGTTGGCTCTCTATCCAGCAACATAAGTTCCTCACTTTGCTGTAATTATTGCTGAACCAAGAAACATTTTCCAGAACCAACACGGCCAGATCTAGACCCCTCCCATACATATTAGCCTTTTGCGCCTGTCGAGATGGGAAGCTGGGGAGTCCGAGGTCATTGAGTTTAGGGGTGTGAGGTGACTACGAGGCAGGTCGAGCGTGTTCATTCGCTCTCTTCACACCAACCAACAGACACAACGACACGAACAAATTCCAATACACCCTGGTCAACCCCAGTTCGTACGAATGCAGTTCGGGTCAGATCAAGCCTTTTGCTTCCCGCCAGTCCAGCTTTGGTAGCTGGTTGTCCTGCGCCATCCGACCCTTGTTGCGCATCTCGTTGGGTCTAAACTGAGTGTTTAATCCTTCAACCACGCCATTGCATGCAGGAGACAGGGATATTGCTTCCCCATCTTCAATAGCTTAACGTGCCAACGGTTCCGTCGCCTTATCACCAGGCAAGCGACGCCCGTCGGTGCCGTTGGTCACCACCAAGGCGATGTCTACCAGTTCGTCGCCATTATTCATAACAATGGCACCCTCTCACTGTTTTCCCATGATCGAAAGAAGCCAAGAGGTTTGCTGATCTGCTCGATCTTCGAGCAAAAGACAGGCATCTGGCACGATCGTGCTCCACTTGCGTCTCGACTCTTCTGTGTCGCCGCACTGAGAGAGGCCAGGGTTGCCTGCGATCTCGAAGTCATCGTGACTAGCGTCTCTTAACTTCAACACTTCGTTTTATCAACCACCTACTCAGGTATCCTTTCTACTAAGGAGTCTACGTACAATGGACACCAATGTTTCTTGCGCATCGCAGGGCGACGCTGGCGATTCCGCCTTCGGCCCGGTGATGGATCCTTGCGTCCGCAAGTTCGACTTCTCGCTCTTGTCGATCCTCCCATCGTCAATTTTCATCATTCTGGCAGCTTTGAGGATATTCTCCCGTCGCTCGGTACAGCACAAGGTCGCAAACAACACGTTTCGCCTAGTAAAGCTGGTAAGTTGAGCTCTCATCCGCTCGTCAAACAAGTGCAAGACTGCTGGCAGCAAGAGATGAAACGAGTCTACTAACGACCAGAATTCCAGGCCTCAATCCTGGCCTTCACAGCCATCTCTGTCGCCCTTACCGCACTCTGGGCTCTTGACGCAGATCTGGCCCTCAATAACAAAACAGCAATTACCGCCGCCGCTCTGACCATCCTGGACAGCGTCTTCGTGGCTGGACTCTCCTTCACAGAGCACTCGAGATCGCTCAGCCCGTTCCTGCTTCTGAGAATGCATTTCTAGTCCTGTCCACCATCTTTGATGCCGTTCGCCTCCGAACCCTGTGGGTCAAATCCGTCGGAACCCCCATCGTCGCGCTCTCAACTGCGGCCTTTGGCCTGAAGCTCGCGCTTCTCGTGCAGGAGGAAGCTAGTAAAAAACGATGGATAGTCGGCGATTCGAGCGAGTGTAGCTCCGAGGAGACTGCTGGACTCTTCAACCGTGTCGGGTTCCATTGGCTCAACAGTCTGCTTTTCAATGGCTACAACTCTCCGCTATCGATTGACAAGCTACCTGTCATTGATAGACAGCTTCTATCTGATTCTCTTTGGAACCGAGTTGGACAAAAGTGGAGGAACTGTGAGTAGCACTCCGAGTTTGCGCCAAGTCTTGATTTACTGACGACTTTGATTTGGCGTGACAGCGCCCAAGACGGGAAACAATGCCTTGCTGGGAACTATCTTCTCGGCTCTGAAGTGGCCCATCCTGGCACCTGTTCCTGCATACATGATCCTCGTTGGGCTCCAGCTCGCACAGCCATTCATGATCAGCATCATCATGGCCTACCTCGCGAGCCCTGTTGACCACACCGAGGACCAGAGGAACATCGGATACGGGTTGTTCGGAGCCTATGGCTTGGTCTACATCAGTATTGCGGTGAGTCAAGATTCAAGAATTTCCGCCCAAAAATTCTACTTCGTGGAATGCGAGTCTGACCTCCCATGGGTTCCAGGTTGTGACTGCAGGATGCCAACACCTCGTCTTCCGGTACGCCACCATGATGCGTGGCTGCCTCGTACTCCTGATCTATGAGAAGACAACCTCCATGAGCATCACTGGCGCCGAGGAGGCTGCTGCGGTCACGCTGATGAGCACGGATATCGAGAGAATCGTCAACGGCATGTCCAAGATTCACGAGAGCTGGTCGACACTTCTCCAGATGGCTGTGGCCCTTGCCTTACTGTACAGACAACTCAGAGTGGTTTTCATCGTTCCTCTTGTGCTTTTCTTGAGTAAGAAAGGAGTTTACTTATTTCATGTTTCTTATAGTTACTGACTTGATGCCTAGTTTGTGCTGTTGGTGCGGGAGCTTTGTCGGGTTCCGCTGGGGCTTTCCAGGCGTCCTGGATGGCGGCTATTCAAAAGAGAGTCGGTATGAACATCACCTTCATTTTGCAGTTCAGACACCTAGGAGCCCATTGCAGTCTGCTAACCTTTGAACCATTCCGCAGGGGTCATTTCTTCTGTTTTGGGAGCTCCCAAAGGCGTCAAGCTGTCCGGTTTCACCGACAAGATGTTCCAAATCATCCAAGACCTGCGTTTGAAGGAAATCGCGTCCGCAGCAAAGTTCAGGACCATGTTGCTTGTCATTGTCACCCTGTGTAAGTTATTTCACGATGGGAAATAGACCTTAGATCCGGCGAGGCTAACTCAGCACAGCGTATGCGCCTGGTTCCATCTCCCCAGTGGTGACCTTCGGCGCATACACGGCCATCGCGCAAAAGGACCACACCACACTTGACTCGAATCGCATCTTCACGTCCCTCGCCCTGCTTGCCCTCGTCACGCAACCTCTCAACGAGCTGTTTGCGCATCTCCCCAACATCATTGCCTCCATCGCATGCTTCGGCCGTGTTTAAGCTTTCCTCTTGTCCCCGGAGACGGCTGCCAAGTCGGATGTCCGCTGCCCTTCGGACAACCTCGGCAACACCCCCTCCATCAGCGAGTCGCAAAGAGACTCTTCTTTCCGCCAGGAGTCCAAGAAGCAGCCCAAGTTCAATGAAACCACCATCTTAGATCCTCTAGTCAGCGGAAATGCCATCGAAATTCGTAGTGCCAAGTTCGGGTGGAAGGCAGATGCGGACCCAGCCTTGACTGACCTCACGTTGGACATCCCCCACGGAAAGCTCACAATGATTGTCGGTCCCGTCGCCTCTGGAAAGTCAACCCTCCTCAAAGCCATTCTGGGCGAGACTCCGGTTGCAGAGGGGACTATCAACCGGGCCTCTGATAACATCGCCTTCTGCGACCAAGTTCCCTGGCTAACCAACGAAACTCTCCGTCGGAACGTCACTGGCTTCTCTCACTTTGAGGCTTCTTGGTATAGCACCGTAGTCCGAGCTTGTGCTTTGGAGGAAGACATTGTGACCTTCCCGGATGGCGACCAGGTCATGGTCGGCAGCAAGGGTGTTACCCTCAGTGGTGGCCAGAAGCAGCGAGTGGTAAGCACCCGCGGCCCCCGTATTGTCTCTTGGACAACTCCATGTTGTTGCTAATCAAAGTTCCTTTCAGGCAATTGCCCGCGCTGTTTACTCGCGACGTGATATCATCCTGTTCGACGACGTCTTCAGCGGCCTCGACTTCGAGACGCAGACTCGTGTCTTCAACAACCTCTTTGGAGCATCTGGTCTCTTGAGACAACGCAACGTCACTGCACTCTTCGTCACTCACGCAGGTACGCAACTCCAGTCCTTGGCTTGATCTAGTTTTCCTACCAGCTCTAACGGCCTTGCAGTACACATACTCCCTCAAGCAGACTACATCATCACTCTGGACCAAACCGGCATGATTGCTTCTCGTGGAACGTTTGAGGAGCTCAACAAGCAGCCCGGCTACATCAGCAAGTTCGGCCTGGTCACCAAAGAAGACACAGTCCAGCGCGGGGCCGTGAAGGATGACAGCAAATCCGCTTTCAAGCCTGAACAGAGGGAGAAGACCGCAAACAGCAGCATTGATGAGGAGACACAGCGCATGGGTAATCGTTCGGTCTACAAATACTACTTTCAGGCAACCGGTCCTCGCAGCGTTCTCATATCACACCCTGCAGGTCGTCTGGGTTTTCCTGACAAAGTTCCCCGGTACGTCCCTACCTACTATATTGACCTCAAGTGAAAGCTTACCTAACCTTCCGGCAGAAATTTGGCTTTCTTGGTGGGGTGAGGCGAACGACAGACATCCTAATCAGGAGACCGGGAAGTACATGGGAGTCTATGCCACTCTACGAGTACTCCCGCTTGTTGCGTTGGCCGCGACCTGCTGGTAGGTTTTGTAATCGATTCTCATCTTGAGATTTATTACTGAAACTGTCGTTCTAGGCACGTCGTACTCAGAATGGCCGTGGCTTCTGGTATCAAACTTCATTGGATTCTCCTCGAGAAGGCCCTCCGGCAAGTCATGACCACCTCTACCGGATCAAGCTTTGTTGCTAACAACTTCAAGGGCACCTCTGTCCTTCTTCGCTACAACTAGCACTGGCTCCATCGTCAACAAGTAGGCATATCACACTACCTTTATCTTCAGGACTAACCCGTTGCTCAGATTCAGCCAGGACATTCAGTTGATCGACGCCGAGCTGCCGATCTCTCTCCTCAATGTTGCTGCCAGTAAGTGCTTCCATGCCAACGTGAGGGAGTGCCGACACTAAAAAGTCTTTAGACGGACTCATCTGCATTGCACAAGCTTTGATGATTATCCCCGCCTCTTACCAGCTCATTGCAGTCTTCCCGTTCCTCGGCGGCGTACTCTGGATTATTCAAAGATTCTACCTGCGGACGTCACGCCAGCTTCGTTTCCTGGAGCTCGACGCCAAGGCCCCCATGTAGTAAGTATCCTGCCAACCCTTTCATGCCACAGGGCAGGTGAAAGAACCCTCATCTTAATGTACTCCAGCTCCCAATTTCTCGAGACCCTAAGCGGACTCTCCACAATCCGCGCCTTCGGCTGGCAACAGGACCTCACGAACCTCATGCGAGACCGCCTCGACACCTCCCAGAAGCCAATGTACCTCCTCTACAGCATCCAGCGCTGGCTCACCCTCGTACTCGACCTCACCATCGCCGCCCTCGCTATCGTCCTCATCTCCGTCGCCGTCGCCCTGCGCGGCCGCCTCGGCGCGGGCTTTGCCGGTGTGGCCCTGCACAACATCATGGGTCTCAGCAGCGCCATGAAGGCGACCATCACCGTCTGGACTGTCCTCGAGACTTCGATTGGTGCCTTTGCGCGCGTAAAGACTTTTGCGGAGCAGACGCCTGCTGAGAGCCAGTTTCAGGAGCCTCAGACGCCGCCGGGTTCTTGGCCTGAGAGGGGGGCGATTAGCTTCCATAATGTCACTGCTTCGTATGGTAAGGGCGTCGATAACGTTTTTTCAAAGGTTTCCTTTAGCGTTTTGCCTGGCCAGAAAGTTGGGATATGCGGTCGAAGCGGAAGGTAAGTCTAAATCTCGTTGGCCATCGATGTGATATTCTAGTGACACCTTTGCTAACAACGCTTTCGCAGTGGCAAGAGTTCTCTCCTGCTCACCCTTCTCCGCCTGATTGACTGTAACGAGGGACAAGTCATCATCGACGGCGTCGACATCGCGACCATGCCGCGCGAGGTCCTGCGTCAGCGACTGAACGCGCTTCCTCAAGAGCCTCCCTTCTTCAGCGGCAGCGTGCGCCTCAATTGCGATCCCGAAGGTACGACTTCGGATGGGATCATCACCGAAGCGCTCCGCGCCGTCGGTCTCTGGGAGGTGATTAAAGAGAAGGGCGGGCTAGATGCGGAGTTTTAGGATGACTTCTTCTCTCACGGCCAGAAGCAGGTGTTTTGCCTGGCGAGAGGTATCTTGCGCCCGTCGAAGATTGTGGTCATGGATGAGGCTACTAGCAGGTATGTTTTTGGCCTTTCCAAGTAACTTCGCTTCTCGCGGGGGTCTACGGTCTCGTTTTGCGAAGGATTTGGCAGCTTACCTTTTTGTGTTAGTGTTGATGTCGACACGGAGAAGAAGATGATGAAGATCATCCACGAACGGTTCGCCGACGCAACCATCATCTCGGTGGCTCACCGTCTCGACACCGTTCTCGACTTTGATAAGATTGTTATCTTGGACAAGGGTGTCATTGTCGAGGAGGGCTGTCCCGCTGAGCTTCTCGGTCGGGCGTCTGCTTTCCGAGCCCTCTACGAAACATTCCACACCTGAAATCTGCCGACGCTGAAGTGAAGAAGGGCTTTTGAACTTGCGTGATATGTCGCGTACTCTCGGGGGTCGATGGAACATCGGTGTTGGTACGGATGTTCATTCAGGACTTTTCATAGGACTTGAGTGTACAGGAATAGTTGAATGGAACAGTTTCTTTCTCATTCGCCCATCTCCTATTTTCATGTGGTGACGTGATTCCATTTCAGCAGTTCTCATCTCAGGCTTTACGGTGTTTGTCATTTGTATTCGTTCAATCAATCTCATACCACGAGCCCCGTCCCTTTATAGCATCATGACACCCCCCCCCCCCCCCCCCCCCTACTACATTCTCTCCACGGCGGTATTCGATCCGAGCCGCCTCAAGGCCAACAACCGAGCTCGTCGATTTTGTCTCCGCCGTAATGAGAGCAGAGCCCCCATATAGAGCTCACCAAGTCTACGACCGAGTCGGCGTGCCTGGACCGGAGGTCTCTGAGCAGTACATTGGTATTATGATCCGGCACAGGGAAGGCCATTGAGGCCGCGGTAGTCACGGACTTTCACGACCCCATCCTACTTTTTTTGACCTCGAGTCTATGGGCTCACCAGTCTAGCACGAGTAGAATGAGGGCACAAGGCAATAATACACCCCAAACAGATCAGTCTAATAGACCACCAAAAAAAGCAAAAGAGTTCACCCCCACCGGTGACCGGTGGCGGACGGGGGCTACATCTCTGGGTGCACTTGCCGGGACTCGAACACGGGACCTCAAGCCTTCACCGATTAGGCTTGTGGACTTGAACCACTCCACCAACCAGCCAGTTTTGACCTGACCCCCGGGGGACGCCTGCTGGCTGGTGACAGGAACGGACTTGAGGGGGACTATATGCCCTTCTCGTATGTTCAGATGGAAGGTGAGGGGGGTCACGTGTGGAAGGTACGGTCGATAGGGAACTCTCGGGAGGGAAGGTACGGCAGGCACCGGCAGGATCGTACCTTCCGTATGGCAAACTCAGGGTATTAGTCATTTGGCAACGACTTCACGCTATGAAAATGTTCGATTTCGGTAAGGTATTCATTCACGGAAGAATAGCAGATAATGGGACGAATAGCAACATAGACGGCGGCACTGGTGGCATCGGAAGTCCCGCATGATGTCCTGGAAGCCTATAAGGTGGGTGGCCCAATCAGACACGGCATCCGTCTTTCTCGATTATTTCGCTGGAGGCGGGGAGCAATTCGATACGACAGACATAACAATGCCATCAGCAGAAGAAGAAGATATTGGGAACGATGGGTCTTCAAGTAAACTCATGGAAGTCGTTCAATAAAAAGAACCCGTCATCAACATATGCAAGGAGAGAGACATCGCGCCTCGTAAATCCCAATCGGGACCGAACCCCGCCTCGACCGTAAGCTGCATCAACCTTGTCGTTGCAACGGTTACACCTGCCAAGGCACTGGTAAGCTTATCGGGATGTAGATTGGCTTTGGGAATTCTCCCCTATGCGGGGAGACGTCTAAGCGAGACAGGGACCCTTGATGTCGGGAGGCCATTGTTGACGAACTCGATGGTAAAGAACCAGGGGAACGAAAGAGCAGGAAAGACGAGCTGCAAACATGAGGAGAATGTCTACTTAAAAGTAAAGCCCTTCTCGCCCTTACCTCGACAATCGAACCCAGAGACCCATGCCCTCCATTGACCGCAGCATCATACAGAACATACCCTCCCCACCGCAAACACGATGATCCTCTCCACGATCACAGCTTTCCTCTTCTTCTTCTTCCTCCTCCTCCTACAAACCACCGCCCAATCAGCCCCAAACACAACCTACACCTACATCGTAATCGGCTCTGGCCCAGGCGGCGGCCCCCTAGCATGCAACCTCGCCCGCGCAGGCCACCCAACCCTCCTCCTCGAAGCAGGCGACGACGAGCGTGACGACATTCGAACCGTGATCGCCAACGGCGGGAACTTCATCACCCCGACAAACAGCTGGTCTTTCTTCGTGCGGCATCATCCCGATGAAGAGGTCGAGCTGCGGAATAACCACCTGACGTGGCGGCTGCCCTCCCAGAATGGAACTGGTGTTGGTCCGTACTGGGTCGGCAACGCGGCGAGAGCGCCTGAGGGGGCAGAGTTGTTGGGTGTTTGGTATCCGCGTGGTGCGACGGTGGGAGGGTCGAGTGTGACGAATGCGATGGCGACGTGGTTGCCGAATGATTCGGATTGGGATTTTGTGCAGAATGTCATGGGGGATGCTTCGTGGAAGTGAGTTCTTTTCTGCAGATTGTCATACTATGGGAGGACAATGTTGTATGGATCCTAGGCTAAGAAGCTAACGAGCATGGGAAAAGCCACAAGAACATTCGGCAAATCTTTGAGCGGATCGAGAAGAACAATTATCTGCCGGAAGGCACACCAGCTCACGGATTCGACGGCTATTTTAACACGAATCTCGGCAATGGGTCGCAGTATCTCAATAACCCTGGTTTGATGGACATTCTCAAGTCACACTTGCGGTCCATTGGGAAAGATCCAGAGAAGCTCATCGAGATGGTGGGCAGCGACGGGAACTTCCTCAGTGAGGATAGAGACACGACTGAGGGCATGTGGGGGCTGTCGTTCCATGCGACGGACAATTGGGAGCGGTACAGCTCTCGCACGTACATCTACGAGACACTGGCAGCCAAGAACGCCGATGGCTCTCCAAAGTGGCCTCTGACTTTGTCGACAAATTCTCTGGCCACGAAGGTCCTGTTTGAAGGGGCAAACGGCGGAAAGCCCAGGGCCGTGGGCGTTGGGTGCTTGGCGGGCAATTCCACCTACGACGCTGATGTGCGACATAATGCGTCGACGGCAGGCGAGACACGGCGAGCAATGGCATCTGGCGAAGTCATCGTCTCAGGCGGTGCCTTCAACTCGCCGCAACTACTACAGCTTAGCGGTATCGGGAACAAACCAGACCTTGAAGCACTCGGCATCGAGGTCGTGGCAGACTTGCCAGGCGTGGGTCGGAACCTCCAAGACAATCAAGAATTCCTAGTCGTGGGACACGCTCAGCTCAATCTGACAGCTACTCCAAACCCCAACGAGCCGATCTGCGCAAAGGGAACGCCCGGAGACCCGTGCGAAGAGCTGTGGCGGCAGGGAAAGGGCCCGTACATGCGGCCTGGATACAACTCGAACGCGTTGCTTCTCAAATCTAACTTTTCACTGACCGGAGAGCGAGATGTCTTCGTGTTCAGCTGGCCAAGGGCGTTCCGCGGGTTCTGGCCCGAGCTCCTCGATCCACCGAATACCATCGGCTTTTCGACTGTCAAGATGCACCCGCAGAACACGGCCGGGTACATCAAGCTCCGTTCCGCGGACCCGACGGACCCACCGCAGATCAACTTTGAGCTATACAAGGAAGGTGCCGAGACGGACCTAGAAGCGATAACGGAGGTGGTGGCGTGGGGCCGACGAAGCATGAGCGGCGTCCAAGGACCGTGGGGTCCGGTGGAGCCGGCCGAACCTCCATGCTCGCGAGTTGAAAGTGACGGCCGGTGTGGTGACGCGGACGCGGAGTCGGATAAGGATTGGATCCGGGAGCAGACTTTTGGACATCATCCTACGGGGACGTGCAAGATGGGTGCGGCTGATGATGGTATGGCGGTGGTGGATTCCGAGTTTCGTGTGTTTGGTGTGGACGGGCTGAGGGTCGTCGACGCCAGCGTGTTCCCGCGGGCTCCCGGAGCATTTCCTGCCGTGGCGACCTTTATCATTAGCCAAAAGGTGTCGGATGTGATGCTAGAAGGTGTAGCAACATCGGAGTCGTGAAGGATGATGGTGGTAGGTCCAGGTAGATAGATGAGACGACGTTACACGGAGTGTTGAATTTTGGAGAGCTCTAAGTTCTTCCATGCATGGTAAAGTGCGAAGTGTGAAATGCCAGCCACGAGCCACGTCGCCCTGGCGTCGCGTCGCAACACAACTGGGTAGGAGTCTCGCAGTGTGTCCTCAGAGCAGTCGCGTCGTATCCGTACCGAAGAACGTCATCTGGTCTTTTTTTTTCCGTTGGGGAATTTATGTCGTTCAGGATGGGATGAAGGGAGCATTCAGGTCAGGGTCGTCTGATGTTCTGGAGCCTTCCAGTAGGTGGGATAATTGAAGGAGAAGCATGTGAAGGTATCTCAGCTGCCAAAGTACGCGGGAAAGATACGTGGCTGGAGTGTGGCTCTGTTAGCGGGGCTACCTCGCTCCTGGAGTCCGGGTTCGTGCACAGCCACAGCCACCCCCACCGCTGGCACAAGCTCCTCAAAACCGTAGGCGATGACGTTTGGACCTCGCCCCCCTCATACCCCACTTTCCCCTCTGATGGTGCACTGGGCCCAGACTGGCCCCTGCTCCTTGCTTGCCGCTCTAGCTCTTTCCCTCTCCTTCCTCGATGCTCAGCCAGACAGGGCAGCTACCACCTGGTGGCCCCCTCCCTCAACAGGGACCCTGCTCTTTGTGGTGCCCAGCATCGTCACCAGCTGGAGGCCGCCCCCTTCTGTCCCTGAGCCTGGGCTGGGACGTGGATGCTCTTTTGTCGCCTGCCTTGGCTAAAAGGTAAAGCGCGTTCTCATGACCCTTCGTCTGATCATCATACGTACTTGCCTCCAACATTCCCATGCAGACACGTCGAGCTTTTACATAAAACCCATCGTCCACGCGATTACCAGCGACCCCCCTTCTGCTCTATTCAATCTCTGCTTTTTCCCAGATACCCCTCCAACTTGAGAGACAACGTACATAACCGCCCTTGATACCCCATCCAGTCTCCAGTTACCCCTCACAAAACTCCCTCCTACAACACTTTCAAACATATCTCTCAACAACTCCAAACACAAACAACCGCCATTATGTCAAACACCACTGTTCACGTCAAGAACATCGCTTCGGCGACCGAAGACAAGGAGATCAAGGACTTCTTCAGCTTCTGGTAAGTTCATTTACCATCGCCTCTGATGGCCTGATATCCCTGCCTTCACCGCAAGTCCCACTAGAGTAATTATTGACATTTTGTAGCGGCAAGATCACCAACATCGAGGTTACTCCCGCTGGCGAGACCAAGGATGCTGCCGTCACTTTCGAGAAGGAGACCGCCGCCAAGACGGCCCTCCTCCTGAACAACACCCAGCTCGGCACCTCCCACATTACCGTCACCAGCGCCGGTGGCGACCCTACCGATGACGCTCCCCACCACAAGGAGAACGCCGACCGCGACTCGGACGACATTACACAAGAAGAGAAGCCTCGCTCTCGCATCTTCGCCGAGTACCTTGCTCAGGGTTACGTTGTCGGTGACGCCGCTCTGCAGCGCGCCATCGAGCTCGACAGCCAGCATGGCGTCTCCAACCGCTTCTTGACCACCCTTCAAGGCCTCGACACCAAGTACCACGCAACCGACCGCGCCAAGGCTACGGACCAGTCCTACGGCATCACTGCCAAGGCTCAGGGCATCTTCGGCGGTTTGAGCTCGTACTTTGAGAAGGCCACCAGCACGCCTACTGGCAAGAAGATTGTCGGTTTCTACGAGACTGGTTCCAGACAGGTGCAGGACATCCACACCGAGGCCCGTCGTCTTGCCGACCTCAAGAAGGAGGAGCACGGCGGCAGCGCATACAAGGCCTCTGGCCTCGAGAGATTCCTGGGCAAGGAGAAGGCTGCCCCCGGTGCCACTGGCGAGACCATTGGCACTCAGTCCCCCACCCAGCCCGACCCCACGACGGCTGTTCCTCTGTCCAAGCCGTCGGCCGCCACTGACGAGAAGACTCCCTTGTAAAAGAGTGAAGAGAAATGGTTTGCAAAAGGATTTGATGGTAGGCGTTGGCTGGGTTTATTAGGCACAACCGTTTCATGATTGCGACGCGTGTGGTTTTTATTGGCACTTAGGTAGTTATGACTTTCAATGCAAATCATGGCATCGAACATATTTACTCGCACCCTTGACTAGGTGACCTGACTTGATATCAGGCCCAGTCGTGTGCCTTGCTTATTCCAAGGATGCCTCTGGTCAAGGATTGTTCTGCTGATTGTGCGATCCTCGTTCTGGAGTCTGTCTTGAACGAGTACCATTGATCATCGGTGAGCTTTAAAGCCGAGAAGAGATTCAATCAGTCCTGAACTGCTGCACGTAAGGATCCTAACCCAACGATCGGTCACGAATGTACTGAAATTAGATGTCTCAAGAGTCAGACAAAACTCAGCATACCACGCGAATGACACATGTTCTGCTGTGCTCCCACTCCATGAAGGCAGTACCCTTCTGATGACCGCTCCAATGACACGATCATGGCTGCACGAACTCAAAAAGCATCCAGACCTAGCACACATTCTACATCACGGCAGGGCAAAAAGTATGGGTTTTGAATGCTTCTTTGGCATTTCAGGTATCTATAATACCACCCTCCCAATCATAATGCGTGAAGTGATGTTCATTCATGCCTCATTTTCCCAACGCCTTTCGTACAAAATTGCCATTATGTCTTTTTCTCTTTACTCCGTCTTGGAGAACTTCTCCTTCAGGGCGTCATCGAGAGGGCCCTTGGGGTTGGACTCCAGTTTCTGTGATGAGGGAATTGCTGGTTAGTCGACGGTCTTGAGGCACCGAAAACGATGGAGGTGGTGGTGGACATACATCGAGAGACTCCTTGTTGGTCTGCTCCTTGTTGGAGGCGTTGTCTGTTCCCTTGCCGGAGGCGGGGGGATCTTGTTGTTGGGCGCCGGATTGGCGTTCGGGAGGGGGGGATTGGCGGCCTTCGGGCATTTTGGGATGTGTCGTAGTTTTGATTTGGCAAGGTTCTTTTTTTGAAGATTGATCGAATGGACGGAAGAGTATCTCGTGGTTGATGAGGCTTGATGAGTGAAGAAGAGAGAGTCACATTTAGAGAAGGAGAGACATGGGATTAAATACGAAGGCTAAGGTAGCTGGCTGGTAGGTACCTTACCTAGCTTGCACCTCGCGTCAGGACGGAGGTACTGCTCCTGCCTCCAGATACACCACTCTACATCACGTTTACGATATTCACTCGAGGAAAGAGGGGCACAGGTAAGGCGCATTCCCTTTAGCCAGTCTCAGCATGGAGGGGCTCTTGCGTCAATGGAGGGGCGTTGCACGGAGGCGCTTCTCTCATCGCATCTGCTCTGTCAGAAAGAAGCCGCTCGTGAGTGGTGGGAAATGAGGGGATTAGCAGCTGGTTGCTGATTGCGGCGGTTGACATCAGTCTGTGTGGTTGATGTCGTCATGCGGCATGCGTGTGGTGGTTTGATCAAAGGGTGACGGGAAGGGTGCTTAGAGCTCGAGGGGCGGCGGCGGGTTTGACGTCACCTTTGTTGAGAATGAGGATGTGGATGGGAAGCTCGATTCGATGGGCTGCTTTATCTATAAATATATCGTATCTTATCGTGGATCTAATCGATAAGAGACAGTCTTATCAATGTTTGGTGGCTCCGGGAGAAGACCGGGAATATCGCCGAGCTCGGCGGAAAGCAAAGAGACGGAGCGCAAGAGCTGCAAGGGGGAAAACAGCGGAAGGTCCGCTGAAGAATGTCGCTAGGAGTATAGCCGACCGGAGCGGACGTCTTCCGGTGGGCTAGGGACCTAGAGGTGCGTCGGGTGTCGTGGTAGCTTGCATCGCAAGTGAAGCCTGTCATCGCGGTTGATTGATCAGAAGATCATTTTTAAGAGTCTCCTCTCGTTTCTTGTTCCATTGATGGGAGAAGACGTCGTCGTTGTGAAATTAGTAGGTGTGGGAAAAGCAAGAATGTGATGCCTCTGCAAATTGTCGAAAAAAGAGTGTCTGTTCTCACCCGAGACATGTCGTGAATCAATCCGAACACCAGTCGGACGAGGAGCTGCCTATCGTGAGGTGCTGTGTATTCGTTCGGGATTCCAAAGCTCGTCGACCGGGACTTTGGGCATGGTATCCGTTCGTCGATGCCGATCTGTAGCGGTCGAGTGTTGTCGGTGTTCCAGGGTGTAACTCGAGCGGCACAGCCAAAACACGATTCGAAAAAGCCCATGTTGTGATGCAGTGGAGCGCGCCAAGTGATTACCGTCGTCCTATCCCCAACGCTCCCGCATATCCAAATGAGGACGGAGAGAAATGCTGCCCTGGCACGCATGGAATCTCAGCGGGTGCCACTGATAATTAATAGAAACCTGCCCTCCAAGGCTTCACCACGCGGCCTCGACCAGCTCAAAAACAGGCTTCAGCCCTTCGGCACGATATTGAGGGAGCATTGGGGGATTTGGGGGTCCCTGTTTTCGGGCATTATGGACAAGGGAATCTATAGTAGGAAAAAGTCTAAATCGCGGGGCACACCACCCGAACAGGCAAAACAGGCACGGCGTTGATGAACTTGATGGTCGAAGGACGGGCTTGGTTATCTGTTTGGAACTTGGGGATATTGACAATGCGACTATTGGTGATTTGCTCAGGCTTAGGAAGCACGAAAGTGGTGTCATGTCCCACTGCCTCGGCCGAGCTTTTTCTTGAAGCTGTGGCCCGTGGTCGTGGATGATATGCGGATGAAGGATCGACTGCAATGTTTCGATCCGCGGCACAAACGGGGGGGCACCTGCACGGGAGTCAAGGGATGACAGGACGGGAAGCCACATGGACAACACACGGATGGGGCAAGCCGCAAAAGTTGCCTAAGAACAAGCGCGGCAGATGCCAAACGGACAATAAGACGAGCGAAGAAGGAAGCGACGAGTCGACGATCATCACGACGATTCCAGAACCGGGAAGGCGGCCCTTGTTTGCCTTGACAAAATGGGAAAGGAGCGGGTTTGTCTCGCGGCAGGTGCTCCAAGCTAAGACAAGAAAGAGCCGAAAGAGGGAAAGCGAAGCCCAGGTGCAAAAGGGAGGAAAGGGCGGATTGGGGTCACTACTGCCAACGGGGGTCATTGGGATCAACAACAATGGGTGGTCCCTGCCTCAAGTGCGTTTTCCACCAGGACCACCAGGAAGGTTGCACCTCGCACCTGCCCACCTGCCACACGACCTTTGTTTGTTTGACGAAGGAAGGCACAAGGTGCGACCCCGTCGGAGGAAAACTCTACCTTCTTTTGACCTCACATCCTCATGATTGTTTCTCTCATCCAACATAAGGTACTACTGGTAAACAAACGCCTTGCCGATTGAATGACTCAACTCAGCTTCAACCATTTCGGAACACCAACACACGATCACGACGAAACACCAACAAGTATAAACGAACTTGGACAACACGTAACTTGAAAAGCCGTACAAATTGGTCGCTAAAACTAAACACCGTTGCTATTCTTACAAGTCCGAGTCCAACCCTTTTTGCCAAAAAAAAACCCCGAAATCCGTACAAATGACGCGCCAAAGAAATTACACGTTGGTAAACCATCGTCAAAAGAGTATTCGATAGATCCAACTCGCGAGTACAACAAATCATGCAATCTTTAGATTCGCTTATTTCTTCTTGCCACCACCGAGGGCCTTGGTCAAGCTGCCGAGGCCAAGGCCATCGAGCAGGCGGTTGAGACCGAGGGTTCCGAGCAGACCATCGACAATCTTGCCGAGGCCGAGACCGTTGAGAAGACGGCCAACCAGGTTGAGGACACCAGTCAGAAGAAGACCGACGGCAGCCAGAATCTGGAACAGAGGCTCAGTAAGAAGACCCCAGAGAGGGTTGAGCTCAGCCTTGGCCTTGGGAAGGTCCTCAAGCTTGCGCTTGGCACCCTCGACGGTTTCCGTGATGGTACCAGTCAACTGTCATCAAAGTTAGCAATGTGTTCGTGATCATGTCAGAATTCATTCGGAATCAAACTCACCTCCTTCAGAACCTCGGCGAGGTGGTGCTCCTCAGAAGTAGCCTCACGAGTCTGGGCCTTGGCCTTGGCATTCTGCTGGATGCGTCCATCAGGGTCCAAGGCGCGGACACTGCCGTTCAACTCAGTCAAGAGCTTGCCACCCTCCTCGATGAGAGGCTTGACATCCTTGACCAGCTGCTCCTCATCACGCTCCTCCTTGGGCTGGCGCTCAGCGGCCTCAATCTTCTGCGTAATCATCTTGCAGATGGGACGGAGACGATCCAAGCCCTGCTCAATCAAGCCCCCGAGGTTCTTGGCCAACTTGCGGTCAGCCTCGGCCTCGATGCGAGCTTGCTTCTCCTCCTCAGTCTCCTCGGGAGCCTCCTCCTCTTCGACAATGTCCTCAACAAGGGTGACGTGTCCAACAACACGGTCCTTGGAGTCGACGACGTCGCTGTCGCTGTTGACCTCCTTGCCGGAGCAGATGGTGATCTCGCCAGTGGTAAGTCTGCCGATGATGTTTCCATCCTCGTCACAGACCTCACCGTTCTTGTTGACCTTGCGGCCCTCCATAGGTCCCTTCTTCTGAGGAAGGTCGGCAATGGCGGTGACATGGCCAACGACGCGGTCCTTGGAGTCGACGACATCGTTGTCCTCGTTAACCTTCTTGCCAGCGCAGATGCTGAGCTCGCCGCTGGTAAGCTTGCCAAGAGTCTCGCCGCTATCGCTAACGACGAAGCCCTCCTTGTTGACAACCTTGCCTTCCATAGGGCCCTTGGGCTCAGGAATGTCCTCGAGAAGCTCGACATGGCCAACAACGCGTCCCTTGGAGTCGACAACGTCGTTATCCTCGTTGACGGGCTTGCCGGCGCAGGACTTGATCTCACCAGAAGTGAGCTTGCCGATCACATCGCCATCCTCGTCGACGACCTCGCCGCTGCGGTTGACCTTGCGGCCCTCCATGGGTCCCTTCTGTCTCTCGGGGGCAGCCTCGGGCTCCCAGCGCTCGGCCTTGCCAAGCAAGTTGCCGTTGCGGTCGAGAATGTCACCATCCTCGTCAATGGGGCGGCCGAAGAGGACCTTGGCGTCACCCTGGACAAGGCGACCGACAATATCTCCAGAGGGGGTGACAATGGTACTGTCCTTGGCGACAGTGCAGCCAGGAAGCTCAGCGAAGGGTCCCTCCTTGGCTCCCTCGCGATCACCCTCGGCGACAAGCTCAGCTCTGCCGATGATGTCACCGGACTCGCTGCGAACGTTTCCGTCCTTGTCGCACATGCGACCGATCAGGCGCTTGATGTCGCCCTCGACAATACGGCCATAGATGGTGCCGTCCTTGTCGACAACGTTGCCAGCTTTGTTGACACGCTTGCCGGCGAGAGCAGAGTTGTCAACGGGCGCCTCCGGTTCGGGCTCAGCCTCGGACTCAGGTTCCCAACGCTCGGCCTTGCCAATTGCATTGCCGCTCTTGTCAAGAATGTCACCGTCGTCATCGACCTTCTTGCCCTTGAGCTTCTTCGGGTCACCCTCAATGACACGACCGACGATATCACCCTCGAAGAGGACGTGTCCGTTGGACTCGACGGTTGCGCCAGGGAAGTCCTCGAAGGGAGCGGGCTCGCTAAGCTCCTCACGCTCAGTCTCGGGAATAGGCTCGGCCTTGCCGATGACCTTACCACCGTCGTTCCAGATCTCACCAAGTTCGTTGGCCTTGCGACCAACCAAGTGCTTGAGGATACCAGAGACGATGCGACCGACGGCCTCACCCTTGTCGTTGACGAGGTTGCCGGCCTTGTTGACCTTAGCACCCTTCAGGATGGAGAAGTCGATGGTGTCCTTGAGGAGCTCCTCAGCCACCTCAGATTTGAGTTCGGCCTTGCCAATAATGCTGCCGCGCTCGTTGACAACGTTGCCCTCGGCATCGACGGTCATGCCGACGAGGTCCTCGGGGTTGCCCTCAGCGATACGGCCAATGGAGGCATCGTCGAAAATGACCTTGCCCTCGTCGTCAATCCGAGCGCCAGGGAACAACTCGAAAGGCTGGAGGAGCTTGTCGCCAGCAACAGAGACGGTGCGCTGGTCTGTGGGAATGGCGGAGCGAATAGTGCTTAGGACGCTCTTGATGTCGTCCTTGATGGTGGACTTGGGAGCAGATTCAGAAGCAGCGGTAACGTCAATGTCGGGGACATCGCCAGTCTTTGCAGTGGCGGTCTCGGCGACATCTCCAACGCCCTCAACACCGGAGTCGACACCCTCGTCGACGGCCTCCAGGCCTTCGCCCTCAAGACCCTCGCCCTCGACGCCCTCGACACCCTCAGTCAAGCCCTCAGTCTTGGGGAACCCGCCAGTCTGGGCATCCTCGGGAACCTCGAATTGCTCCTCAGGGTTCTGCTGGTTGGCCCAGTCCTCGGTCGCGTCAGACTCGCGGGGAGTCTCGGCGCCGGATTTGGCGTCCTCAACCTGGGAGGCCAAGTCGGAAGGAAGCTTGGAAACCAGGTCGGTGGGGAGCTTGGACTGAGCGTCGAATGGAATCTGTGATACGGGGATGTCGGCTGTTTGGATATCTTCCGGAAGCTCGCTCTTCAGACCGTCAGGAATCTGTGAGACGGGAATGTCAAGGGTAGCGATGTCGTCCGGAACGCGGGACTGAGCGTCAGTCTGGGCAGTGCCAGACTTCTCGGTCGCGTCGTCCTTGATGGTCTCGGCACCCTCTGTTGCCTCCTCGATGGGCTCGGCGTCCACCTCTTGCAAGTCGCTCTTGCCGTCGACTGTCGATTGTTCTGTGAGGTCTGTCTTGGCGCCTTGGGAATCTTCAGTCTCTGTTTGGGTGTTCTCTCCGCCGGTTGTGAGCTTACCATCAACGTCCACATCGGGTTGCGACTTTTCGACATCCTGGAGATCGATAGGGGCAACCTCTGATGTCGTCTCGTTGTTCTCGAAGAGGTTCTGCTTAGCGTTCTCAGTCAAGGAGGCCTTATCGTCTGCCTCCTCCTTCTGATCAGCGAGAAGCTGGGTAAGCTTCTCGTCCTTGTCGGTAACGGACTGGTCGCGGTTCAATGGCTCAGTGCCACCGAGAACGCCACCAAGAGGGTCGCCGCTTTGGCTCTGGCCCAAAAAACCTCCAAGAAGGCCGCCGAGGGCGTTGTCTGAGGATGTGCCCTTCTCTGACTGACCACCAAGGGCTCCGGTGACGTTGCCCAGTGTGTTGCCGAGAAGACCTCCTTGGGAACCCTTCTCTGACTGGCCACCACCGAGAACGCCGCCGAGCACACCGCCTTGGCCTTCGCCCAGACCAATACCCTTAGTCAGGTCGCCGACAAGCGGTAATGTGCGGTTGACAGTCTGAACAGTGCCATCGACAGTGTCGACAATGCCCTTGACACCCTTGGTGGCACCCATGATGCTGAAGCCACCGCCCTCCTTGGTCTCGCCGCCTTCCGTCAACTCGCCAAGGGGAAGAGCCTTGCCGATGACGCCGCCGTCCTTGCCGATGATATCGCCTGTCGCGGTGACGACGTTGCCGACAAGCTCTCCGGCCTCGCCTTTTGTGACCTTGCCGACAGTCTTGCCGGTCTCGTCTACCACTTCACCGGTCTTGCCAATGACGCCAGCAACGAGGTTGTCGCCATGGTCTTGGATATCTTGCTCGACCGAGTATGCTATAAAGGGTCAATGATCGACACATCATGAGTCGCATGTAAGTAAACTTGAACTTACTTGACTTCTGCTCCTCACCCTTTCCCCAACCACCGGGCATGCTGCTGCCTGACTTGGATGCAGCTCCGACCATATTGTCTGTCTTCTTGTTGTACTTTTCTTGTTCTTGTTCGTGTCGTGATAAAAATTCGTTGTACTCAGCGCTAACAGGGTATCTTAGAAAATGTAACTGTTCATGAGATGATTGCATTGAATTGGGAGTAGAAAAGTCAAAACGCGATACAAAGACTTGCCGGTCAGACGTCTTATACCACAAATCCTCCGGCGCAAATCAAGTTTCCAGCTGAACGTCGGCTCCTAACCTTACGTCAAAGGGGAGCTCAAGCTCGAGGAGCTTCCCTCGTCCATCGAAGCTCTGGCCTCTGCTCGCGCCACAGGGTGACTTCATGGGGGGAGGGATGGCCAGGTTGCCAGTCGCCCATCATGACGCAAAGCCACACCTCGTCCGAGCCCTTGGACGGCTGGATCCCAGCTATCATGACGCAACTCGACTTGGGAAGGGGAGATGCACCTTGGGGTATGGTGTGACAGCCAGCCAGTCTGGGGAATTGCCATTGGCTTCCTGATCGATCGACGGCCACCTTTCTTGGAGACGCTCAGTTGGTGTGGCTAGTGCTTCCCGGGGGTCTCCCTGCCCTGCATCATTCATTCGTCAGTTCCTCCACAGTCAACCCCCCCGGTCAGCTCCAACAACTTTCTTTGCGAAAATGCGGATTGCGAAGTTCATGAAGGCTGGACTCGCATGCACGACGGACGTCATGACGCTGTTCGAAACACGAAAAATCAACTTCCATTCGCCACGTTTTGCAAGTTCCCAAATCACCATCCGCGTCTATGCGCCCGCAAGCATCCGAAGGTCTCGCCCCTGCTCTCCATTTCAGCCTCAGTCAACGGGTCAGTAACGGGTCTCGGAGCCACGAGTTTGTGCAAACGGTTCGTTGCCAAGTTCTGTCTGGATGGAACTACAATTCAAATCCTAGCCTATGTCCATCTCACTACCGTCTGAACGCCGCCGCATGCTAGCATCTACCGTTGGTTCCAGACCTCCTGAAGATCAACTTTCCATCCAAAATACGCAAATCCCATTACATGGCTCATCTGGTTCCTATATGGATATTGGGATTCCCACCACCGTGAAATACTGTTGGGATCTTGATGATGAGCTGAATACCATCATTGGTTGACTTGACGTCCATGAATATCTCGGACGGGCTGGGAGTTGAAGCTGATGGCTTAGACTGCCTATGGGCAGTACACTGAGGACAGCTTGTGTGTGTGTCGGGCATGTAACCAGGTCGAGGACTGCCGGACTGGCCTCCCGAGCTACTCGTCTGGCCAGTCTGTTGAACAGACTTGGCCAGAGGCGCGCCATCAAAGTGACCAACGACATTGTTATTCTTGTCGAGGATGTTGCCCATGTGGTCTACCTTTAGTCCGTCGCCCATGCCTTCAATGGGCTTTGGCGACGGAGGTGTTGGTGGAATGGTATCGTTCTCCGCTACGTATCCGACCACCTCACCGTCTTCGCTGAAGATCTCGCCCGTTACTGAAACTGGCCGTCCGATCATAGACGGCAGATCACCTTCGACACGTCCAAGCACCTGACCGTTCCAGTCCAGAATGTTTCCAAACTCGTCGACATACTTGCCATCCAGACCTTGTGCTAGCTCGGCAAGGTTTGGGGGCAACCTAAGGTCTGAAGACAGAGGCGTGACCTTGGGGATCGCGATCGGAGCATTCTTCTCTTGTGGCTTCGGGGTGCCTTGCGACGATGATTTGGCATCTTGCGGGCCATCGTCTGTGCCATTGTCTGTGGTCTCGGTTGTCGGCGGCGTTGATACCTCGGGACCCGTTTGATATTGTGTCGACGATGGTCTCATTGGGATAGGTATTTCCCGCGAGCCCTGCAGGTGGACAGGCCCGCCCTGCTCCGGTTGTGGGGTGCTCGTGTAGCTAACCTGTCGATGAGGATACTGCGGAGGAGCGGTTTCATAGAAATGCGCCGGCGAAGAAGCTGTCCGCGACTGAGAGTTCAGACGAGGCAGAGACGGGCGTGAGAAAGTGCCTTTGGGGGCCTCTTCCACTCCAGCCTGTCCGTCCTCGACCTCGACAACCTCATACTCATCATGCCGGGAAGTATGATCATGATCGCCGGCTCCAGCCGCAGGTCGTGGCTCGGTATGGTGCATAGTGTGCGACGAGAATTCCGGGCGCGCAGGTACGGGACTCTGCATAGATTGCTGTGCAGGCGGCTTCGAGGCAGGGCTGTCGGGTTCGTCGCGGAGAGTTTGGAGTGGAGTCTGCTGAGCGGGAGGGGACGCCGTCATCATTGGATGATTCTGTGGGAGAAGAACGTTCCGCGTCAGCTAGGCCTTGCCGTCAAAGAGAGGGGAAAGGGAAGGGAATGGGAAGCGAGGCCAGGACCGCCAGCTGTGCGAAGGAATGGAGAGCCGGCAACCCACCTGAGGATCGATCGGCCTGCTTGCTTGCTTCAGAGAGTCTGGGCGGCGGTTGAGAGAGAGTGAGGAGTGAGGAGAGACGGTGTTCGGTGTTGCTGTCGAGTGCGCGTGAGGGCGTTTCTCTCGGTGCACCCCTTGGTCGATACACGCGGGCAGAGGTTTTCTGATTGCTCCCGGGGCGCGGGCAGCGGTTCTGCAAGGCCTGCAAGGCGGAAGGGGGTTGGCTGAGTCGTTGTGACGTCAGGTCGACGACGAGATCGAGAGTGGGTTGTGTCTTGTGTCTGCCGAGACTGACAACTGGGGCAGCCTTGGGGTTCCAGAACTGGCGAACGGGGCGACAGTTCACGTTGACTCCTTGTCAGGCTTGTTGTGCAAGGATGTTTGGGTTCAAGGACTTGTTGAACCGAGATCTGTCGACTCCACAGTGTCTCCAGATACACGCAAATGTCTCCACCAGGTACTTCGGAAACGGCATGCGAAGAAGCACGAGAGGGAGGGATCGCTGGCGGGTGGTGAAGATGGCAGAATGAGAACGAGGCAAGACTCCGAAGATGGTGTCGGAAGAGCACTGAGATTGGAAGCAAAAGGTCCGACAAGTCTGGAAAAGCCTGTTTTCCGTCGAAACACGAACGACTGTGCGAACGGCCGTGATGCTGCATGGTTAGGCTGGCGCCTGAGCTACTGTACAGACGGAACGCACGGCTAGCCGTCAACTGTTGCTGAAGAGCACGGTGAGCGAGCCTGAGCCTAGACACGTGCGTCGACGCTATTCGAAATTCCAGCTGGGTTGATGGCAGTCCGGGGGTCCTCACTTGACCCAGAGGTAGCTTCGAGCTTACCGACCACACACCGACCACAGACTCTGGAGAAGGTCCTAGACACTGACCCAGCCGAGACGATCAGAGTTCAGATTGTGGCTCTGATTGATGAAGGGGGAGCACTGGGTGCCATAGTGGGAGGAATCAGCTTCATCAGAAGTTCGGGTTGGTCCTCATGCCCGAACAGCTTCAGCAGACCTTCAGAGACGTCTCGAGTTTGTCCATGGACGAAGGCCGCGTGCCGTCAACGCCACAACCGACAAAGGCTGGCGAAGGATGATCTCGATGCCTGAAGGGGCAATGAGATGCAAAGAGGCGAAGAAGAAGAAAGTCGACGAGAGCCCAGACTGTTGGAAATGAGACGGAGGCAGTACGATCGGCGCGATACGTTTGTCGGCAGGTGGCTTGACGATTGAGACTGGTGAAGATCGCTTGACTGACATTTTCACAGCGACCAGGACGACGTTGAACGTGAGTGGCTGATGCTCCCACCCGATGCGCCGGGATGCGACGCAAGAATTTCCCGTTCAGCCACGGCTACCCTGCACGTCTAGCGTTTTAGACCGTATTCCGTACGATTGCGAACACCTCCGCCACACAGAGTCGAGACGGTACTGTGGATACCGTTTACCGGGCCTTCTTTTTCGGATATGAGGTGGCATCGAGAATTGAGGAGCGGCGGGGAGACTTTGAGAGGGGAGCAAGGGGGGGCCGTTCCACCGTTACATTTGGCGGCGGGCAACCAAAAAAGACGACTCACTCACACACCAACTCAATCCTGGGCCGAGTTACATCGCATCATGTGGCGGCTTCACTGCGTCAACATTGGACGGATAGGGAAGGCCGAAGCCGCTCTGTGGCTTGACCATTGGCATTGACCGGTTAAACTCTAAGGTTTTTATCTTCCTTTTCCTTCTTTCTCTCCATGTCTCGGTGAGCACTTTTGACGACGCGAAATGAAGTCAGGATCCCAGCATGATCCTGTCAGGACATTCAAATCTTGAATGCGTTGTCTCTGGGCAGAAGAAACTAACGCTAGTTAAGCCCAGGAGAAACGACGCATGGAAAGCAAGGCACAGCGAGCATTGTGTGCAGTAGTCTCTGGCGCCGTCGATTTCCAACTGCGTATCCAGCCACATCTTCCAGGTCCTCCAGCCGACGCTGCCACATCTTCGTAATGCGCTCCCGATGACACTAGCCTCTGGAAGGAATGGGCAACCGCACTGTTGATTATGCTGGTTGGGTGGGTGGAGAGCCCCCCACCGTCGCATTGGAGATTTGCCCCGTCACTGAGATCAACGGCGCCAGACGTGAAGCGTGAAACAGACAGAGGCTAATGGAAATTGGCGCTACGAACGGTTGCTGGCCACCGTCTCCGCCCCTAGGCGTGCTTGACGGCGGTTGTCACAACACATGGTTCTGCCTGTTTTTCGACGCTACTCCACACGAGCTTGGCACTTAGCGGGTGGCTGAGGGCATTGATAGTGTGCTGAAACCAACGACACGCGCTAAGTCTGCCAAACGAGTTGATTCGCAGTCATGTCGAGACTTGGGATCATTGGCATTCTCAGGCCCTGCCGAAGGTGTCACTGAATATCAATGAGTGAGAACTTAGTGAGAGATGAGTGAACAAGTGAGTGTGTGAGATACCGCGTGTGTGGGAGCATGTCACCGGTGGCTGCAGCATCTGGACATGTGATTGGTCTTGGTCAAGTATCATTCGTTAAAAGAACTGTTTAGAATACTTTGGCTACCGTCGAATAGGATACCCATAAAACTTCCCGAAATAGCGTCCGTATCTCATGATGTCGATGATGCACAAATCTTTCATAATACACGCGGCAGATGGATCCCGATATTCCATCCGTCCACCAACTCCTCGAACCCTTACTAAGCCCGACCGTTTCTTTTTACGGTTGGGCGGTAAAAACGGGCGACAAAAAAGAAACCCACGCATTCCATCAGACTGGGTCGAAAAGCAGTTCGCCCACTGTTCAAACCCGCGACTCCATGTTGTAAAGAATTTCGACGATAAGATTGTCGTTTTAAGATTGGTCCCTGTGGAAAACGTCTCTCAGTTCCTGATTAAAAGACGAGGTAAAGCCCATTAGCCCATCTTGAACTTGGCTACAAGCTACTAACTAGCCCGTGCTTGCCTGCGAGTAAGAAGCGAGGACGCAACGGAGCTCTACCTAGCGCAGACAAGAGGGAGGGCCACCGTAACTGTGGAGGGGGGAGGGGGAAGACAGAGAAAAGGATGGTACTTACAAGAGAGCCAACTCGAGGTCACCGTGGATGCGTGCCTTCAGCGTGATTTCAATGTCAAGGTTGAGATCAAGACGCAACCGAAGAGTGTCGCTCTTGTCACCACCGCCGCCGCCTTGCTGTTGCAGCGCACCACCAGCAACGTTGCCTAGTGTGTTCTGCACGCCGTTGGTCACGCCGCCGACATCGCCAATGCCACCGAGGTTATCGAGAGGGCCGCTTGACTGCTGCTGCTGCTGGCGTCTTTGCATCTGCCTGCGTTGCGGGCGCTGACGGCGCTGGGGCTTCTGCTGCTCGCTGGGTGCTTCCGAAGTCTCGTCCTCAGAGGCGTACTTGGTGTTGTTCTTCTCGCGGGGGGAGGCCATTGTGACTGATGTGAAACGGTGAAGTTGATGGTTCAAAGATGGGCTAATGGGCTTTTCCTATTATGAAGGAAGGGAGAACTGGATATTAAGGGCTTTTGTCTACCGGTAAGTTTGGAGTGTCTCTTCAAAGTCTGTTTCTGTTCATCGACTCTGGATGAGGACGCAACATATAAGTGATTCCGGACAGTATCCGGAAGGGGTCAAAACAGGATGTAAAAGCTTACACCCCTTCCAGCTGATGAGATCATGTTGGACCCTGGGGCATCCAGGATTCCCATCTTTCACTGCTCTCACCCCTTCTGGATTTGCGTCACACCACTCGACTCTCTCGATGTTCTGGACCGAAATGACGTTGAAGAGGGCCAAGCGGCATGCGTGCGGAGGGGGAGGGGGGGGCGGATTCACTGGGGCCGCTGGGGCACTGGTCTTGTCTCATGCTCCATGCGTCCCCGATCTGCCTGTGCCGTCGAGGAGGAAGCGCGGCCAACCCAACCCAACACATCCCGGGCTCCCAAAGAACACCAAATAGGTCGAGATGGTGTTCTGACATCCCTGTTCTTTTCGGATTCAACGCGCAACTATGGCTGGCTTGCACCCAATCATGCACTATCAGGACTCGCACCACGGACTTGCGATCACTGGTGCCGCCAATGCAGGCATGACGCAGCATTACTCTATTCCTGCAACCAAACAAGCTTCTTGTAAGTTGGTTTGAGCTTGCAAGCTTGCTGAATGCTATGCACTGACGATGTACGGGCTCACGGGTTACAGATGCCAACTATTCCTATCCTTGCAAGCTGCAGAACGCCTCGGGACCTGTTCTAATTGCACGTCCCTCCTAAAGCTCCGAGACTCCTGGAATCCCCCCCGGATTATTCCAAAATTTGACACACCCAAATTATCCTTCGAGATGATCTGGCTCGCCTATCCTTTCACGTAGGCGCTTTCGATGCCTAGCGCCATCTGCCGCTTGAGAGCTATCTCCATACAGTCCTCGGGATCATAGCCCTCCCGCAACCGCCCATCCGGATCCCAATATGCAGCCCACCTGCCGTCCTCCTCCAGTACGGCTACGAAGCCGAGCCCGCTACCTCGTAGTGAGAGGAACTTTTCATCGTCAGTCCAGCCCCAAGGTCCTATAACATGGCCTAGGGTATCTTTGCGGCCCCCATGGCGGAGCGCTCTGCTGTCGGCATCGACATAGATCCAGTTCAACATGGGCGGGTCTTCTGCTATTGTTGATACCAGGGCACGCATTGGTGGTTCGCTGGGGTAGTTGAAGTAGTACCCTGAAAACTTGTGCCCTGGAGCTGGTGCCAGACTATGACTTATCCATATCTGGGGGGAGGATGTGTGTGTTAGTCTACCGGAGATGTGAAGCAAGGTTTCCAAGTTGGCGAGGGAGCTAGTGTAAGTCAAAACACGCGGCGAGGTTGGCCGAGTGGGTGTGCCAACCTCCGCAAAGGGAAACGGGGGAAAGAGAAAAGCAAGGAAAGGAGAGAGAGCGTGCAGATGTCTGCAGGCGCGGGAAGGGGGTAGGAGAGAGGGTGAAGGGCGTTGGATGTGAGCTGTTGGCTGTTGGTTTGTGGGCTTGCTCACCTTGTTGTCGACGACGATACATGGACACTCTTCTCTCTTGCCGTCAATGGTCATGGTCGCCGTGAGGCTGAACTTGGCCTGTTCTTTGGAGGCGGCATTCTGCTTCTTCTGAGCGCTCACGGCCTGGCCGGTGCCAATGACTGTGGGTATGGCGGCGATGGCGAGCAGACCGATAACCATGTTTCGAACTGTTTTCCGAGGCGAAGGACTAGTAAAGACAGGAATGGTAAAGTGGAAATCAAGGGACGAAAATCCGGGTGAGTGACAGTGGGCGGTGGGAGACGTTGGCCTTTTCGAGAGTGAGAGTGGGCACTGGGGACGAGCTCAAGTGAGTGAGAGTCGAGGAGTCGAGGAGTCAAAAGGTTCCTTCAAGCCCTCGCCGCTGCCTATCGACGACTCGAGGTTCGGTGTGAGTGTTGTGTCGTGTCGGGACTCGGAAATGTCAGTTGGGTCCAAGCCGTGGGGTCAGGCCGCGGCCGCGTCGTGTGTATGGATCAACGGATTTGCAATGATCGTTGCGACGTGGTTCGGGGCCGAGCTGCCCTCTGGTTCTGGAGTCCTGAAGATCGATGACTGGTATGTCACTGTCTCAAAGGGGGGGGGCTTCCGAGGGATCTTCTGTGCTTCTTTGATGGATTGTCAGAAGAAACAGGTTTACGGGGTTTGTTCTATGGGGTTCGTGTGGTCATCATATCGAAAAGATCTGACCCTCTTGTCTCTCCTCCTCCTCGCGAGTCCCCGCGGTGAGGAGTGGCTGGCAGGCGTGGCAGGTTTGAGCTGGTTGGTCTAGCGGCCACGGCACGGTAAGGCAGGCATCGAATATCCCCTCTCCTTTCTCTGTCCAGGTATCTCTCACACACTCTTCTTCCTTTGCCAAAAAAGTCTGCAGACCGCGTGCGCCAGTGCCTGAACAAGAAGAGAAGTGGAAGTCATGTCTGGAATCGAGATGCCCGTTTCGGGTACCCCTGTCCGGGGTCAGCCCACACCCAATGCTGGTGCGTGTGTGTCTGTTGGTCCACAATATGCATGTCTAGACCGTTCGCTGTTCTCTTGCATACTCCATTCTTTTTTCTGTTCGATACTTTGATACATTTACAAAGACTTTAGATTTTACATACACTCACACCCCATCGACGTCATTCTCTTGAGAGGATTACAGTACACTCGGGATTAGTCTGCTTTGACTTTCAGATCCCTCCTCCTCTTTCTGGGCTCCTCCTCGCTCCTCCACTCACGCTAGACCTTTCGAACATGATCGACCGGGGTAGCTCCCGAAAGCTCTTCTCTCTCTCTCGCAACGCGGCCAGAAGCTGAGTTTCAACCAACCACGGTGCGAGCACGCCTTTCGGGTCCCAGCCCGTCGACGTCACTCTTGATCCTTTTTTTTCTCTCTCACCTCGTTTTTTTACTCTCGTTGCTGGTTATTCACTGGTGCTGGCAACTTGTCCACCGTTATTGCTACAGCTAGCTCCCTTTCGCCTTATGCCAAAGGAAGTCTTACACGCCCCCCCCCCCTCTCCCCTTCTTCTTTGTCTCTAGGGACCCTGTCGATCGGGAAGGACGGGCTGTATGCAGGTTGGGCCTCTCTTCCATACCTAGAGCTTCTCAGAGGGACGACCAGAACCCATTGGAGTTCGGACAGCCTAGCGCTATTAAGCACCAGAGAAGGACAAAAAATCTTGATTCTCATCCAAAACCTGTGTCGAATGTGATATCACAGCGGCGGGTCCAAGTCTACATACACGTGTTTGTCCCCCCCCCCCCCCGGGCCCCTTGTATCATTTCCCCAGTATTATCACCAAACAGTGACATTCTCCCTCTGGGTCTCGAAAGAGGTTCCAGACCTGTTCGATTGTAACCCGTCGCCTCTCTCATCCTGCCCATGCCACTTTTTTTCTTGACCAACTTTTTGCTGGGTCCCCTTTTCCCCAATTCAAACGTGCCTGTTCACCGGGGCCCTGGCCACACCTTCCCCCACCCCCAATCCATCCCCGTGAACTGGCGTAGGTGTGTGTAAGTCATGTTATGTTCCCACATTCACACCCTATTGCGTCACAGGAGAAGCAGATCCGGATTGCGGTTCAGGTTCAGCCTCGCTGGCCCTGTGCAGAAATTCCTGTTTGATGCCATTGAGGGGGGAGGGGTGTGAGGTAATGACTTCTCATGGCATCCGATTTAACTTATACCAGACCTGTGTACCTAGTTTTCCCACCTCTTCTAGATGATCTCTTTTTTCTTTTCCAATTTTGAAGGAACTCCATCTTTTACTGAATAAACTCACTGTGATCTCTTTTACTTTTTTTTTTTTTTTTCTGAGGGGGACACACTTACACCACTCACGAATACTTAGCACACCGCGCGCTATACTCACATCATCTGAATAGCCTCACACTCGAGAATCTCAAGGAAAAGCCAATTGAGACGTCGAGATTCAGCTATACACCCATAAACCCACGCCGTCAGATTAATGGACTCGGATACAATGGCCAGAAACAAGAACAAGGTAAGCTTCTCATTCACTCAATTCACACATTGTGAGTCAGTATGTTGACCATGAGGTGCGTAGAAGGGCCAAGGCCAAGGCGCCGCCGGCAACCAGAACCAGCCAGGCAACAGCAGCAAGCCCGAGGAGACCAAGCCTGAGGAGCAGGAGCCAGAGCAGCAGCCAGAGCAGCAGCAGCAGTCTTCGCTCGACCAAAAGACGGAAGAGCAGAAGCCCGAAGGAACCACACCAGTCGGAGAATTCGGCAACCCCGCAGAGGGCGAGGGTAACCCCACCAACACCACCGACGAGAAGAAGGCCGAAGACAGCAAGCCCGAAGACACTGCCGCCAAGGCGGACGACAAGACGCAATCGCAACAGCAAAAAGATGAGAAGAAGCCGCCCGGCGAGGACGTGAAGCCCGAAGACCCCGCTTCCGCTGCTGCCGCCGACTCGCAATCAAAAGACAAGAAGCCCGAGCAGAAGAAGCCCGGCCAAGAGACCACGGACAAGAAGCAAGCTCCTTCATCAAACCAAGCCGGCGTTGAAGACGAAGCGGAGCCAGAGTCCGTCGTCGACAACGACAAGAAGCCTGCCGCAGGAAAGGAGCAACAAGAGCCCGCAAAGGTACGCTCCCGCGACTCAGGCCGCACAGAGAGAGAAGCTGACCTCGAGGAGCCCACTGAACTCGCCGACGGCGAGGGCGAGTACTACGACGACGACGAGGAATTCGAAGAAGGCGAGGACGGCGAGGTCTACGACGATGATGAGTATTACTCTGGCGACTCGCAAGACGACGAAGAGTACGACGACGACGAGGACTACGATTCTCAAGAAGAGGAGGACGACGGCAACTACACCACCGCGCAAAAGGGCGGCAACCAGAACCAGCAGATGATGCAGCAGCAGCAGCAGCAGCAACAGCAGCAGATGATGATGCAGCAACAGCAGCAGCAGCAGCAGATGCAGGGCGGCGGTGGTGGCGCGGGCAAGAACCCGCTCAAGCTGAGGCTTGACTTGAACTTGGATATTGAGATTACGCTCAAGGCCAAGATCCACGGTGATTTGACGCTGGCATTGCTGTGAGTATTCCCTCTTTTCTTTCGCTCCCTGTTCACGATTGATTAATTATCCTATCCCGGATCTTTTCCCATCTTTTTCTTGTTGGTCAATGCTTCTGCTCCCCAATCCTGCAGTGGGCGCCGCGATTCAGATTTTCTGCATTTGCTGCCCACCTGCGCTTCTACCTGCTGTTGAACTCTGTCATGTAATGCGATCACCGTATTCCGGGCGGGGACCGATTATCGGGCTTCTCGCTGGGGGTGGCAGTGTTCGCAACAGCGAGTCAGACCAGAAACAACTCAAGTCCCAGCTCGTTTTTTTTCCTTTGTTTTCTCATGAGCTGGCAAACTGTGGGAGAGGATAGGAACGGCCAACACTCCAGTGACCGTTTTCCTATCCCACACACACAAACATACACCTTCACAATTCTTCTGGGCGGAGACCGGTGGTTGGCATCTCGGCCGGCGAGGCAGTAGCACGAAAGTTCGCGCGCAGTCCGTCGACCGTTTTTCGATGCGCCATCTCCCTCGCGCCATCAGACCCGAGCGAAAGCGGTTTAGGAGAGACTGACCGCGACGGTTTCTCCCTAGATCAATGTAATAAACGTCGACAAACCAACCAGACCCAAAATCAACAAAGGGCCGCTCAACGCTCTGGGCATTCTCTTTACGTCATCTTTGCGCTCGGAAAAGATTCGAAATTCCTTGTCCACAAGGCTAACTGCATAGCGACATGATGTAGCGATGGGTAAACATGTCCACCACGACAAGCACTCCCCCCCCTGCTTCCTCCGACAGCAGAAGAGGGAGTGTCCAGCAACAAAACAAAAGAGAATCCTGCATCGAAATCAATCATTACGATCGAAATGTTTCAACATACCACCAAATTTAACGGCATAAAGGCGACAAAACTTTTTTGCAAAGAGAGGGAAAGAGGCGTAAGCGGGGAATTTGGGATTTGTTTTGTTAACGAGTTTTCTTTGTTCATTCTTCACCCGGAACGAGAGACCGCTTCATGAGTGTTTTGCTTGCTAGTCTCCGTTCCAAAGACGCTGTTGCTTTCGGATGGGGAAGTGCTTTGTCGGTGTGCCACTGCGTCCCGCAGCGAATCGAGCTTGTCAGACTTAGCGACGGATACGATCTATCTGCTCCCCAGTGTAATTTTAGGCGCCGAAATGAGATTTTCATGAACCCACTCTGACAGGTGTTCGTCGCTTTCGTTCCACATGGAAGGCTTCGACCAAATGTCTACGAGGCAGACTGTTGGAATTCAGCATCGCAAGAATATAAGTGTTTGGCCAAATGGCTTCGTGTCGCGATATCCTCTTTGACCTCACAATTGCATTTCACACAGTCAAGTGAGCGTTTTCTTCCAATATCGTGAACGGTGAGGGCTGTTTTGACTAGCAGGGGCCAAGGATCAATCCGGCGACCTGCAGTCTGGCGAGTCTCGTATCATGCCCGTGGACGAATATGCGATGATTAGCACCCGTCGGCCGTGGTGAGCGCCCATTCATCGGTGAGTATCTTCAAGGTGTGGCTGGTGAGGCCCCGGTCAATATACGGTGCTCGTACCCGATGCGTGCGCTCCTGCATCATCGACATCACGAGGATGGCAAATTGCATGCCCATTCACAGTACCCGATCCGCGAAGTCGGCCGAGTGCAGCATCACAATGCAGTAAGAGTGAAGTGCCAATGCGGTCGAGGTCCAATGATGAAACACTTCAGCCTCATCAGGTGTCCACCGGGCGGAAGCATGTGCAGGGGATAAAACCTGTTTTTTGCGAGTTCCTCACGATGTTGACAGCGGGCGATCGCAGGCCACCCCCCTCTCCAGGGGAACGGGAAGAGGCACCGCGGCGGGCCAGAAGAACGGTACTCTGTACCCAACGGATGACCCGCAATGATCTAGACCGATGACAGAGATTCTGCTCCATATTTTTGAGTCGTGTCCCGTACCGCTTTTCGCCGCCGCCGCGTCGTACCCGCGGGATCGATCATATTTGGGCACGTTATGGCGGGAAGCCAAGCTTGGCGGGATAAAGCGCGGGAAGAGTGGTCGTCGGGTGGGTGCAGCTCCAAAAGGTAACAGAGTCTGTTCAGACGACGTCTGGCTGGTAAGATAACCGTGCCAGAACAATGGGATTGTGTGACCGGTCGACTTTGATTAGCGTTATGTGTCCGCCGTTGCACAAACGCTGTCGACTATCGTTAACCGACCACCCCTTTCCGAGTGAAGCGAAAGAGGCTGCCCAGAGGTGAGATCATCGCTGGAGCTATGACCAAACTGCCCGCTCGAAACGGACAATGAGTGACGGGAGAGAGATTGCGCTGGGGAGGGGGGAAGCTCTGTTGACAGGGGACGCGTGGCAGACCCGAGACGTCTTATCCGGAGGAAAAGCGCCGAAGGTGAATGGTATCTTTTCTGCATGGTCGTCCAACCGTCTGTGCCGTCGTCAGGGGGGGAGGACGGAGTCGCAAGGGGCGCTTGGCCCATGCAACGTCAGGGGCGGGGCAGCTGCGGGGAACAGTGTGGCGCCGACGCTAGGGAAGCAGCCACATTTGGCGAAACGGCGGGTGATCTGCGAGAAAACGGTGGAATGTGCTCCGTTATCGACTTTGTCTCCGTGTTTCGTCCACAATAAGTGTAAGGGTGATGCCGTTATTGGATGACAGAAGACTTCTCCACCCGAAAGTTCTGACCGGCAGGCAAACGACTGAGTGTGGCGCTGGAACGTTTGTCCTCTGGTGGCGGTGGTTATGGGTGGTTCTGGTTGTCTAGTAGAGCTTGTAATGCGGAAGTATGCCGGCTGCGACTCGTCAAAAGTTCGAGAAAAGTCGGATATCTCGCTATGTTCTATTCTCGGTCTTTGCCGCCGTCTTCAAAGAAAGTGTCGCTGACTATCCTGAGCTCAGATGATGTTGGCGGCGAGGTCGTATTCGCATCGGCGTCAAACATGTGCATTCTGGAAAGGCATGTCGTCGTCGGTAGGGCTATTCGCGGTAGATGGGAATTTCAACTGTAACACCCGGGCCGCATAGAGTTTGCACCACGCACGGAAATACAACGTCGGATCGCAGTGGTGGTCAGATCGGGGGCGGTTGTGAGAGTTGAGTTGAGTGTGCGACAGGGAGGAAGAGGGGAGAGACGGGGGACGTGCGTCGAAGGGACGGGGAAACGGCAGCCGATGGGACCCACCGAATATGGGAACATGTCGGCGATGGATAAACTTCAGTCCCGCTGGAGATAAGGATGCGATTAGATGAATATCGATAAGATAATAATGTGGCTGGTGATGATGCCGTGTGGCTGGTGTCGATGTGGCAGGAGCGGGGTTGTGGCTGGACCTCATCTTATCGCGGGGCGGTGTGTGGGGCAACGACGCATGAATGGGAGCATGAAGCATGACGGAGCTCCAACCCCAAGCAACCCAGACAAACAAACAGCCCGCTGCGAGATTGGACGACTCAGGACCTCCAAACAAAGCAACAAACAACTACGCGTTTGAGCTATATCGCGGCTATTATCAGACAACGTCGAACCTGGACAAAAGCTTCATCTTCGCATTAGCGTCCGCATTCCAGCAGAACCCATCACCAGCATCACCAGCATCGTCACAATGCCCGACCTCAACTCTGTCCCGGCCTCACCACACCCTCTCAGTGCCTCACGGCGCTCTTCATCTCACCAGATGCCGCCCCCTCCACTTCCAGCGCAATCTTCCGACTCCTCCTCCCTCAACATCCTCCCGTCGAACCAGAACACGGTCAACCATCCGCCTTCCAACCCTCCCGTAGGATCTCCGCCGATGGCCCCGGCAGTAGCAGCGTCACCTCCAGCCTTCCCCGAACCATCCGTCTCCGGCCCAGGCCCGATTCGTCACCCGCGACCCATCACCGCGTCCGATCTTCACATGCAGTTGGAGAAAGAGCAAGAAGCAGTGGTACGTCTGGCAGGCTTACACGCTGAACAAGATCAAGTCTAATTCACAGTATAGGTGAACCGCCTCACACGAGAGCTCCAACTTCTCCGAACAGCGCAGAACGCCTCCGTGGCATCCAACGCCTCCTCCACATCAGCCTCCAACACGACCGAAGCACCCGACACCCACCTCCTCTCCGGCGCCGCCTTCTCCACCCCGGCCGTCCCCTCCAACAGCTCCCGCCGGCACCACCGCACCGCCTCGAACGCCAGCGCCCGAAGCCAGACCGCCGTCGCGGGCTCAGCCGCCGCATCCACCACGTCCATCCCCATCGCCCGGCCCCCGAATCCCGGCCGCCAAGACAGCGTGGCCTCCCGCCACAGCCTGTCCTCATCGCCGGCCCCGTCACAGCACTACCTGGACCCGAGTAGCACCAGCGGTCTGACATACTTCCAGCAGCAGCGTCTACCGCATCAGCATACCGGTGGCACCTCGGTCGCCGCCACACCTGGCGGCAGCGAGGCGCAGCTCTCACCTGGTCTGATGCCCACGACGTCGCGGTACGAGGAGACGGCGCTACACCGACAGGAGCTAGAGAATGCCAAGAAGGAGAACGAGTTGCTGAAGCAGAGGATCCGAGACCTGGAGAAGATGGTCAGGGAGAAAAGCGCCACTGCTGGGCGGGATCGGAGCGAGAGCACGAGCAGCGCTACCGCTGCCACCCCAGCGGCGGATGCAACCAGTGTCGGCGTCACTACCGGAGGGGCTGGTATAGCCGGTTCCAGCAGACGTCCTGGTGGCGAGAGGGAGCGATCTTTGACGGCGATGAGCATCGCTAGCAGTGTCGCTGTTGGCGTGCCTGATGAGGAGGTACAGGTTGGAGAGAGTGCTGCGAGCGCTGGGGCGAATCCCTGAGGTCTGCCGGCGGAGGAGGTGAATGTTTTCTTTCTTTGAGACATTGCGAGCGATGAGATTATTGTGAATAAATCATGGGTTATGACATAGAGAATGGCGTTTAGGACTTGCAGATATGGGAACATGCCCTCACAAAGGGGCGGATTCGACTCACGACTTTTCATAGTAATAGAAACATTGAATGATCACAGAACATAAACTTGCATCATTCTTTGAGAATTTATTCATGAGTGTGTAACTCCCTTGTTGATTATGAGATCCAATTCAAGATTTGATGAATACAGACAGTCCAATGTGGAGGCAAAAATGATTTTCTTGCTGCTTTGTGAAGCACTTGTTTTCTAACGTAGTGACACTGATTTTGATCTCGTTTACGACTATTCATATGTTAGGTGTCTTTTCTTGCCCTCAAAAGATAATCGTATTACTTTATTCCAAATTAATCAACCAGGATCTAATGCCATTCGCATGTATGTACAAGATTGTCATGAAGTCTTGAAGTCCCGCATCATTTATCGTGCTGACTCTCAGCTTTTCCCTGTCCATCACTAATCTCGCGCTCTAACGCGACTTCAACGTCTTGCTGGGAAGACTATATTGAAGAGACCAGTTCTCCTCCCTTGGCTTTACCGCAGAAGGTAGTCGGGCTTGGATGATTCGCGAAGAGAGGGTCGAGGTCTCTGTGAGAGCAATAATGACAATGCCATCTTGCCAAGTCGCTCAATGATACCCACTCCTCTGAGTGAGGCTGACAGTACCTGATATGTTCTACTCGGAGGATCCTCTCTTGAAGTTATTTGAGCGAGGCGATTATGATTCTTTTGGGGGCCAATCAGTAAGTTTAAGCAAAACCTGATGTCGGCACATCAGTCGAGCTCTCATGATATCACGCATGTACAAGTCACAGCAATCAACGCACAATACCATTTTGATGAGAAATATCTCATTCAATTCGTTATCTCGATCGTTGCCTTAGGGGCAGTATCTCCAGTTTGGTATCATTCCTGAGTTCTCCAAAGTACCCAGCGCGATGTAATCTCCAGTATTCAGATAAGGCATAAAACAGAAAAAAGAAAGGCCATCTTCCCCTCCTCCAGAAAACATTCCCAATCTACCAAAGATCACACTGACACTCGCTACCACACCAGAAGGCGAGGCAAGTATACTTGCACTTGGGCAAGGTTCCGCGCTTGCAGCAGTGGTTGCAATCCGCATCCTTCCCACACGTCAAGCCCTTCCAGCGCTCAGTGCAAGGCTTACACTCGCACATGCCCTTGTCGCCGCACCACAGGTTCCCCTTGCCGGCGCACTCGAGCGCACTGGAGTCACAGTCACGGCTCGAACCGCACTTGAAGTTGCCGCAGCGACAGGTGCCGCGCTCGCAGACGGAGACCTCGTACTCTGTGCATCCGATCGTGGCACACTCCTTGTGCGCGGTGCACTTGTCGCCCTCGGCGAGACGGCGGGGCGGCTTCTCGGCGGCGCAGGCGCAGATGTTGGCCGTCTTGTCGGGGGGCCCGTCGGGGATGGTGCAGGACTTGTAGGGTTCATCTTCGGTGCAGCGGATGGTGGAGCAGTCGTCGTGCGAGGAGCAGCCGACGCCTTCGGATTGGTAGTAGTCGCACTGGCAGCCGCCTGAGAGGCCGACGCCGCCGGTATCGTCGGACGAGGGCTTGATGCACTTGCCACGACGGTTCTGTTTGCCGTCGCAGGGGAGGCCGTCGCAGTGGGAGTCGACTGTGCAGAAGGCGCCTGGCTTGAGGGCGAGGGCTTCGCATTGGCAGATGGAGTCTGCTCCGGGGAAGTCGACGAGGGGGCGACAGGTGGAGAAGTGGTTTGCGTCGCACTTCAGGTGAGCGCAGTCTGCTGCCGCGGCGCAGGGCTCGAAGAGCTTGGGGCGGTCGACGCAGTGGCAGGTTGACTTGGGGTTGTTATCCTTGGTGATGCAGGCGTAGGTCTGGTTGCCGGAGCAGGAGAGGGATGAGCAGTCCTGGGTCGTGTTACAGGCGGTGATGGGAGTCTGGGAAGGGTCCCAGGCCGAGAGGGTGACGGTGTACAACGGGGAGACGGTGGAAGACGAATGGTTCTCGGTGGAAGAGGGCATCCAGGAGTCCGTTGTCTTGATTGTCCAGGAGGTGCTTGAAGCAGAACCGTTCGAAGAGATGCTCGTCGGGGAGCCTGTGGACAACGTGATGAGGTTTGTCGGAGACGTGTAGTTCACAGGCACCGCGGTGTTCGTGTACATGCCAGCCACCGGAGTAGCAGGAGTCTTGGTGTAGCTGAGACTCTCGGAGAGAGCACATCGACAGAAACCATACAAACAGGCACCGAACCGGGGTTGAGGGCATACAAGAGAGCCACACTCGGCGTCGGCACTGCAAGCCTGGGTGGGACGCGGGAGCACGGAAGCACGGGACGCGGCAACGGACGAAGCGGAAGCGGCAGCGGACGACGAGCTTTGAGCCAACATACAAGCCTCGACCTCACCACCCTCATCTCCCTGTCGACGGTGCTTCGAAGGAGGCTGCGGGGGCGGCTTGGATCCGTCTGCAATGATGACCTTGTTGCCGGAACCGCACCACGTCTTCTCAAAGATGACTTGGTTCTCGAACCGGATGCGCAGCTTCCTCTCTGAGTGGGTCATACCCTCCTCAGTGTGCTCAGGGTGATACTGCCAGTTGACGAGGCCGTACTCGGGCGGCATGTTGGGGTTGCTCTGCGCCATATCCCTGCGGGGGGCGTACGTGATGATCTTGATGAGGTTCTTGTCGTTGATGCCCAGCTTCTGCTTCAAGATGTTTTGAATCTGTTCCACCTGCCAGCTGTATTGCGTTCGCATCGCCGAGTCTTGGTACTGCAGCGGCTCGCCCCTCATGTCCTTGTGAGCTCGGGTAATGATACCGGCCCAAAGCCACGTCTTGGTCCTGGCGTCAAAGGGCTCGCCAGAGTTCTTCGCCGCAAACTCGACGAAGCCCGGGTTGCGCGTGGGGACTTTGCCGTCCTTGAGTTGTCTGTAGGAGCCGCGATTGTTGCCCCACAACATGAAGTCCACGACGCCTTCTCGGAAGTACTCAATCTGCGACTTTGGGTAGAACTTGGTCCACTCGGTCGTACTGGAGCTGCCAAACTCCTGGCCCAGGCTGAAGGTGGGAATCTCCCACATGTGGCTCGTCCAGACGCCGGCCGGGGACGCGACGACGACGACGGTGCAGCCCCAAACGGGTCCCGAGCCGCCAAAGCGCGGCCGGTTCGTGTAAGTGCCGTCAACCTCTTTGTTGAATCTGATCATGGCGCTCGTGGACCAGACCTCGGGGACGTTTTTGATACCGCCGTAGCCGGGGCCTCGCTCGTCGACGATGTGGCGCATGCGGGTGTACCACCACCGTTCGCCGCCGAGGGAATCCTTGGGTTCGATCATGATTTTTGATTCGAGATCGAGCTCCGCCTGTATCGGGCCCTTATTGGGGTCGTTAGAAGGAGGTGCTCGAGCTTTGAGAGCCGAGGGGCCTTCCATGGGCGGCGGAGGGAACTTCTTGTAGTCGCACACGCTCAACGTCGGAGAGCCGAGACCGCAGGCGATCATTCGAGGACAGGTTCCTTCATCTTGTCTGAGTTTGAGCTTCTTTGAGGGAGGGCGAGGAGTGCCAGTGTCAGAAGGGCGAGGCGTATCGTCATCATCAGAAGGGGGGGGAGAACCGTTGTTAGAAGGGCGAGTCGTATCCTGGTTGGGATCGTGAGGGGGACTCGGTCTGAGGTCGAACCGGACGGGGGCCTCCGGCTGCGTGACGAGACCGTCCCCGCACCAGGCATCTCGGTGAACAATACTCTTCTCGAAGCGGACCACGAGCTCCCTCTGGCCGCTGGGGCCCTTGGGCGTGTACTGCCAGCTGAGGAGGCCGTCCCAGGGGTTCGAGGCGCGGCGGTCAGGCGGAGGCGTGGCGCGACCGAGGTCATATTGGAAGTCCTTGTCGAGCGCTTCTTTGACTTCGTACCCGTAGATGGTGATGTACTTCTTATCAATCTTGCACTTCTCGGTGAGAATCGCCATGATCTTGGCGTTTTGATGGGCGTAGTACATATTGCCCGTCGTCTCGATGGGAACAAACATGATTGTGCGGAAGAATTGGTAATTGTCGCCGTAGAGGGGGCCGCCGGGGAGGTTCATCGGGCACAGCGCAGGGAATTCCTTTTGCTTGGGCGTGTCGAGCGAGCCATACTGGAGGAAGCGGTTGACGTTCTGCTCAAAGTAGTAGGGCGCCCTGTAGCCCTTGTCGACCTTGAAGTGCTTCTCTTCGTCAGGGGGGATGGCGAAGTTGGGAATCTCCCACAGGTGGTTGGCGTAGACGCCCTCGGGGGAAAAGGAGGCGATGATGGTACAGCCCCAGACGGGACCGGCGCCGCCGCCGTGGGGGGTAGGGCCGAAAGCTTCCCAGGAGGCCGAGGAGTCGTGTCCCGTCTCGCTTCCCATGGCCAGGCCGGGGCCGTAGTACTTTGCGATGCGGCGCATCTTCTCCCACCACTCGTACTCGCCTTCGTGCCATTCTTCAGGTTCAGAAATGGTCTCGGTGAGAATGTCCTCGTCCCACCAGCCCTGTCGAGCTTCCAGCTTGTTGTTCTCCTGGCATGAAAGGCACTTTCCGGCCATGCAGCCGGCGGTGGGATCGGGCTTCTTGGTCGTGTAAGTGGTTGTGGTGGTGGTCTCGATACTGGTGCAGAGCTGCGTGGTTCGGCAGGTGGCTGTCGCGCAGCTGGTGGTGAAGCTGCTCATGCCCTGGCTTCGAATCTGTGAGACGACGCATGGCTGGGTGCAGTGAGGAGCGATGGTGTATGTCTGGGTGCAAGATGAGCTTGAGGTGGACGTGGATGTTTCCTTCTCGGACTGGGAGGGCTCGGGGTCATCGGGCTCTGTGTTGCCGGCTGGGTTATTGGTGCCGAAGCCAATCTCCATGCCATGGCCGAGGATGTTGCGTCCCTTATCGAGGAGGTCGAGACCGAGATCGATTCTGAAGCCGTGGAGAGCGAGCTCATCTTGATTGTCGGTTGTATGTCCGCCGCCATTGTCATCGCCGCCATGACCATCGTCGCCCCCGTGGTCATCATCTCCGCCGTGGTCATCCTCCCCTCCATGATCATCGTCACCTCCATGATCATCATCACCTCCATGATCATCGTCGCCGCCATGGTCGTCATCTCCGCCGTGATCATCTTCTCCTCCATGGTCGTCGTCTCCTCCATGATCATTATCTCCGCCGTGGTCACCGTCATCATCATCATCATCTCCGCCACCGCCTCCTCCACCTCCGGGCTTAATAACTCCATGCGTAGAGGTAGGTTCAGGAGCTAGCACCCCGTCACTGGTCCGAATTGTCCAGCCATTCGTAGCGGATGGGGGCTTCGAAGGCTTCGAAGGCCAGGGGTATCCGAGGGGGTTAGCCGAGGGGGCAGACAGGCAGAGCTCATCAGGGACGAGGCAATTTGGATTGCAGAGATCGGTCGAGATGCATCGCCAGGCAGGGAAGATAGTCGTTGTGATGTCTCCGTCGACGGTAGTCAGCCTCGGGACGTCGATGGACAGCCAGGTAACTCTGGTGGTCTTCAAGAGTCCATCTGTCTGAATCGAGGTTCCGGTCAGAGGCTCGACAGTGATGGTACCGAAAGGGGGGACATAGGCAGGATTGTCAGTCTCTGTGGGCTGGGAACTTGTTGAAGCAGCAGAAGCCTGGCTCGATGTCTTCTCTGAACCGGTCGTAGCCACGGACGAGTTCGTCTGGGGTGGCAGAGTGCTCGATGCGATGGGCGAGGCAGGGGGAACGGTAGTGCTGACTTGGGCAGGAGTTGTGGTTCCCGAACCGATCACAGAGGATGCGGACACCGAATGCTTAGATTGAACAGACGACTCTTGGACACTCGAAGGGACTGAACTGTTGGCAGACTGAAAGCCGCCTGATCTCAGGGTCGACCTGAAAGAGCTGGAAGGGGCTGAAGTATTGGCAGATTGAAAGCCACCAGAGTTGAGGGTCGACATGGTAGATCTCGAAGGGGCTGAGGTATTGGCAGACTGGAAACCGCCAGATCTGAGGCTCGTCATGGTGGAGTTGGCCCAGATGAGAGTGCTTTCAGGTCTGATCGTTGACAGCAGAGAGCTCAAGGTCGAGTTCTTCCAGATGGAGGTCTGAGATGTGAACGTTCCACCAACACCGCTGCCTGGTCCGGTCCAGAAGACGCCAGATGCCGTAGTCGTGTGCTGGACACTTGTCGCATTTTGACTAGCGAACAACGAAGACCAAGAAGACGAGGCAATGCCGGTGCCATTGATCGAGGTCGTGAAGTTTCGGACAGATGAGGCGATGCTGCTGAAGAAACTGCTGAAAGCAGAAGACTCGGACAGCGTGGGAGAAGGAGTGGTCACGACCGGACCATCAGAAGTCGTGGAATCGTAGATAGTGTAGACCTCGGTGTATGTGGTAGGGACCCAGGTGGTCTTCACACAGGTACAAGGGCAGACAGAGGAAGATCCATTGCTGAACTTGAGGGTGTTGGTGCCGGGCGTGAAGTTCCCACAGGCACACTCGAGAGGGGTGGTGACGATCGGGACAGACTCTGTGAAATTTTATTAGCTCATTGTCATTTGCCATGAGCACCTTCGAAAGAAGGAAGAGAAGATGAGATAATTGATGAAACTTACGGGCAAGAGTGAGGGCGAGCAGCTGTAACAGCAGCAAAGCCCAGAGGACTCCGGGAGCCCAATGGTGTCGGGCGGCGGCCATCCTCACTATGGACGATGTTAGATAATTATCGAAAATTTTCCGAGCTCGAGAAATACTTATTGGTAGCGGAATTGATAGCAAGCGGATGATTGCCAGAGGACGGGAGTGAGGTTTTGGAGGGGATTCGTAGATCGCAGGTGTTTGGCTTCTTGCGATGGGTTGGGTTGGTGTTGAGGTAAGGGGTAGAAAAAAAGGCGAGAAGGTGAAAGTAGAAGAAAGAGGCCTGATTGAATTTTTTCCAGCTCGCTTGTTGTGTGAGAAAAATTCGAGGCCTTGGTTAAGACGAATACAAAGGATGAGGTGGATGAATATGCCACTGACAAGTCCTTCAGTCGAGGAAGGAATACTCGGGAGACGAATAACAAGGTGAATTTTGGGCACAGCATTTCACCTTTCTTTCACCGCCTTCATCCAAAATTGGCAGTCAGAGAAGACCGCCAATAACAGGAGGTGCGATAATTGAATGCAGTGAGCATTGAGGACTCCTATCTTACTAGTATGTTGCTCTTCGGATTGTGTTACAAGATTTCCGCATTCTGGTGGGTTGTTGATATCGTACAACATGACCTTGACTTTTTGAATGTATGATTCTAAAGATGGACTACACTCTGGAATATACTGCGTACTAGAGTCGGAGATAATAAATATGATGGTGAAGATATATCATGGCAAATACCTTGACAAGAATGGACATGAAAGCCTCAAGAGCTCACCTGTATCCATGAGGTCAATTCTATTTGATCCTTGACTCGATGAATGGGACCTCTACATGCAGACTGCATTCATGATTGAGTTTGATCTGAAAACTCTGCGTTAAATGGCCGCTCTGGGATTCCTTTGATCTGGTTGTTGCCTCCCTTTGACAGATACCATCTGTCGGGCCAGCCTGTACTACGTAGCTATCCGGATACCTTCTCTTTCTGATGGTCAATATCTCACAGCCAACCTAATGAAGAGATTCCTATAATGTATGATACTCCCGTATAATTTGATTCTCGAACAGCTTCGATGAAACTTCAAGACTCAGTGCTACAAAACTTTGGTGCCTGTAATTATCGCAACACGGTCTCATCCAGCTCAGATCCTACTCTTATCCCTCATATCCTTTACAATATCAAACCCAGCCCATCCATCCAGCTTCTCCCGAATCTCCTTGGCATACTGCGGAATCCCACCCGCAAAATTAACCTGCTCAAATGCCTTACCCGGCATCGAACCACCCATATACGTCGACCGCGTCGTCGGGAACAAGCTCGCATCGCTCAACTCGTTGATCCGCTGCTTCCACGCCTTGGTCGCGTCCGCCGTCGGGTTGACGTACTTGATGTTCTCCCGCTCAATCTTGCGGATGCAGTCGGCGATCCAACGGCCCTGTACCTCGACCGTCGAGGGCCCGTTGCTGAGAAGCGTGGGACCGTGGGGGCCGTACATGTGGAACATATTGGGGTAGCCGCTGACGGTGGTGCCGAGGTAGGTGTTTGCCGCGGCCTTCCACTCGTCTTGGAGGTAGGTGTTGTTGATGCTCTTGAGGCCCATGTTTGTCATGCCTCCGGTGGTGATGTCCTGCGAGGGGTTTCGAGGTCAGCTTTTGGCGAGTCTGTAACGTTGCGTACGTAGGACGAGGATGAGATTCTAGAGGACTTGGGGCTTCTCCTTTGTCGCGTTCGAGGACACAAGTACAGGAATCTCTCTTGCACCCGCGTAATGAAAGACAAGAAGACTTACAAATCCAGTGGCAATGGCAACCACATCAAAGTCGTACGTCGTTCCATCCTTCAATCTGATGCCCGTCTTCGTGAAACTGTCAATCTCGTTTTTGCTAATGTCGACAACATCCACATTGGTCTTGTTGAACTGCTCATAGTAATTCTGCTCCAAGCAAGGCCTCTTGACGCCAAAGAAATGCGGCATCTTCTCCACCTTGGGCGCCAAAATATCCCTCTTCTTCGCATCTCCAATCCGGGTCCGCACATTGCGCGCCCAAAAGTCGTACGCCTCCTTGTTAGCATCCGCACTGAACAACATATCCTTGTAATTGCCCAGCCAGAACCGGAACCCGCCGTGCTCCCACAGCTGTCGATAAAACGCCTCCCGCTCCTCGGGGGAGTCGTCAAAGGTGTTGCGCTCCACCATGCCGTAGAAGAAGCCGCCGAAGCACTTCTCGCGCAGCTGGTAGAGGCGCGGGTACCACTCCTTGTAGATGTTCTGCTCCTGCGCCGTGAGGTTGCGCTTGCCCATCGGCACCGCCAGGTTCGGCGTGCGCTGGAAGACTTTGAGCTCGCCAGACTCGCCGACGGCCTTGCCCCATTCCTGGGAGATTTGGACGCCCGAGGCGCCGGTGCCGATGACGGCGCAGCGCTTTCCGCGGACGGGGACGTCTTCTTCGGGCCAGAAGGAAGAGTGGTGGACTACGCCTTTGAACTTTTCGACGCCGGGCCAGTTGGGGATGTAGCGTTTTGAGGCCTGTGTTTTTTTTTTTTTTTTTGGTGAGCTGTGGCGAACGCGGAAGAGCGAGAGGAGAGGGCTTTGGACTTACGAAGCCGGCTGCGACGACAAAGTACTTGCTCTTTGCCAGGCGGCCATCGGCGGTCTTTACGTGCCATTTGCCTTCGACTGGTTGGAACTGGGCGCCGACGACGACAGTATCGAATGAGCAGTCTTTGGAGAGATTCAGGACCTGCGAGACTGTGTCTTAGCTTGGGTACGTTCGCCGCAGGGTTGAAATCTCAGGCGGGCTGACCTTATCAACGTGGTCAAAGTACTGACGAAGCTCCTGGTAGTTGGGATAGTTGGTAGACCATGTCCAGTCCTTGAACACCTCGGGCCACGAGAACTCATACTCTGGAACCTCGGAGTCGACCCGGGCTCCTGGGTAGCGGTTCCAGCGCCAGGTTCCTCCGAACGAGGTTCCGGCTTCGTAAATGACGGCTCGTAGGCCCATCTCTCGGAGAGTCTTGAGCATGAAAACCCCGCCTTTAATAATCATGTCAGTTTGGGAATGAGTTACTGAGCTTTGGGGTTGAATATCTCACCGAATCCGCCGCCGACGATGAGAACATCTACATCGAGGTCATCGGCATAAGGCCCATCAGTCTGACGACGCTTGGCATAGTCCGTCAGATCGGTCGCAAACTTCTTTTGCTGGGTATCTGTAGTTGCAGCCATGTCTGCAGATTGCAATCTCAAACTCTTAGAAGTAGACTTCAAACGATGAGAATGATGATGAGATTGAAGTGAAAGCACTGATGTATGCTGCTTTTCATCCAATTTCATTCAATTTCATTCTACACTACACAGAGTCGAGGGGGTTCAATGCTTTATATAACTTCGTGTGACGACATACTGAAGTCTACCTTATCCAGTTCGTTTCGCATGAGACATGTTGCTTTACGTGACATCAGACGACGCAACGGGTATCCTCAGAGCATCCCCATGGGACACTGTACTCTAACATCATGTACGGATACCTTGGAAGAGGCAACCGCAGTTGCATTCTCCACACTGAATCTGCCCGCATTCGTGCCATTGCATCGATATCCCCATCACTATCGTCTGCAAGGACACCGCAAGGCCGCAGACTCCGAGGCCTCGAAGCAACGTTGAATGCACAGCACGCCGATATTCTCCATCCCGCATCAGCCGGCGACGTTGTGCTCAACTCAGACATGCAGCAACAAGTTACAACTCCAGTCAAGATTGCACATCTCTTTCCTCAAACGCCAGCCTCGCGTCGCGTCTTGCATCCCCGCAGCACATCGAAGGAGGAGCCGCTGCGGATCCGCCCTGCAGGCCGCTCTGTAGGCTCAGGCGGATGCAAACAAAACGGGATGTCACAGGAAATGCGGAGAGCCGCTGCGGAGGGCCGCTGTGGTCGGTGTCGTGGGAGCGGATCCGCAACTGCCGTGACACTCCAGCCGCTTTGCGGGGAAGACAAACTTTCAGGTTCGCATCGCGGGAGGGAGGGATAGTCCATGTTCTGAGACGAATCAACTCAGGTCTCTCTCGTTGATCGAGTTCGGAGTAGGGTACCGGGTGAGAGACTACTGTCGATTCTCAGCTATTCTCGGTAAGTGCGTGATGGTGGTGGGCCGAGGTTGGACGCGGTTCAATGACTAGGTTTGGAACTTTGGACCATCTCTTTCGTCAACTTGCGTGCTTGCGTCTTCTTTGGGCTGCAGCTGAGACGATGGCCCCCGTATTTAATGCTACCGTACCGACATATCTGCTTTGGAAAAAGGCCGCCCGCAGATTGCCAAGAAGCTCGGCCGAATTGATTATCTCTGTGATCTCTCATGTGTCCGTTGTGAAATCTGATTTTCTTCACTCACACACTCACACACCCTCCTTCCTCACATGAGCCGTTCATCTCATTTATCTTCACACGCCATCTCACACACTCTCATCTCACTCACTCCATAGAAACTCACATTTCAAACCCTCACACTCAAAAAAGAAAAATGCCTCTCTCATCACAAGCCGTGGACGAAATCAAGGGCATCGTAGAAAATGCCGTCACATCCGACCCCAACCGGATCCCCGGAACAACCGTAGTCGTAATCGACCGCACCGGCAAGGAGCAATTCTCCCACTCAGCCGGAAAACGAGGCATCGACTCCTCGGAGCCCATGACACTGGACAGCGTCTACTGGATCGCCTCGTGCACGAAAATGGTGGTCGGCATCGCGTGCATGCAGCTCGTGGAGAAGGGCCAGCTGAACCTCGACGACGCGGACCACCTGGAGAAGCTCTGCCCGGAGCTGGCCGACATCAAAATCCTGACGCCCGAGGGCAAGCTCGTGGATAAGAAGCGTGGAATCACGCTCCGCATGTTGCTGACGCATACTGCCGGGTTCGGGTATACCTTCTTTAGTGAACGGCTGCGCGATTGGAGTCTGCCGGCGGGTATAGATGAGTTCTCTGGCAGCGTGAGGGATATGGTGCAGCCTCTGTTGTTCCAGCCCGGAGAGGGCTGGGAGTATGGCGTAAGTGAAGCTTGAAGTGGCACACTATCGGACTCATCGTCTCTAACTCATGTTGCAGGTCGGCATTGACTGGGCCGGAATCGCGCTGGAGCGTGCCACAAACATGAGTCTGAACGACTACATCCAGGCCAACATCTGCCAGCCCCTGGGCCTACACAACGTCAACATGATCCCAACGCCCTCGATGAAGGCGCAGTTGGCGTACATGCACTACAAGAGGCCCGATGGCAAGACAGTGCACAGAGACCACCCTCTCCATCGCCCATTGATCGTGCAGTCGGAAGAAGAGATCCGCGCCTGCTTCAACAGCGGCGGCGCCGGCATCTTTGCAAAGCCTCAAGAGTACACCCGTACGTACTTCGTTTCTGTCGGAATCAGGCCCTATCAGATGACTAACTGAACGACTTCATAGGCATCCTGGCAGTCTTCTTAAACGACGGAATCTGCCCCATCACCAAATCCCAACTCCTGAAAAAGGAGACAGTAGACGAAATGTTCTCCAACCAGATCTCCAAGTTCCCAGACTTTGCCCGGAACGGCGTCCAGGACGCGAAACCGGAGCTGACAAACGCAGTTCCGGAGCTCTACCCGCTCCCGGGCAACCCGCCGCAGGGCTGGGGCCTGACGTTTATGATCACGGGCGGGCCGACGGGGCGCTCGAGCGGGACGGCGTGGTGGGCTGGGCTGCCGAACCTGTTTTGGTGGTGCGATCGGGAGAACGGGGTGGCCGGGATCGTGTGCTCGCAGATTCTGCCGTTTGGCGATGCGTCGGTCATGGGGCTTTGGGCGCAGGTTGAGGCTGCTGTGTATAAGGGGTTGAGTGCGTGATGCCTGTGATCATGAACGGATTCTCAGTCTTGGTGTCTCGCGGGGTTTGCGTTCGTTCTCTGCTGATGAGGCTGTTCCTAGTCGGAATTTCGGAAACATATTTCCATGTACGGCTGCTTTCCAATTAGTTCCCTTCCAGAATGAAGCTAGTAATATGTGAAGAGGTCTTGAACCAATTCCCTTGCTGTAGACTCAGTGCATGGGGGTTATCGCTCGCCATTGGCTTGAGCTGCCAACTGAGGTCGGAGTGGCCTGATTTCCCTCCCCAGAAACAGCTGAAGAATGCCACCGACATGGTAAGCTCGAGAACCTCTAACCAAACCATTGGATCCTTTGACCTGTGCCTCGTAAGGTTCACCACAAGCGATGAATCCGGGGTTGACAGCTCGCTTCCGGAGGATGGGGATCCCCCCTCCCCCCTCCCTTCCCCGGATCCCATCCCAACCCCGGTGCTGCCCCAGACCCAGCCAACACCAGACCTGGCACACAACCAGAGACTGAGTGAATCTTGAGAATAGGATCTGCGGGAGGGGAACATGAACCAACTGGCAACCTGGCAAACTCACCCGTATGCACCCCGCTTTCTTCTTTGCTGACGCAGGCGACGCTAGAGAGAGATGGAAAAAACGCGGGGTTTTAACGACAGGGACCTCCCCGTGACGACGTCGTTTCGGATGGCCGGGGGATTTGACTGGTCACGAGTTTTGGAACTAGCGGGGATTTTTCTTTGTTGGGGGAAAAAGAAACTGGAGACCCCCCCCTTCTTTTTCAGCTTCGTTGTCTCTAAACTCCGCCTCACAACCCGGTAAAACCTCCACATTGAAATCTCATCTCACCTTTGATACCTAACCTTACGGAGTACCGCAGTAGTGTGTGAGAAAGAGCCACGATAACCGAACGCCCAGAAGACGATAACGCGAGACCCGACACGCGATGAGGCGGCAAAATAGCAGCTGCGACCAATGTCGCAAGGGCAAGAGGGCCTGCGACGCGGGCGCCCTCAAGGATATCCAGCTGTGTCTGGATGCGGACCTTCAATGGGAGGTTGGTAGGTAGAGACCAGGAGTGAAACTGAAGCCAAAAAAAAAATTCAAAAAAAAATCAAAATCGAAAGAACACCGCGCCTCTTCACACAGGACTAATCTCTTCAAGCAACAGATTGGCAGAGCATAAACGGGCCGTGCTCAAACTGTTCAAAGACGCGCAAGTCGTGCACATTCAACTGGGCCCGGTCACAGCAGGCCCAGCTCCGAGTCCGAAGGCAGTCTGCCGAGAAGAACGGCGCCGGCGCAGGTTCCGCTTCCGCTTCCGCCGTGCCGAGTCGGAAGAGGGTCAAGTCCACTCACAGCAAGAAGAACAACAACGACAGCAATAGCAACAACGCCTCAGTGTCGCCGGCGTCTCAAGGTCCGGGGCTGAGTGAGGCCCAGCTGGCGGAGCTTCAGTCACTCATCCCGGATCACGTCGGGTCTCTCACCAACGAGACGTCAAGCGCACATGCCTTCGGCGGAACAGCAAACGACTTTGGGTTCCCTCAAGACTTGTTCACGCTATCACCCGCCGACGAGCATCTCGCATTCGACCCATCCGATGACGCCTCGCTCCTCTTCCAGGGCCCCTCGTCATTGTCGGCGCCCAGTTGTCTATCAGATGAGTTACCGGGCTTCGACGACGCCGACCTCGTCTCCATGCACGGCGCGTCGACAATCAGTTTGAGCCCGGACTCTACTTCATCAGCCATGGGCGTCAACTCGAATGCTCGCAAGAGAGCGTGGCAGCAAGCGCACTCTATGAACTATGCACCACCCGGTGCCGGAATCTCAGAGTACTCGACCACGCAGACGATGATAGCGCGGACAAACCAAGCGCTCATGACGGATAACCTCATGAAGCTGTACCACGACGTAATGGAGGGCGCGCTCTCGTGCTGGCTGGTGGAGCAGAATTGTCCATACATCCTATCCCCCTCACAGCTGGAGCGCTCCAGTCTCGGCGGCGACGCGCGATGTCACGACCCGACGCAAATTCATCTCAACCTGCCCAACAGGATCTACCGCCGCGTCTTCAAGCTGGATAAATCCCTCGTCTCGCTGGGTCTCAAACCTCTCAGCGTATCCGAAGACCGGAGGGCCACGAAAGCGCTGCATCTCGCCATCATGGCGTTCACGGCGCAGTGGGCGCAGGGAAGTCAACGGAGTCAAGCGCGGTACCAGAAGCCCAACGGCTTTGGGGAATCAATGCCGGGAACCGAACAGGAATTCGACGCGGCGCTGCAGATATCCTTCTGGAACCAGGCGCAGCGGTGTCTGGACGATTGTGCAGGGGTGGACTCGTTCAAGGTGGCCATGGCGGAGCTCCTCTTTGGCCTGACGCAGAAGAACCAGGAGAGCGCGGAGGGGATCGGCTGGGAGTTTAGCGAAGGGATGGTCGGTCAGAATCAGCTCGGGTACGATTACGGCAGCGGAGACGGAAACGACTGGGAGGCGCCGGGCACGAAGGAAAAGGTGCAGACGGCGCTGGACGAGGAAGGATACTCGCTCTACGTCGAGCGCGGCGCGCGGCGCCTGCACGTTCTCAAGCGCAGATCTGAAAACTTTGAGAGGAGGAAACGCGTAAAGGCACGCGGCGCCAACGCGAGGGTCGAATCCGTGGGATGGAGTGGCTGCGGCGGAGAGGATGCCTACGGCGAAGAAAAGGCGACAATGAAGATGCTCTTCTGGCTCGCCATCATGTTCGACACCCTATCCTCCGCAATCTCCGACAGACCGCCCGTCGTCTCCGACGAAGACAGCCGCGAGACAAAGAAGCAACACTCACCACCACCCAAAGACGAAGACGACGACACCACCACCACACACCCCACGCCCTTACCAGAAGGCTGGAACGACCAATTCATCATCAAACGCCACCAGAAACTCGCGCCCTTGCGCTGGCCCTGCCCCACCGACACCTTTGAGCGCGAACTCCGCGACGCGGCGCCCGTCAAAGTCTTGCTGTTTCGCAAAATCACGCGCATCCAAGCTCTCTCGTCGCGCGGCTCCGCGTCACCGAGGATCATCGAGGACGCGATACAAGATGGGTTGGCGGTGTACCGCCACTGGAATATGATGTACGGCCCGCTGTTCCGGGATTGTATCGAGCACCACGACGCGCTGCCGTCCAAGATCCAGAGCTGGTATATTTGTCTGCTGGGACACTGGCTTCTTGCGGCGATGATGATGGCGGATTGTATCGCGCTTGTGGACGAGCAGGGGCTCGGTAGCGCTTCGCGCGCCGCGGAGAGGGGGCAGAGCGGGCTGGTGGGCGATTTGAGGCGCGCGAGCGTGCGTGAGGTGTCGGATCTCGCGAGGGCGGCTACGCCGCAGCATGACGATGGCGGGTTGGGCGTGTTGTTGGATTTTCATCCGGCTGTGAAGGAGGGGGCTTTGCTTACGGAGCCGTGGACGATGGTGTTGATTAGGTCGTTTGCGATGGCGGGGACGCTGTTGCTTGAGGAGGCGGGTGGTGGGTTGGGTGTTGGGGATGAGGTTGTTGCGGAGGCGCTGGATCGGTGTGAGGATTGCGTCAAGGCGTTGTGGTATCTGGGGCGCAAGTCGACATTATCGAGGCAGGTTGCTGGGATCTTGGGGGCCGGGGTGCTTGCGGAACGGGCGAAGGGGTTGAGTGTTGAGGGCATGGTTGGGAGTCAGGATTCTTGGAGCGTTTTTGGGCCTGTGGAGATTATGTGATTTGGGAGGCCCTTGTGATGTATGGATGGGTTCTTTGGTTAAGAGGAGGTGGATGGAGAGGAGAGATAGAGTGTATTTACGTCAAGTTGTGCCGACAACTCATCAGTTAATAACGAAGCTACACCGAAATACGATATCACGATCATGGGCCCTGTCCCCCCATACTAAGAACACGCACCTGTTCACTCCCGCCGGTCATCCCAACACGTGAATACTGCCCGCCCCAGGTACTTACTTACAGATACCTCATAGTATCGAAACCATGACAGAAAGGAAAGTGTCATCAACCCCAGACTCGGTATCCTTTGTCAATCTGATCAGTATCACAAACACCGATCATCTGCCAGAGTCTCGGGAGGTACGTACGTCAGGCCCGCTCCGCCGTGCCGGGATGAAGGTACGTCACACGCCCCTCAAATCCCGAGACCCCGCATCCGACCGCCGATAAGCAACCCCACCCGACATCGACCTCCGTTGTTGGTGCCCCGGAAGACCACGCCTTCCAACTTCCCGACTACAAGATACAACTTCACGACACAACCGAACTCATTCAAAAGTCCATAGCCTCTCCCATCCCAAATCACTCAAAATGGCCCCCTCCTTCCACATCACATCCGCCCACCCAACCCTCCACTGGTCCAGCAAAACCAAACCCATCCTCACAGTGCCCCCCAACGAACCCGTAACCTTTGACCTAGCAGACTCCTCCGGCGGCCAAATCACACCCACCACAACAACCACCCACCTCGCGACCCTAGACCTCGCAACCTTTGACCCAATCTACGGCCCCGTCTCCATCAAAGGCGCATCCCCCGGCTCCGTCCTCGAAATCGAATTCCTCTCCTTGACCCCCTCCTCCGGCTGGGGCTGGACCGCAATCCTCCCAGGCTTCGGGCTCCTCGCCGATGAATTCCCAAACCACGTCATAAAACACTTCCAATGGGACGACGACGCGACGCACATCGTGTTCAAACCAGGGATCAAAGTCCCACTCCGTCCGTTCCTGGGAATCTCTGGCGTAGCACCGGCCGAAGAGGGGCCGTTCTCGACGATTCCGCCGTTGGAGACGGGCGGGAATGTAGATTGCAAACACATCACGGCCGGCACGAAACTCTACCTCCCCATCCGCGTCCCCGGCGCGAATTTCTCCTGCGGGGATGGGCATGCGGCGCAAGGGGACGGGGAAGTCTGCGGCACCGCCATCGAGACGCCCATGAAAGCTACTATCCGCTTTAACATCCGTGAGGATATGCCCTACGTCACGAGTCCGCACTATGATACGCGCGGGTCGGCGCATGCGAGGGCCCATCGGGCAGAGGATGGTGGCGTGTATGCGGTGCTGGGCATCGATTCCGACTTGTTGGAGGCGAGTAGGAAGGCGTTGAGGGCGTTGATTGCGTATCTTGTTGCGACGAGGGGGCTTGAGAGGGAGGAGGCGTATATGTTGTGCAGTATCGCCGCCGATTTGAAGATTGCGGAGATTGTGGATATGCCGAATTTTGCGGTGTCTGCGAGTATTCCGTATCCTATTTTTGAGGACGAGCCTTGATCTGTTTACCCAACCATTCTTTTAAAAGTACAAAACGACATTCCGACAGCGATATCTCTCCTTCATACAAACCCCCCATATCATCAAGGATGTACAATTATCATGTCGCTACACTCTCCTTGCTGGAGGACCCTTCAAAGGCCCTCTTCGAACTCCTTCTGACACCCATGTAATTAAACTCCGGATCGCCCATCACACCAACAGTGTAATGCCTCGTCTGGTCACATTCCCTCCGGAACCATCCCAGCCGGAAGCCTATACCAGTCATGCGCCCGTGCAACTCAGCCAAAGACATCATTTCGGCATCAGGCGGCAGATGCGCCGCAGCGTTCGCGTTGCGCAGCAGGTCCGCCGCCGAGGCAATGCTGTGGAACCCGTCCGGCGCCAGGCCTCTCGCGTCCATGTCCAGCAGCCAACTATCCCGGCCACAGCGACGGATCAAGGCCGACGTCAGTGTCCAGATGTTGAACAGGATGACGCCTCCCAGGATCCCTACCACGACATACGTGATGGTTGGGTTCTGTACCAGCCGACGGCGGTCATTGTCTTATACGGTTGCATTTGCAACCGGGGCCGGCCAAGGTCCACCTTCGGCGCTGATGGGTTTGCGGTTCATGACATTGGCGAGTTGCGCTGCGCTGCGGGTGTAGTTGTGTAACCAGTCCTGCAGTATGTCTTCCTCCTGTCCCAGATCTCCGAATACTGCACTCGGTTCATCGGCGAGGCTGGCGGCTGGCGCCATGAAAGGCCAAGGGGGCATATCAAGAGGGGGTTCCAAGGGCCTCATGGTCGACATATCTGGTCGTGGTGGCTTTTCCGTGTCGATGGCTAGACGGCCGTCGGAAAAGACTAGATTGATTTCCGTGTCAACTTCGACCCAAAATTGTTCGCAATGATAAAACAGCAACAAATGTAAAGTCGTCCAGAACTGGGTCGAACTGTCCCCAAACAAATGTCGGATACCGAGCCGTCGTATAGTTTGCCTGCCGGTTCAAGGAAGGATCGCACGGGTTTGATATATACCAAAGCCTGCTTGAAAAGTATCTGGGTTGAAACAGATGGGCTTGGTCATATTCACCGAGGTCGACTTCTCATGAACTTGTAAAAGGTGTGCCTCCTTCAGGACACTCGAAATCGACGCCTATGGAGCCGTAAAAGCGCGTAAGCTGGCCAGTGGGAACGAGCTTATGATGGCTGAGGTGGTACGAATCCTCGCTCAGACGGGTGCACTGAAATTCGACCTTCCTAGCTGGTGTTGTGATTGCGACTGAAAGGTTTTTGGACGGGTCGAGGTTGTCGATGTTCTCGAAAGCGTGGAACACAAGATCGTCGAATGTGTTTTCCGGATAGGTCAACTTGGTGTCTTCCTGAAGAGTCCAGAGACTGCTGAACGTCTGTTATTTCATTTCGTAGGCTTGGTCCCATTCTTCGGTCCGTAATTGAAACCAAGTCTGCTGTTGGAATTGAGTTGGTGTCGACCCCGGGATGACTTCGACTGTGAAGATGATGGAGACAAGGGATGTGAGTAGCCCGCACACGAGGGCGAGGCTTTGAGAGAGCGTGATAGACCAGAGACGGTAACGGAAAGAGTAGTACAGCGCGCGTAATCCCAGCATATCCAATAGAGAGTGATCGAGGTCGGAAGAAGTGCATGTAGCTCTGGAGAGATGGTAGATAGTCGCAAGATCACAATACGACCAATCGCAAGAGCTAATGTAGAGAGACACTCCGAGCGCTATGGTAGCTGGAAAAGAGGTCCACATTAGGTGTAAGTAGCCGTCTTCGCCAATGGTTGCAAGTCCATCCGATGTCTCGGAAAGTCGGAGGGTGATAATGAGACTACCCGCCAGCAGTATGGTGAAGATGCAGAATACCACACGAGATATCGTTTTCAGTACCAAGGGCGTAAAGGCGCCGTGGTGCCACTTCGACGCTACGCCGTTGATCTCTGCAGCCCGGCTTGTAAGGTCGGGATGAGCACCGAGAAACATTGTATTCCCGAGGAGCGTCGCCGGATCCCGATGCCAGATCGAGGTGTCCTGGTGGTAATGCCAGAGTAGAAATGCAGTGATGCCAGCGCTGAAGACGAAGAGCGCAATCATTGAGAGGCAAATCTTGGGGTTGATGGTAAGGCGAACGACATGCTGCAGCAATGTACCACTTCCTGTGGAGATTTTCTTTTGTCGAACGCGGGAATGGTTTACGTACGGTGCAAGACGTCGTGTAAGGTTTTGGGCTGAACCTTCCAACATGTCGGTCGTTACATTGGTTGGCCAGTCGGCCCTCGTGTAGCCCCTGAACCCAAGATCAACACTGACTGGACCTAAGCTCGCAAGTAAGCGACCGGTCCAGCGGTCACTGGTCGGGAGTGACATGTTAATCATTGTCCAGATGTTTGGTGTGGATAAAGTTTGTCGCTCGTCGGAGACTGCCATCACTTTCGGCTTCACTCCATCGTCGGTGACCTGAACTTTTGACAGCCTAGCATGCGGCTCACAGATGACACCCGCCGCTGAGTGATACTCTGCTAGAGCCGAGTTCTCGCCCCCTAGGGTAAATGCCCCATTGTAGTATATGAAAGCTGGCACCTGTAGAGGCAATCCAGAACAGGGTCGTTGGATTTTTTGGTCCCCTTCCATGACCAAATCTGTGTAGGGTCCTAATTCAGGCTCCTGCCAGGCCCAATTATGTACGAAGAGGATTGGTTCTTCGCATCCATCAAACTGAAGCGCCACGGTGAAATTCATTTCTGGGTAGCCCCTGCCCTCAACGTTGTCGATGTTGTGCTGCTCAACAATGGAGTATGAGTTCAACTTGAGGCATTCGGTATCTGTGAAAATCCCATCTACGGTGGCCGTTACTGGGTTGACGACAGTTCCTCGACCAAGATCGCTCCCGGTGAAAACGTTTGATAAGCAAATCCTTCCGTGACCCCGTAGGGTTGGACCACGTCGAAGTCGTATTGTGCCCGTGCCATGTAGTAGGGGCTCGGGTCTAGCGCGTAAGTAGCGTCCGTGATCATGTTCATGTCAAAAGTATCTTGCAAGAAGACGTCGACAGGACTTGTAACTTGGAGTTCCACGAGGCTGTATAATCCAGAGACTAGGATAGCTTGGGCCTTGAGAAGGGTAGAGATTGAAACAACCAGAAAAACAAGATAGTGCTTCTGACGGAATGACCGGGGGGAAACGAGAGGTAGAAACATCGTGGTGTAGTCGAGTGCTAGATCACATTCTCCGGGCGAGGAACCCGATCGTAGGGAGATCCAAGGCATATACATCATAGCTTGTAGCTCGACTCTGGCCCAGAAAATAGTCAAAATCGTGAGAACCAGATGGCAAAACGTTAGACAATCGAACAGGTCGTCATTTCTTGGAGTTTGAAGCGAGAATACGGCGCACTACTTACATGCAGTCGGCACAAATCGCCACAGATAAGTGTGCAATAGACTCTGACGACTTTCGAAAACTCCATTGTTCGTATTTGAGTACCACAGCATCGCAGCCAGCGCCACAGAGAGGAAGAGGAAGAGGCTGGCAAACAGTGCCAGCACAAGCGGACGTAGCCAAGCCGGGCGCCATGAAGCTGCTCAACCCGCATATCCTTTGATGTTGCTCTCTTCGTCGTTGGCAGCGATTTTTGCATTCACCCCAGTCTTCAGCAAGCCATTCGTACTGGCATTTGTCTCTGTGTCGCAGGTGCTGATCTGTGATCTCAAGGAGAGCTTGATCGATCCAGGAGTGTTTGAAGGTTCGGACCTTGCGTTTACAGTGAGGTTTGTCTCTTCGCGAGGCCTCCATATGCCATTGTTAGTGGCCGTACCACTCGATGTCTCCAGGTACATGGGCTCGTAGCTGGAGGTATTTGGTGCGATAGGTTTCCGACGGATGTTGTATGGCTTGTGATTTGACTTTCGGCCCCACGGAATATCCTCGTGTTGCTCCATTCTCCTCACAACGCGTTGAAGTCAAGGCCGACTTTTGCCGCACATTCGATGACTGCTGTACAGTGTGGAAACCGAAATAAATAAATGAATGTCCACCGCCGAAATCAACTGCGTTGGGAGGGGTTGGCTGGCTGTCGCCATTTTGTATGAGACATACGGCTCAGTGCCTCGAGACTGCAGGGCCAAGCTGTGATGCCATTGGCTTAGCATTAAGAACGCCTCGAGATCTTCATCCGCTACGGAGTATCTTACCTCAAGTTATAATAATGCAACCTAGGCGAGGGTTAAGCGCCGATGCAGGTCAAAGGCTTAGCAAGAGCACGAGAGGACCCACCACCCCACCAAAGTGATGGACTCTTCAGGAATAGAGTACAAACGCGACCGGTCCCTGAGGCGCTTAAAATAAGGTAATTTGTAGATGCAGACAAACGCAGGGCAAGGCTGATTTGATTCAGCCGATGTTGATCAAATCGACGGGCGGGTGCTTGTTGGAGTGGAAGCCGATGCGTCGTTGGCCAACTGCAGCCAGCCTGATGTGGCTACATGACCATGGATCTTCGCCTTCCTGTCGGCAGGATGTGTTTCGAAGTATGGATATTGCACGTCGTGATTGGACTGATTGGGGGCTGTGTTGGAAGCTGTGTTGGAAGCGGGTTGTTGGAAGTTTGTTGGAAGTTGGGAATGGGAAGCTGCATGTTCTCTGTTGGTTGTAGTGCAACACAAATATCGAGGCCGACAAAGACCCACTCTTAAGCCGATGGGTGGATCCACGGAAGACCGAAAACCGGCGCTTCACTTGCCCCATATCGGGAAACACGGAGGCTGACCCGCAAAGTAGCTTCCGAGAGTGCAGCATTCCAGAGTGTCGATTACCGGCGCCGAACTTGGAAAGCTCAGGGTATCCCAAGGTGCACAATCAACGGGCTTTTCTTACCGTGTAAGGGAGTGAACATCCGACGGACCTCTAAGCCTAAAAGTCCGTCTCGGCTCTTAGATGATTGCCAATTTCGCGGCCCTCTACTTTGGGCGGCTCGTGCTTTCCACACAAGCAAACCTAGGAAGGCAGACGCTTTTCAAGAGGATGGTCTATGTAACGCACCGGCAGATTTTGCGGGTGCTCGCAAAGACTGTATCTGTCTGCCGAAATGCGGCCAAGGTCAAATAGTGCCAACCTACGCCCTTCGGAGGACGCTTAATGGCTGCGAAAGGGCCCCGAACCTAAGAAGGCTGTTATTCGGAATGATAGCAACGCAATAGGACCGGTGATAAATTCCGAAGACCGCGTGCGACATTGGATTCGAATACAAGTAAAGGGGAGGCGCAAAGAGTCATAAAGCAGACGATGGCCCGCCTGTTTGGCCAAGTTTTCGGTCCATGTCCATCCCAACTACGCGCGCCAAACATGACATGCGAAGAAACACTCCCCGAAAGATGGGTCGCCGCCTGGACCGCCAACGACCCAGCCGCCTTTGCGCAGCTCTTCGCGCCGAACGCCGTCTACATTGACCACGGCTTCCAGCTCCACGTGACCGACCCGGATGAACAACCACCACCGAGTCTGGCGCAACGCCGTCCCCAATTTTACGGCGGTGCTGGACCCGTCTACGCCGATATGGTGGGCTAAGAAGGACGGTGGTGACGGGAAGACGAGGACAACCTGCGTGTTTAGATCTCTCATGAAAGGCACGTTTCTGGGGTCACTGCCTAGGAAGCCGGCGACGGGGGCGGACTGGTGTTTTGTGGCGATGGTTTGCATGGAGATTGAGGATGGGTTGATTTTGAAGCTGGATGAGTTTTATCGGGATAGCTTTGAGAAGGGTGTTCCGGTGGATCAGTTTCTTCGGGATTCGTAATGAATGATTTTGTCTTGATGCTTCTGCTATGGGCCTCTCCATCATCGTCAGTCGTCCACAATGCCAGATTGACTCCCAAGACCTGCCCCAACAGCGTCGAGGTTACAAGCCGTCGCCTACCTTGAGCTGTGCTAGTGTTGTCTTTCTCATCGATACTAACTCGCCTGGGATCTAAACGTGCAGCCATTACCAGATCTGGTCCGCAGTCGAGAGCATCCAAGTCTTGATTCCCTCAAAGTTAGGTTCTCTCAAAGAAGAGGGATACCTTAGAGCCTGGACCGTTGCGGTGATTGAGAGCCGGAAACAGACAGCGCCAGCCGCCAGGGCCAAATTAGGGTGGACCAGCGGCACAGCGGTAGTGGACGGCTCGCTAGGCCCGCCAGCCGCCGGGGCAGCGGCGCCACCCAATTTGGGGCCAACGATAAGGACACGTGGAGCACCAGAGGGCACGATAAGACATGCTGTGGGGCCACCTTTAAATTTGTTTTTACATTTTTCTGGCCAGTACGTACCAGCGGCTTCTCTCTCCGTCCTCTTTTGTCTCTCTTCTCTTGGGAATAAATGTGGCCACTTGTTCAGTGTCGTCTTGTCTTTATTATCCGCTGCAACCTTGTTTAATTATCAAGCCATGTCTCTTTGACAAACACCCGCTCCTCCCTTGCCTTCCCCTCGCCTCGTGGCACAGAGACATTCTCCTACAGACTTTCGTATTGAAAAGCGTTTTACTCGCAGCACCACGCATAAATCGCAATCAACGGAAACCAAAACATAATCAGACTCGAGTCACACTATCACCGCACCGAAACCAGGGCCCCAGACCAAAGTCCAAACCTGTCGCTTGCCCCTCCTCCTCCTCCCGAGTCCCGTCCTCGTCGAGTCTCGACTCTCCCCGGACCCCCGGCCACCTGATCATCGCTCCCAGCCCCCTATCTCGTCGCCTTTCGCGTCCTCGTGGCCCTGGAAGTGGCACTCGCAGAGTCGCAGCAACACATCATCTTTCGCACTTCGTTCGTCAATCGTCGCGCCGTTCGTCAGTCACACCGCAACAAATCGCTGCTGCGTGTTGGTATCCGCCTCCAAACAGCACACTACTGCACCTACCTACCTCTCTACTTTTTTTTTTTCGCCCTCTTTTACGGTTTACCCTGCATTTCTGCAGCAAAGAAACCACGTTAGGTCTCACCGCTACGTCAACGGAGTAAACCTGCAGCCATCCATCATGTTCGCCTTCCTCCAGACCCTGCTTGAGTTCAACTCCCACGTCACGCTGTTCCAGCGTATGATGTTCCTGTTCTCCTTCTGCCTCTCTGGCATCATTCTCGCGGTCCAGGCGTCGCAGGCTGGTGAGCCGGATCATTTGCGCATTCGCTGGACGCGCTTGACGGAACAGAGTCGGTGAGTTTGTTTTTTCTTTGCTTCTGGTCTGTCTTTCTCTCTAACCTCTACGGATACTCCCTGCATCGCTGTCTTATCGACGAGGCGGCATAGTTCTAGACATCTGTCTGAACTCCCTTTCGTCTGAACCCTGAATGATGAGCGTCAAACTCAATCAAGCCTCCCAATCCATCCCTCTCCTCAGTTCATATTCTCCTTGCTTCTGGTTCCCGTCTACCCTCTGCACCTACCGTTTCAATGCGCATTACAAAGTCTCTCTCTCCCTGTCTCTTTGACTTTCGAACTTCCGTGCGCAGGAAACCCGGCAAGCGGCAAGCGGCAAGCGGCAAGCGCCAATCTGCATCTGCAAGGCTTGCCCAAAAATTCCCACCATCAGTGCCACCACCTGGTTCTTCCATGCGACAAGGTTTCAAAGAAGCAAATCCCCGCAATTTTATCATTTCCTTTATTTTTGGGGACAAAGATCCAACACCCATCACACATTGAACGGACGGTTCCACGGATCCACGGACGATCGCAAACGCGCTAGCTCAAATGTTCTTGTTTTCCTGTCCACATTTCATTTTTTCAAGGCAGCTGAGGGTGGGGTGGTACCAAAGCGGTCCAGCCCATCTAGCTAGCAGTAGCACCCACCACCCCCAGACCTCACCTTTTTTATAAGACCAACGCCATGGAACCACACCAACGACCGCTTGTGACCTTCGTGCTGACCTGTCCTTCACAGTCCCTACTGGTACACCTTTTACGTCACCCAAGTCTTCCTCTTCGTCACCGGCGCCTACCCCATGCTCTACGACAAGATGACAATGTACATTGGCAGCGGCTACGAGGAGCAGATCCTCAACATCATCTGGGTCGGTCTGCTCAGCGTCGAGGCCCTCATGGTTGCCGGCGTCGCTGGTGTTGCGATTACGCGCAAGTTCAAAGGCGCGCCGAAGCAGAAGACGAACTGAGGTCGCATACCACGCATGCGCGCGGCGCACAGCCCAATTTAATACCCTTTTATCTTTTGTTGCTGTTGTCTATATCGAGATTTATCCTCCTGCCAGTGGAGACGAAGAACATACCTTTGGGCAAAGACATCATGCCTGCATATATTGCATCTTTGGAGTCGGGGGCGGTTTTGAATATACCTTTTTATCGCATTGCGCTCGCTTGCTATTCAAGTGTGCCTTTCCGAGTGACCGACGGTCACCCCACCTACAACGAACGATGAATCGACCCGAGACACACCAGACCTTAGAACGAAGACTAGACGGACGGGCACCGAGTCTCAGGCGAACGAATCAGATACCAGCGTTCGAAGAAACCAGCCTCGAATTACTACAAGATACCCACGACCTATTCCATGCCACACAAAGGGGGAAGGGCGCAAATGAACGATTGAACGACGATAACGAGAATGAGGAGGCACGAGAACCTCCCAACCACGAGATGACGCCCGCAGAGTGGGGGCTTGGGATCCGTTTCTCGCCCGATAGGGATAAGAGAGGCTATTCAGCCGTCCAAAAGGACACAGGCACAATTGCGGATGGAGGATGAACTGCCAGCAGTAGTGCGCTCGGCTTTAGCCGAAGAGCCGCTGCTTCGCAACAGTGCCGGCTAAACCCTCGAGTTGCAACGGCGTGGAGGATGAAGGACTCCCTGATAATCTTCGGCACCTAGCGATCCGGTGCTGTCGGACTTGCCACAATGCTTGACGTTGCCAAGGCACATGACCGGCCAACGTGGAGGGGATGCAAGGAGCCCGCTTATCACGGTAGACATGGAAGGCATGGCATGTTCGGGTTCGTCTAGAGCGCCCTTTTATACCACCAACTTGTATTTAGTGGTTACATCAATTGAGACTTCTTCTACAACGTGTCTAAGTTTGCTGGTTCTGCTTCTACTATAAGTGAATCCTGATGTTTCCTTCATAGCGGAATCCGGGCCTGCTGGTGGAAGATAGAGACATGAAATGATCACCTTGGGGTGGGTTGAAAATGCAGTGAGAAGTTGTCGCCTCGTTGGTAGA